ACATTAAACCTAAACAATCTTGTAAATAAAAACTATTCTCTGCATTCAGCATGTAGCCTATGCATAAGCTTACACATATTTCTTTATTTCTGTAGACAGTTACATGAAGACTTGGCAGAGCTAGGACTTTGGTGCAGGTGAAGGTCACGTAGAGAGATTATCTCCAATGAAATCGGTAAGTATAGGCTATACTTGTAATATTGAATATCTTTCAAGTCACGTCAACAATTGAGACTTTAAGCAATGCACATAAAATTGAACGGGAAACCTGTACGTATAAATCGCCCTATACAAATGCATGTAGTTTTCTCACATAAAACAATCGTTCGGCACAGTGTTTACTTAGTCCGTTGCTTAGACTACACATCATCGTGTACTATGCCATTGATAGTTATACAGCTGGTTTTCTATGCTACACATTAAACATGCTCGTTTCGTAAGATATTTGAAACTAAAACATGTATGACATACATCATTTCCTTCAGAAAGCATTATACTACTAGTATGCATCGAAATCAAAATTGCCAGCATAGTATTCAAAAGACATGAGTATAATGATTCCCGTTGCCACCAACGTGAAATTGCAAATCTTCCGTTCTAAACACAGATCTGAAACTGATCGGGTATCTGAAAATTCAGAGGCTTTGCGTTCACGGTTACGTTGTGAAAAATTCGCTAGCTTAAACTCTCAAATAATGCGTTGCATTATCCTGCTGCAAATAAATGACGTTACTAGAATCAAACCAGTCAGTTCTAACACTTATCATTTGATTCAATAATGTGAGCTCATGTGTTCGGTGTTTTTACCGTAATTGAAAATCCAGTACAATGCATGTTATTGGCGTACGTACATGGTAGATCTTTTATATCCATGTAAATAAGTACGGTATATAATTTGTGAATGTCACAGTATTCTATTTTTATTTTGATTGCAGTTGATCTTCAGAGGAACTTCTTGGGAGACAGAACAGACATGTTAGGGGAGAGATAGAATAGATCTGACCAAAATGACCCTTGTGCTTTGGCTAAGAAGTGAATCGACCTGTTTAGGATAGCAGAGGAAACATTTCGAAGGTTCGCGCGTATATTAATTAAAAATAACGTTATAAATTATACTTGGTGAACAAAGTACATTGCGCCATCTGGCCATAAATCATAGAATCTCGGTCTTTATTCTTAAATAAGTCTATACTCATTGTTCCAAGTTTTGATAGCGATCTTATTTGAGTATATTTTGAAGATTCAATGTTTAAATTCCAGGTACTCCAACATATCCAAGAGCACAGTCGGATAATCTACTGGCAGCAAGGAAGGCTAGAGAGAGCAGGTGAGTTGTCAGTGAATATACTAGTATTCGCAGGTTTTATCATCACCAAGCCAATTCTAATTTTAAGAAAGTTATTTCACATAATTCCCATATTATTAGCTTCGAGGTTAAATGAAGTTTTCTTGAATCTTAAGATCTGGGGTTTATTAAACGCCAATCAATACGTTGAACGTCTTTTTTTTCGGATAGCTTCTTGCGCAAACCTTTGAAAGATGCATAATGAAAATATGAACACATACTTAATTTATATTTTTTACCATTTCAGGAAATCCTGCACAACAAACGGTGACTTCCTCTGATGAAGCTGTATAAATAACATGGACAATTGATGCAACTTTTTTATATAGTTAATAATCATTTTCAAATGTATTTTACAATATTGTAATATATTTTATGCTTAAAAATGTTACACTCGTGTGTTTCTTTCATTTCATAGATGTTCTGATTATTAAAATAACACTACAGAAAATACAAATAAAAACTCTCTCGAATATTAACAGTTAACGTACATTGAGTCCTGACAAGACAAGCATTGGATTTATAAGAGTTGGCATTGTGATGCACAAATATGTATGAACAAAATAGTTGAAAGGAAATGATGGTACACGAACCAATAGTAGCAGTAGCTCATAACATAGGTATATCTTTGTCAGATGTCATAGAAATGGTAAAACGTAGAATAAAATGATTCAAAACATGATTTGATTTTTGACAGCCTCTAATATTAATTCGAATGTGCAAGTTATAAGAATAAAAGGGAAATATGCTTAATGATTTGGGGTGTAAAAGTGAAACTTTTAAAGCATAATTATAATTATAAACTGGATGAAATCCTAAATTATCCTGATCCTATAAAACGGCGCTGTACGGTACCGTTCAAGAAACAACGTTGTACAATACTGTTCAAACAACGTTGAACGGCGCTGTTTCTCAAACAACGTTGTACAACACTGTACTCGAACGACACTTGTCAACGTTGTTCAAACGACGTTGTACAGCGTTGTTAACAACGTTGTACAGCGTTGTTAGATGATGATGCGGATTGGGGGTGTATGTGATCTTGCACTTACTCAAAGGTGAAACCAGAAATTACAAGTGAACGGATCAACCCTAATATGGAACAAAAATGATTGAAAATAAAATTTAAGTGAGAAAAAATGAGTTAAAATTGCAATTTGCATTATAGCATGCTTTTCCATGTCTATTTCGCTAATTCCAAAATGTTGACTTTACTCTCTATAATTATATGGAGGTCGATGATCAGATTTGAACCTCTTTTCTTGTTCAAATTATAGTGTTCATACTAGTGTCGTGAAATACTGTAGGCTAGTAAAGTAGCTAACATGATTCAATTAGAAATTTTCCTTAATCAAGATTTACACTTTTTAAGTGTTGAAGCTGACGTTGTAAAAATTGAATTGCGAGTGACTCCCTTTGTGTACATTTGGTATTTGTATTTGAATTCATGATTATATTTTGTAAATGAAGTGGTGACATCTTTAACACACTCATATAACTAAAGTTCGATTAGAAATTTGTTTGAGGACTATCTAAAATATCATCACTATATAAATCCCATTTATATTTTTTATAATGAGATAAATAAATATGTACTAGATAGATTGATCTCCACAATTGGTTGTTTCGATTCATTTCTTCAGTAGCGATGCTCCCGGGATATATTCTCAGTATTAGTTGGTCGTTTGGAGCATATATTGGCGACATCTTTCAATTTCCAACAATATCGCGTGTAAATCAAAGCTATTAATTGAGAAAATGTTTCACTAAAAACATAAACATAAGTAATTAATTAGAGGTAAAAAGTGCAAATCTCTAAAAATCTCACGAAAAAAACGAGAATTTGTGAGATTTCAAAGCTATTTAGAAACATCTCTATTACAATATCATGCATAGGCGTTCATAAATTTTTGTAAAATTCAAAACAACTTAATCTTTTTTGCGTTGCTTATATGCCACATTCACACCCCCTGATCTGATGACTGAAAGCTGGCTACGCCCCTGTCATTATTGTGTCTTTCTGAAACTAACAATAATGTGTTCAAATCCTAACTTGCGATCGCGACGGTTTCAATAACCAATCAACCATACTTAAATACATGGACAATTTACACTGGACCGTCAAAACCCGACGTCAGACACACCAAGTATGAAAGACACGTGAAGAAAATGCCAGACACGAGAATAATGAGACACGAATCAAGAAACACACAACTTGAATTGAGACACCAGTCGGTAACAGAGGCGCAACTGTATTTAGATCGACAATATACCATTAAGTTGAAAACAACGTAAATTGATATTTCATTTAATTCAGTAATATGGAAATATTCTACAGTTCCATAAAATTGATTACTTCGAATTCAAGGCTCATCATTCGTTACATTTTCAGTCACCTTTCATCAATTTTTCTAATTGCTTGATGTGTTTATTGTTGCCGTCTTAATATGTGATGTAAAGGAACCCCGTTGTTTGTATATGCAAGTTTATCTCAAATTCATAATTACTCGGTAAATCGTAAACATATCCAATTATAGTGGATGATGAATTAATCCTTATGGACAGTAACCGGGATCATCCCCACGTGCTCTGGTCCTGTGATTGAATAATCTTTCATACTATTCCATGTACTTATCCTATGCAAGCATTAATTAATATCAAATTCCCAAATAAAAAGCTAATTATCGTTGTATGACATCGCAGCCTCAGTTTTATAAGTTTTCTTCCTCGAAATTGCTAGTTGCGAAACAGAAAAGTACACCAAACATCAAAATGGCTGATTTTGTTTTGTTGAGACATATTACCAAAAACACTGTAATACCTCACTCGATCCCACCATCATCCGAAATAGTATTAAACACTATGTTGATTAAAAAGTATGAAGATGGCGAAGAGGCTTGAAAAAGAGCTTGCGTGCATGATAGAACAGAGACTAGTCTTATGGCTTGATTGTCCAATCTTTTGGGATTTTGTTTCTGGGAATGAATATTGCGCGCAAGTTCAAATAGCGTAATCCCGTAGCAGAAAATCACACCTTCCGATCCCAACATGTGAAATTAAAATGAAGAAGGGAATAATTATTCCTCTGCATGATGCTTCTTCTATGAAAAAACAATATTTCGTTTGTTTATTAAGCTCTTTGTCTTCTTGGTATACTGTTAAAAATGTTCCTACAGTTGTATGTGAAAAAAGTAACATCAACAATTCTTATGCAATGTTAAAAATTTTTGAAACATGAAAGGTAGTAGGCCTATTATGAAACATATTTATGCAATTTTACGCAGGGATATTGAAATGTTATGTGTTGGTAAAACAATTTAAAATCGTTTTTGAATAATGTAAATAGAATTTAATATGTAATAAATGTTTCACCAATCAACTAGTATTTATGTCATCCTTAAATAAATATGCATATAAAATATGAATATTGCAAAAACAAACAGGATTTCACTGAGGTCAGGAGAAAAATTAATAGCGACCTTACGTCAGCTAAACGTAGGCAAATACAGGTAGGGAGTCGGGACGCATTGACATTTAGAGGGTTTGAAGGGTCTGAACTTATTTATTCCCCTCTTGTTATAAATAATTGTCGAATAAACAACTAATAAAAAACTAGTTATAAATATATTTCGAGAGTAGTATAAAAAGACACACAGGGGTGGCGAGCCATTCGAAACAATTGTTACTTTCAATAAAAATCTGATACCGTTTTATTTATTGTTGCATATCGCATATGTTGAGAATCACTTGAAGTTAAGTTTACAAGTACAAATCGCTATTGTTCTTCTGGTAAACTCTTTCTGATTGGTCAAGACTAAGGACTTGACATTGGATAAGTCCCCGATGCTCTTCACGATATATGAAGCAACTTGAAGAAGTCCGTCACAAGGAGCATGTAAAACAGAGGAGCAGATACATTAATAAGGCTCCAGTAAAGATTGCCGAAAATTAAATAGCTCCATCAAGATCTTGGTAAAGGACACATTCCGCAGTGCTGGAGGTGCCTATGAGCATGGCACTACAACGTGCCTTCACGAGATTAGTTATTTTTGTATATATTGTTACAGTATGTTTTGCTAAACCAAGGTAAGTTATTTTCGATTCGGATATGTCTTTAGTTTGAAAAAATAAATCAAAAAGTTTGTTTTAGAATAAAAGAACGTAATATTAATGAATCACGTCTTTAAAATGATAGACTATTTAGTAGGTTAAAGGAAATGCATGCTCTATCTTTTAAGAAATCAAAACACTAGCTTATCATGATATAGGGCCGCAAATGTCTCCTCAAAAGAGTAATGTTTAAGTATCTAATGCTGAGTACAATGTAAATGAAAAATCTGTCAATTGTCGTACATTTGGAGTCTTCGTTGAAAAAGTTTACAGAATCTCGAATATTACATCTTTCGTTCAAATTTGATGAGTATAATTATAACTTGGGTTGGAAGTGTTTTTTTAAGTCGAATTTATAAATATATAATTGAACTCAACGATTTTTCTAGCTTACTTTTGCATATTGTCGCAATCGAAATTAAGAATGTGCCCTTCCTTAAATAGTGCTCAAAAATAGGAGGTAAACTTTGATCAGTACAAAAAAACAAAATAAGCAGCAAAATAATTATTTGTCCAATATATTTCTAATGAAGACAGTTTTTAACTTTCAATTCAAACACTTTCTTATTCTTATGGAGTTCACTAAATGAGAAGCGTAACAGACGCCGTATTCCATAAATATAAGTATCAATAGGACATTCCTCGAATAGAAATGATCGTACGAAGGATGCAAATGAAATAAATGAACATAAGATTCTCACAAAGGAATTTTTGTCGTGTAAATATATACATATTTGTTAACTTATTATCTTTACATTGTTCAATTCTATTTGCAGATCTGAAAATGTTGATTTCGAGCATAGACAACATCGTCGTCATAAGAGGGACGTTCAAGAAATAAGTGAGTCTGTTAACTTATTAATGCATGCTTTCTCAATATTTCATTGGAAATCGTAATGCCAGGAACGTCGCATTGTGAGATCCAGAGTCCCTACCACCCCTCTTGGGCTGATGTAGAATGTATTTGTTGTCATGATATTTTGGGGGTTTGATTTGCAAAGTATATGTACCATATTCTCTGTAACTTCACGTATGGCAATTTTTTCTTGCCAAGAATGCCTTATAAGCAACATCAGCACGCATAGGTGGGATCCACATTTCCTACTATCCCTTTAGATTGAGACAGACTGATGAATCAAAATGGGAAAGTCGTATAATTTGCTGTTGTTTTAACTTCGCTTCTTTGTAAAGAGCCTCGTCCCGACCCCTATGTAACTAACATTCTAAATAGCACATTGTCTCTCTCTTAATCAAGATAAGAACTGTCATTCTAACGCAATGATTACAGTTTAGAACAATGATTAAAATTCAATTTCTTTTCCCGGTTTTCACTTTGACATGAGTATTATTTACGAGCGAGGTTAACTCGTTTTTGGCATATTTGTTTAGTAAGCTGGTTTGCCTAATTGGGGGACTGGTTGTATTAGGGGGACGAGATTATCGATCCTGCATTTGGATTATCCCTAGTTATTAGGGATTATCTCACGATCCGTTTTCCGGTGCGCATATGGTATATGGCATATGGTGTCGGAAGTTAATCGTCATTAAAATTAGTATCACGTACATGGCTTTAAATTTTTGTTTTGAACATTTCTAGATATTAATGAATAATTTGACACAAATTTGATCTTTTATGGTTCCTTTATTACTTATGAATACGTATTTTAAAATACCTTAGTACATAAAATAAAACGTATATGGTCACTCTGTTAAAAACAGACTAAGTGTCATCATGCTATGGTTCGTCAAAATGTGCGTTCTATTTTTTTGAAGTGCCATAGGCAAATGGGACATAAAATGGATTTTTATGTTTTTGTGATCCCGATGTACTTCTTTGGTTAATCCACCCCTGTATGTAAATAGCATACATGATTTTTCTTTTTTATCAATTTATTTAAATTCCAAAACAAAATCGTCTTATTTATTCAGAATACTTCTTTTTCATGTTATTAATTTATTTCTTATATAAACAATTACAATCGATTTAGCTAATTGCCAAGGTTTTACAACATTAGCGGCAATAATATACATATGTATGCAAATATTAGATATAAAATAAAAAGGTTGTTTGGGTTTTTATATTCCAAAAATCCTGAAGGTTGTTTGATCTTTTGGGCATGTGATTTGATAAAAGGCTCCAGGGGACTTTTTGGATTTTAACAGTTCAGGAAAACGATTTTAACTACATTTCGGAATGATGTAATCGCCAATTTCGCAATCAAACATAAAACGAATATAATGTATTTCTTTAAAAGTGTGAAAAGTCGTGGATAATATCAAAATAACATTACTCGGGCTTTTCCATATAACTAAATTTTATTGAAATGAAATATAATGAAATTTTGGCAGGACCCCTCGATTTGGATCGTCAAGAAAGATAGGCATTTCAGCGAAGTCATTAGAATATAGTTTGCGGTGCGAAAAAGTGTTTTACACTCGAGGCCCCCTGTTGTTACATCAGTGACAGCATCTACTTGTTAAAGTGCGACCGTATCATCTTAATCAAATATGCGACGCCATTTTGACTGTCAACTAATTCCAATATGACCATTATCAGGTTGTTGTCTCATGAACAGGGTCACTGCCAAGTATTGTATCCCTTTCATTTTGCCCAACGTGTTACCACAACCTTTGGCTTCAACCTCGACATCAAAAGAATGTTTGTCCAAATTGTTGAATTTTTTATTGTTCAATAGAAATATAAACAAAATTAAGTCCATTGTTAAAAGTCAACCAAAACCATACATCATATCTCAAGAATGACAACTAGATACTTGTAAATGTTGAAATGTAACTTAACTTTGTCATATGTGTGATTGTGTATGCATACACCAAATCAAAAATTTTGGTTGACGTCAGCGTAACTATAGAAAAAAGTTTGAAACAAAATATAAAGCAAAGAACTTTACTTGCACTTATTAAATTAACATTTTTAATTTGATATACATGTCAAGGCAATTGAATTGATACTTGGTACTTGGTCTCACGTAATGGATCACGTAATTACGTGTTTACACCAATCGTGTTTTAAATCACAATACTGACAACTATTGTGAAATATATACGTCATACTAATAAATCAATCTCAAACCAATAGAGAGACATAAATCGTAACATTTCTTAAGTACAAAAATTACAACTGAGACAACTAAGGAGTATAATATTATTTGTTTAAGAATGTTGCCCGAAACATACAATTGCAGTACTTGATAAAATAGGTCGCACGTACCATCCTTCATCACACAATGGCCAGTTGGCTGTCTAAATGATTTAGAACTTCGTTTGATCTATAAACTTCTACCATATTAGACTGGTCGCAAATTAAAAAACCCTTATTGCACAACCTACTTAACTGAAGATGAATGCTCCTTGCTCCCACTCTTTCTTCAGACTTTACTAACTTGACAACGGTCAAAATGTATTCTGTTCTTATAGGCATGTCATGACCGTCCTTAAATATTTGGTACGCGAGTGGAATCTCAAAGTATTAAAATCTCCTAAATTCGGCCACTTACCTGTCACCAACATTTAGGAAAGTGCAAAAAGTACAAATTGCCCATTTTTATTACATATGCCATCTCATTGATACAGGGAGGAAAGCGAAGCGAAGATCGACAATACTTTCCCCGTTCCCAAACCAGTCGCCAAAGTATATAAACGACCCAAAGTTGCGACAGAACAATCTTTGTCCCAATAAAATTCTGATATTAATGTTTGTTCTGGTCCTAATCTGATTTAAATTAAAAACACATATTATATAACAACAACAAGACGACGAATCATTTTATTATTAATTGTTAAACTGTTTTTGTTTCTTTGTTTTTCAGTAAGGGGACCAGATCAAGGACCTCGTAAGTATATTTTACCATGATATTAAATGATTTCCCGAAAATAGGTATAACGAGAGGGGCTTTGAGCGAAATAAAATGTGAGTTGAAATTAACTGTAAGTTTCAATAAGTTACTCTAGATTTGGTCGTAATTTTTGTTGCTCTTGTAGATAACATTTTAAGAATACATGAACTAAATATTAATTTTACAATATGTGCAAATTTAGGTCACATTTTAAAATACATGAACTAAATATTAATTCTACAATGTCACGTGCTTATAATCGTCATTTCTTTAAAACATCTCGAAACGCCAACCATATCTTTAGTATTTTGTCACTTACATATTTGATAAGATAAGTTGTCTATTCTTGTATCGATATGTTATTGTAAAGTCGTCTTAGATACATAAAACCATAACAATGAAGGTATTTTACCATGTTAACATGATCGATTTTGAACAACCTTTCTAAAACAAGAAAAACATACATGGACGAAAATGAGTTACATGTATCGTTTTGTTATCAACCTCTGAGGCACTTCAGATATTTCTATCTTTGCAAAATAGTAATAAACATGTTGATTTTTTAGAATGTAACATAAATCATATATTTGAAGTAACCACTGGCAAACAGCTATGAAATATTGGACTTGAAACAATAGTTTCAAAATACTTAAAGGCCACTTCTATAGGGTGTAACGATCTTACCATGGAACAATCCCATGTGACGTCATTAGAGTCAATCTGACCTAAAAACGTGAAAAACATGCGGCTATTTTCATTTCTTAGTGTTCCTGTTCCTATGATGAAACTGTTTGTGTAAGCTTCGAGTTGTAAAACAAACACTCAATGATTATTTTGATATAAATTATACCGTCTTTATATGCCTTTAAAAGAACTAGATATATTTCGCTATTTATTCCATTCCTGTGTACTCTGGTTTAGATTAATTATAATCCTACCTCAAATTTGCTATCACCAAACATAGTGCCAAATATGAAAACCATCTTAGAACAAAGCATGTTATAATTGAATTCCTTAAACGTCCCAATATTCGAATAGATATATATTCGAATAGATATTTATAAAGTGGATACCATTGGACACAGCTCAAATTATGAATTATACATTTGAGATTTATACTTGTAAAACACAAATACTCCGTATCACGAGGTAGTTGCCACGTACGAGAACAACTCTATTAGACTAGCCTGGGACTATGTCATATATCAAATACCCTTTTTATATTTTAATATTTGTAAAATCTGTCTCCGCCCAAGAGGTTGTCAACCTGGCAAGGTCAATGCTTAATACAATAAGTATTAATTTGCACACTTATATTTTGACACTTTCACACTATAGCAAGATGTACTACCCTTGGTCAACATACAATTGTATTCAACTACCGTTCTTATGCGAAAAAATGAGTGCATTTCTATAAAAAAAATTAACAAAATACATGAAATTAATAAAATCATGAAATTTCTGCATTTGCGTTTATTTCAATTCATAAAAACTTTTCGAGGACATTATTTTGCAAGAATATTGTGACATAATGCACTCATCGAGGTGTTACACGCATCTGACTTCTTTGACATTCTGAAATTGAAGATAATGCAAAGCTCATGTTAGCCATTGTATTCATATGTCAAATTTCAAGATATAAGAACCATTTTGTGCCGTTCTCAATACGTTTTTCGATTGGCCCATAGTGTTAATAAATATTTGATTTCTTAAAAAATGACACAGTTTAAAATTGAGATACATTAAAAAATTGACAATACTTCAAGAACGCATTTTACTTTACTTCTTACAACTGCCCGGTCTATAATATTTTGAAATATCAATTTTTATCTCATAATGTCAAAGACTCGATGTATCTCAGAAAACAAGTACCCAATACATCGATACTAATTATTTGTAAATAAGGGAGTTACCCAGGGGTCCACTTTTAATTAATGACAGACATAAGAATATTTACAAATATTGGAGTAATGTGCTTATTTCTTTCTGTGAAACATTGTCAATGCTGCTGAGTTCACTGAAATATTCAGCTGAAATATCACAGTGTAATCAAGAACACGGACACTAAACAATCAACTCTTCACAAATGTTTATGAATATAGTGCATCTAGGCTTGTTAGTTTTACTAATCATTTAATGTCCAAACAAACTATGAGTGCGGTCATTTTAATAACACCCATCTGTGTTTGTGTTATGGAATATTTTGATACATGAACCACTTAGTAAGATCAGCAATGTAAGCGTGAGATTCCCGTTTAAGATAAAGGTATCCCTTGCATTCATGAACATAACTGGGATTAAGCTGCTATTCTCTCCCCAAACTTCAACTTAAATAATTACCAAAAAATGGATCTAGTATGTTTTGCATGTCTTTGAATCCTTTCAAAGAGTTATTGCTTGAATGATGTTTTGGCCTCTCTCATTCATTCAATGGCAATCTGTAAAAAGCAATGCTCATCCAAGTGATGGAAGACAAAATAAAAAACAATATATTTTTGTATTTTTTCAGAAACTGGATGTTTAGATCCCCAGTCTCCCTCTAATGGAAGAGTTCAATGCGAAGACGACGGGTGGGATCTGTAAGTTTATGAAATTATATTTTTAATCTATGTTTATCATTAATCTAGTATAAGATAATTATAGAATAATCTACAATAACATTTTCCTACACGTTGCAATGCAACTGCATCCGAACAATTAAGTATAATTGTATTGTAAGCGAAACGCAACAATAAATAACTCTATAGATATATTGACGTTAGGTACCCTATAATATCCACTTGAACATTTCTTTTCCAGAATCTGTACAGGGACCTGTCTCAGTGGTTGGTCTTTCCCAACGAGGGAAGACTCGATCCAGTTGATCTGTGATCACTATGACGGGAGCTGGCAGAATGATGCCAATTCGTATCCTGCTTGTGTTCGTAAGTAAAAATATATTCATGCAGCATTCTCTTAGTACTACAGTAATTCAAACGAGAATATTCGTAATTTGATTCATGACATGACGTCATTTATTCATACAGAATTCCCTTAGTACTAATTCAAACTTAGTACTATACAAGTTTCCAAATTCAATTTCTAGCATGACGCCTTTAATATTGAATTGTAATGGTTTATTCTTTAACCCAATACATCGAATCTTAATCTATTCTCATTTCTCATCATTGTATGTAATTTTGACTTGCTTCATGACGTCATTAAATGATAGCTCTAGTGTTCCTTTAAATACCTGCATGCTTTCCTAAACTAACATTTATTTTATTTTAGCACACTGTTCGCTACCATGTCATAATGGAGGTCGATGCGTGGCACCTAACACTTGCACATGTCCAAAAAACTTTAGGGGCAATACATGTGAATTCCGTAAGTGGCCTGATACGTGAGAGTATAGCATAGATGATTTCAGTCACAAGAATACAATAGTACACAATACCTCCATGAGAAAAGAAAGGATATTCCAAATTTTATCATTTTATGTATGGGCTAAATCTACCCTACCTTGAAATCATATTTCAAAGAAAATCTTTGAAGTTAGTAAGCAATTTTAATCCACATTTCTGAATGTAATTTTGTTCGTGGAATTCAAACCTGTTCTCATTTTTACATATTTTTGATATTTTACGATGAAAATCAAAATTACCTAGTCTATTAAAATAGGTCGGATATTTTTCGGATTATTCGGGGGGGGCAATTTTTGAAGGAAAATGTTCTCATCTCATGTTCAGGAGAAAGTTGTCGGCAAAATGATTTCCTAAATTTCTTTAAAGTAAAATAAATAAGTAATTGCCAACAAGTAGCTTTATCAAAATATCTAAAAATGGTTTCATGATATCAATGACCAATATTATAATACTCTACTTTCAGCCATCGATGCATGTAGCATAACTGACCCTCCTGCAAACGCTAATGTATCCTGCACACATGACAACACCATGACCAGGTGTTATGTCTCATGTCAGAAAGGCTACCGCTTTGAGACGCCCCCTGCAGATGAATATAGTTGTGATATAGATGGGGACTGGTCCCCAACCTCAAACATGCCAGATTGCGTCCCTGGTAAGTCATTTTTAAACCCTTGTTAGCAAATGTTTTATACCTTACATTTATCGAGAATATGACAAAATAAATAGCACCTGTTCTTCTTGACGCACAAAGTAAAAAGCTTATTGTCGAATTTCTTCTTGGGATGTTCTCTTGGTGATTAATTGGAATCATGATAATCAATATAACATTTTATCCTTTTACATTTTATCCTTACAATTACAATGATTAAATGTGAAAGATGCAGGTAGTAAATAGAAGTGCGCAAAAGAAAATAAACACTGTATTATATTTGCAGAGGTCACTATCATTCCTGGAACCAATGTCATTCCAACATTTGTGCCTGTCACAGAAGCCCCTCCACCGCCTTTCGAAGAGCCATACTGCGCGACATGGGGCCAAAGTCATTACAAAACATTTGACAGTCGATATTATGAATTTAGCAGTCAATGTACATATGTTCTAGCAAGAGACTGCGGATTAAACACATTTGATATTCATGTTGTTAATGACAAATCATGCACGGCTAATGATAAATGCAGTCGAGCAATTAAGATGTACGTTGGTGAATCAGTGCTGGCACTGTTTAGAGCAGAGAATGGCCCAGTTGTGACATGGAACGGCGATGCCGTCTCAATACCAAGTTCAGTTGCTGGTATAATTGTTGAACAAATTGCAGATTATATTTATGTAAGGACATCATTGGGAATAAAACTACGATGGGACAGTTGGGAAGGTATTTATGTGGAGCCTAATGATGATATGATTGGGAAAATGTGCGGACTCTGTGGTACTTACGATGGCGACAGAAGCAATGATTTCACCTCAATTGACGGTAATGAGATGAGACTGGCAGATGGCTTCGCAGAAAGCTGGAAGATGGAAAACTTCGACGGTAATAAATTTGACGTTGTCCCTTGATTACAAGTATACAAAAGAGTAAATCATCGGGGAACACGCCTGTCTTTATTATTAAACATCAGGCCGATCATTTTGATTTAAATTTTAATTCCAAGCATCACTCTGAAGACTTAATTCGGAAATCTCATTTTTTAACTAGGACATAATAAGCTGAGAGAGAAGTAACATTCTTTATTAGATTGAAAACTTTTCGATAAACAAATCGAGACACTTCTAAACGTTTACTGTAACAGGCTAAGTGGCGGATCATCTCACCTGTCACGATTGTTATGTACCATTTTATATTCATACTTCCTGGTGGAAAAATAAAGAATGAATAGAAAACATATACTAGTATTTACAACAGGTAAGGCAAAACCCATATCAAAAATTCATACTATGTTATATTGTCCGTTTTAAGATTCTTGTCGAGATGTTGTCCATCCTGATTTATGCGACCCTTCAACCCAAAGCGGTTCAATGAGACTGCGAGATGCCCAGTCCCGATGCCGTTTCCTTCTTGAGCCTCAATTCACAGCTTGTTCAGAGGTATAACCTTTTTTCGTCTTCTTGTGAATGAGAGCATGTTTTAACTTGATTTATAAAGGTTTTTCTCAAGGAATACACTAGTACTATTTTCAAAGTATGTTCATTCCAATAGTGAATTAAAGCGCATTTTGGGGAGACACACGATCGAGCGACTGAAATTGCCTAATTTCAGGGTCTTTGTCTTATTTACTTCGTGTCCATGGAAAATATGCATTTATGATTAATATTCTGGAGTCACGACGTTTGGATAGTAAAACGGTGGACTTGCTTTCTATTTTAGAAATTGGACCCAACACCATACATCTCTGCTTGCGAGAAGGACTACTGTAGTTGCAATTCTACTGAAAGGAGCGACTGCCCTTGCAACAGCTTTTCTGAATATTTCAGAGCATGCGCACGCATTGGTATCAAGAAAGTTCCAAACTGGAGATCAGGCCAAACATGCCGTAAGTATCGTCGTACCCATATAGACCATGTAAACCCAAATATTAAAGAATCAGGTCGCCATTTGATATAAATTCTTTTACTGAATCATAAAATTATTATAGCAAACCATGAATATTAGTTTGCATTGTTTAGGTTTTTACAAATACATTATCGAAAATATATTTCAAGGTCGTCATTTTTATTGCAGCAATTAAATGTCCATTCGGGCAAAACTACGACCAATGTGGTACATCATGTCCTAAAACGTGTGCCAACACGCTAGATGCTTGTATAGGGGAACACTGTGTAGATGGCTGTCAGTGTCCAGCAGGACATGTTGTCTATGGAGACACTTGTCTGAAGCCAAATGAATGTCCTTGTGTTTACCAAAGGAAGGAGTTTAGTAGTGGTAGCATCATTGCTCAAGATTGCAACACTTGGTAAGTAAGATTTCGGGGGAACCTTGAAAAAACAGGACATATCCTACAATTTTATTCCTTTTTGATCAACATTTCAAGTCGCGTGATGATCGTAGGCATGTTCTGATACCCCCCTTTTGCTTTACAGTAAATGCAAATCCGGTAAATGGGAGTGCACGAAGCTTGTATGCACTGCAATGTGTTCAACAAGTGGCGATCCACATATCAAAACATTCGATGGCAAACGCTACAATTTCATGGGCACCTGCTCCTACTACCTATTGTTCGATGAACAATACAAGATTATTGCTGAATACGGCAAGTGTGGCAGTTTGGAGTCTACCTGTACAAAATCTGTTGTCATCAAGGTCGGAAGTATCACCGTTCAGCTGAAGACTCATAAAGCGGTCCTCATCAATGGCGTAGAAATCGCTGAGAGACCACAGAGGTTACCGGGGATAAGGATACAAGAGGCGACGTCCATATTTACACTGGTAATCATTAGCCATTTACCGCCCAGCCCAAGTGCCATATGTATTATACCGCCGGTTTTTGATGACATCATAAATTGATTGAAGTAACTTGATTGATAATCCAATTAGTTTTAATACAAAGGTAGTTATAAATTATATAAAAAGTCACGGTGGCGCTAACCTTTTATTGTTAGTACAATGACACTTTGAAACATGGTATTATTTTCAGGTTCAACTAGACAATGGGATAAGAATTCACTGGGACAGTCAGTCAAGAGCTTACATCTATGCTCCTCCGGAATTCAAAGATAAGACACTTGGTTTATGTGGTACATTTAATGGCAACCAAAAAGATGACTTCACAACAAGAGAGGGTGATATTGAGTTCAATTCAGTTGACTTTGGAAACAAATGGAAGGTTGAGTACTTGTGTAATAATGTCGTTGACCCCGTAGCCGACCCATGTGAGATCTACACCCAACGAAAACCAGTCGCAATCACAGAATGTGCTAAACTGAAAAGCGAACTATTTGCTGGTAAAGAAATATATCTTCTACATGCATGAAACCAAAACGAAACTGATGTCACCCAAAAATGACATGTTAGAGTAGTTGTTCGAATCTAGCCTTATCATTATCACTCATAGACGATCATGTAATGTCCACGTCGTTGTTGTTAGAGTCACGTTCTTAATATTTAACTTAGAGATTCAATTACAGAACTATCATTCATTCGTTACTTGGACTTTCTTTCAGATTGCCACGATGTTGTCGCTGTTGATACATTTTACCAAAATTGTATGTATGATGTGTGTGAATGCACTGGCTCTCTGGCTGACTGCCTTTGTCCCACCCTTGGTACATACGCCGATGAATGTGCCAAGATGGGAGTTCCAATGCAATGGAGACAATTCGTTACACCATGTGGTATGTATAAAATTATAGAGTTTGAGTTATTGGTTTGAATGATTGTATTTATTTTCTTGTAACCTATTCACAGTAATAGTTTTTGATATTGTCTTAACAATTTAATCCGTCGCCCCGTGTTTTACCTTAACCCCTATTGGTATCCTGACAAATCAATTCTTGGGAGTTTCCATGACGAGTCACTATTTTTTCAGCCGTAAGTTGTACAGGAGGACAGACATACCAGGCGTGTGCGAGCCCATGTGGCCGCACGTGTAGAGATATCAACATAAACCCAGCCTGTGTCGAGGTATGCGTTGAAGGTTGCAACTGCCCAGCTGGAAAAACTCTCAGTGAGAACAACGAGTGTATTCCCGTTGATGAATGTCCGTGTATTTTTGATGAGAGGGAATATGAGAGCGGATTTATTACAATCAGAGGAGAGGAAGTCTGGTAAGTATTAAAAATAGTGGTCTGGATAGACTTGGTTAATAGGTGGCGATTGCGCATGAGGGATCAGCTTAAAAAGTGTCAAGCAAAATATTGCTGATTCATCCATCATAAGTGCACCCTCTTGAAGTAATATAAGTCTTGATATAATTGAAAGCTGCTCTCAATTTCTGATTCGGTCTTTAAGTTCATATGGATTATTTCAGCCAATGTATTGGTGCACAGTGGAAGTGCGTACCAAAGACAGACCAACACGACCCGGAAAAGATTCCACCAATCTGCCCGGAGCACATGGTTTATTCGGATTGTGTGCCAAATTGTCCAAAGACTTGCTCCAGCATCCAGTCTGACGATTGTGACCAGGTACACTGCCAAGCAGGCTGCCAATGCGCGGATGGTTACGTCATGGATGACTCGAGTCGTGTCTGTGTCAAAGAAGAGGAGTGTCCATGTATGCATGGTGGAAAGAGCTTCAGAGAGGGTGATACCATTACAATGGATTGCAACCTCTGGTAGGTTAATATTATATTCTGTCTTCCCTTAACTGTTGAGCTTTCCAAATGAGAAACGTCTGGATTGGAAAGACACAGAATGATTGTATCTGTATATGTAGCATGGTCAGAAGTCCCCGCAAATAAAAAAAGTCGTTTGTTAAGAATGCCTTGTACACACACTTGTTGAATGTTGAACGAATATAATGAAGTAGAAAGTGTTATAAATCATTGTCACCTATTACTTAATTCCACAGCACCTGCCTTAACAGACGTTGGACCTGCGAGACAAAGCCATGTCCGGGAATATGCACCAACTGGGGATCTTCCCATCATATCACATTTGATGGGAGCGAGTTTCAGTTTGCCGGCACCTGTGAATATGTGATGGTAGCTTCAGCCGCATCGAACAATTACAAGTTTATTGTAACGACTGAGAATGTGGCCTGTGGTACCAGTGGCGTCACGTGCACAAAGTCTGTCAAATTCAGCCTTGGCACCCCAGGTAAATTGGTAATATTCTTGAAGTTGATTGGTTTAGGTCCTGGTCACATGTGGTGTGATGGTGATTGTTTGGATTGATGGTTGAAACAGCCATTTTAACGTTGTACAGAAGAAATCGATGTTGTACGAAATTTACATCTCATCCTTGACAGTTTGATAACCATTTATGAATAATTTTGGGCATGTTTTGTAAACACATATTTTACAAGTAGGAATACTATTTGTTGATCACAGTAGAGAATACATCATTTATATAATATTTAAATAATGTCAAAGACTTTAACTACATATCTCAAAAATGTATTTGGCATTAAACAACATACTAATCTGACATTGCAGGAACCAGCAGTTACGTTGAAATGCAGCTCATAAGAGACCGAAATATTGTCGTGCCTAGCAACGCACCATTTAGCGTCCAAGAAGTCGGTCTATATGTGTTTGTGGTAACGGACATTGGCGTGACCCTCATGTGGGATAAAGGAACACGGCTCTACATAAGACTCGATAGCAGACATTCCGGAAAGGTAAATGCACCATACATTATGTACACGTCGTCATAGTTTCCGAGCATACAACTCAAATTTGGCAAAACCTTTCTTGGCTTATAACACTTGTTTAGGAGAAATACTAGACATGTGAAAAGATATTTGTATACAAAATTTACTATATTACATTAAAACATATAAAGAGATGACTCCAATGTTTATACATGTATGTTAGATTGATTGAATATACCTTTGTACGGATGTATGGTGCAACTGCTGACCATTTACACTATTTGCTCAGGTTGAGGGTCTTTGTGGCGACTATAATGGTGACGAGTCAAATGACTTTACTCCTCCAAACGGCGGCATGCCTCTGACGAAACCAGAGGACTTTGGTGAAAGTTGGAAGGTGCACAGTTATTGTGAAAAAGCTACTTCCGTCCCCGGAGCCTGTGAGCATTCACCGTACAGAAAACCATGGGCCCAGAAAGAGTGCGGTATTATCGCCGGTGATCTTTTCGCTGAATGCCACGGAGAAGTACCATACCAATCCTATTTGGAAAGGTGAATAGTATTTTCAAATGAAAAGTGTGCTACAAGGAAAACTAAAGAGCAGTATAACAAAGAAAATGAAAATTCAAGAGTACAATCGGTCATGAAGAAAACAAATTTCACGTTGTTCTGACAATGTCCCAATATACAAAGAAAAAGTAACATCCCTTCCCCAGTATTCTAAAGGTGTACCAAATGCTATGGAAAATGACTTACCTATAACGTTACCTATACAAACCTCTGAAAAGCACGAAGTCGTTCATATGGTCAAACTCTTTATATGACACTCACCAATTGTCTAATTGATTCTGTTTCCATTTGTATCATAGATGTATTTATGACACATGTGCCTGTGATATGGGAGGGGACTGCGAATGTCTTTGTACCGCCATAGCTGCATACGCTCAAGAATGTACACTGAAGGGAGTTGAAGTTCGCTGGAGGTCACAAGAACTATGTCGTAAGTAACTTAGTCTCTTTGGAAACACAATAGAACGTGATCATGGTAATATCCTTAAATTATACGCTGTGCTTAGTAGGCTCCGAACGACAGGCCAAGAAAGAGTACTTACAGCACTATACATACCTACAAAACTTAATTTTGACGTTGTCTTCATTATGTGTAGTTGCCGTTCGTTGCTCATTACTTTCTACATCTTCTAAAATATGTCTATTTTATAAACATTTAGCTATGCAATGTGAAGACTGTATGGAATACCAACCATGTGTGAGTCTTTGTCCACCTCGAACCTGTGAAAACAGAAATGAATACGACTCCATTTTGAGCACGTGTGATGACATCATGTGTGTAGAGGGGTGCGATTATACACCTTGCCCCCCAGGCCAAATATTCCTGAACAATACTCATCCACCCAAGTGTATCCCCGAGGTTATCTGCAGATCAACTTGTATTGTCAATGGTAAAGAATACGTTGAGGGTCAGCCTATTACCGATCCAGCCGTCTGTGACCCATGCCAAGTATGGTAAGTTGAGATTTCAATTTTCCATACATTTACTCATACATACAGAACATAAATGTTATCTCTACGCTTGGCTCTGGGATATCTTAACTGTGATATGTTTTCGTTTTAGCTTTTGCGAAGGTGGCTACGTCAAGAAAACTGGAACACCATGCTCTACAGTCAGTAGACCTATTACAACTGGTCCAACCGGCGTAACCATTACACCTACTGGTATAACCAGACCAAGCACCGGACTGACGGTTACCATCACCGAACGTCCACCAACTGGCTCCCCAACTGTCGGCACCGGGACCACAACTGTCGGCACAGGCCCAACTACTCCACCCCCAAGTGCAACAACGCCAAAAGTGGGAGTTACCACAACACCAACGACTGTTACTACATTCGAGCCGGTCTGTTTGGAAGATGGATGGACCCAGTGGATGAGTAGCTTTATCCCTACACCACTGAACCAGGGAGATCTGGAAACGTATCCTAATTTGAGAAAAGCCTACCAATTCTGTAGCTTTAACGAAATTACAGCCGTTCAATGTAGAGTCATTGGTACAAACACAATGGCTGACTACTCCGGTCAAACCGTCACCTGTAGTATGGATAACGGTCTTATATGTTACAACAAGGACCAGGAGGCAAACACATGCTATGATTATGAGGTTAGGGTATATTGTGAGTGTACAGAGGCTACTACACCTGTTGTACCACCGAGTGGCGAATCGACCACACCAAGTGAGGTGACGACCCCTGGTGGCACTCTACCACCGGGTGTCTCTACAACAGCTTGTGAATATTGGAGTGAATGGATGAACGCCTACACACCCGACGATGAAGGTTAGTATGCAACCTTTCAGTTAATAGCATGTATGACATTTCATCTAGATATCAACGCATTTTGTTTGTACGTTTCTCATTGGTATTCTCGTATTATAGGTGACAAAGAACTTCTTCCAACTCTTAGAGGCTTTTATGACTTCTGTGAAAGCAAATACATTTCTGAGGTGAGATGTCGAGCTGCTGAGTCACAAGTACCTTCTGAGTTTACTGGCCAAGATACACAGTGTGGAGTGGAAGTTCCTGGCTTCAGATGCAGTAACGATGGTACACCTGACGGAACTTGTCTGGATTACGAAATACAAGTGAAATGTGAATGTACGGTTCAAGGTACAACTCCAGGAGGGGAGGGTACCACACCAGGAGAGGTCACTGGAACACCTAAACCAAAAACCCCTGGTACTGAAGAAACACAGGGACCAACTGGAGCCACAACTCCTAAGCCAACTGGCCCAACTGGTCAACCACCAACAGGCACCCCAGGTACTGGTACACCAGGTATTGGATCAACTGAAACACCAAAAACACCAGAAACACCAGTCACCGGTACGCCAGGATCACCAATTACTGGATCAACTGAAGGACCTGGAACAACAGAGACTGGTACACCAGGACCCAGCACACCGGGTACGGGTGGCACAGAATCAACTGGAGCAACAACTCCACGACCAACTGGCCCAACAAGCAAACCTCCGACAGGAACGACCCCACGTGTGCCAGAGTGTGAGAGGACAGGCTGGACCGAGTGGATCGACACAGACAGTCCTACTACTGGGGCAGGCGATATTGAGAGTGTAACTGATATCATCAATACTGTAGATGGTATGTGCCCACAAGATATGGTCTCTGCAATTCAATGTAGGGATGCTAATACCAAGGATGGGGTAGGTCTGACTGATGATTCTGAAGTAATCTGTACAATCCAAGATGGTCTCGTGTGCTTAAGCAGCAAACAGGCTGATGGTCAGTGTGAGAACTACGAAGTGAGATTCTTCTGCAAGTGTACAGAGGAAAGTAAGTATTGGTTCTTTTTAAAATTACATATTATTGCATTTGATTAATGAGCTTTATGATCAGTTTAATGAAATAATGCATTTAATTGTCTATAAATATTGTTACCAATCATTAAGCATCCCCTCCATTTTTGCACTTTGAATCTTAATTACCTTCATCGATTGATAAGTGCACAGATCCTTTGTTTGTCACCCCTACAGATCTGGTCATGGCTTTAAGTTCTAGAATTGTTCTCGTGTAATAGTACCGTATATGGGTATGTGTTGCCTCTTGGGATTCCTGATTTGCATTATGTTATTTTCCTATAATTTAGTTTGTGACAAACCAATCATATCTGAGGATGGCAATATTGAGGATAGTCAGCTGAGTTCAACAGGATATTGGGGCACTGATCCAAGACACGGACCCCAGAGATCAAGACTGGACACCGTCCTAGGCCCAGGGGGATACGGTGGCTGGACTGCACGAGTCAATGACCAGGAACAATGGATCAAGGTAACATACTCATAATTAAACATTATTTAATTAACCTGTCAAGTGTTTCACTGTTGTATCAGAGAGTTAAATAACACAATTACTAAATCGTTCAGATATACAGGGTGGGCCAAAAAAAACCAATACCCAACTTTAAATCAGAATGAAAATAGCTATGTTCAGTATGATACATTGATTTATATATCATTTTAAAGGTAAACCATTTTCGAACAAATTGGTATATAACAATATGTCATGAAATCAATATTAAAGTTTTATTATGCTTATTTGGGAGGCCGGGTCGGTATTTAAGGTATCTAGATTTTAGGGAGAAAATAGTAAATCTGCGGAATAATGTTAATTTTTTATTTATAGAATATCATTCAGTTAGGTGAATACAAGCTTGTATATTTGCACATTGTGTGACTAAACTTATTGTTTATGAATTTCAGTGTTGTTTATTATCAATAAGTACTCAATAAGGGGTCTGTTAAAAGACATTAAACGGATATGTGACAAGGATTTATTTTCCAACAAGACATTGCCTCGTACTATAGACCAAAGGAGACATTGGCATTTCTTTGCAAACAAGGTGTCAATTTGATTGATCTCAATGCTTGGCCACCCAACAGCCCCGATGCTAATGTGTTTGATTACCATACATGGAGCCATCTCGAGGAAATGGTACAATCAAATGCATCCAATAAACAGCATTGATGAGCTGAAACAGAATCCTAAAGTGCTGAAATGAATTGTAACAGAAATCTCTCAAGAAGGCTATTAATAGATTGCGCTACCACTTGAAGCTTATTGTTGATGCAGAGGGGAGGGGGTAGGGGTATATTGAGCAATTGTTAAAATTCTTTAAATAAACAAAGTGTAAAATCTTATTAAACAATACTGAAATTGATAAACAATAAATTTAGTCACACAATGATGCAAATATCAATATCCAAGCATGTTTTCACCTAACAAAAGAATGATATTCTATAAATAAAAAATTAACATAATTCCGCAGATTTACTATTTTCTCCCTTTAATCTGGAGACCTTAAATAGCAACCCGGCCTCCAAAATAAGTATAATAAAACTTTAGTATTGATTTCATGATATAGTGTTATATACCAAATTGTTTGAAATTGTATAACCTTTAAAATGATATGTAAGTCAATGTACCATATTGAACGTAACTATTTTTATCCTGATTTGAAGTTGGGTATTGGTTTTTTTTGGCCCACCCTGTATATATAAAACTGAAAAATTATTTTAGATCTTCGTGGTGCAAAGAAAGTGAAACTACGCCAGCAGTAAAACCTTCAATAATGAAAATTCAATGTATGTAATCATACTCATTGTATATCTGCTGCATTTGAATTTCCAGCATACGTTCATTAATTTGATGCTTTTGTTTAAATAAAGGTTGATTTCGGAACACCAATAGAGGTTGCAGGGTTGGTCACACAAGGTCGCTCAGATAAGCCCGAGTGGGTGAAAAGCTACCGAGTCATACTGAGTGATGACAACTGTGAAAACTTCTTTTATATGACCACTGAAGATGGCACAACCCCAAAGGTAAAATATCCATTTAAAGTGGTTTATGCATTAATTTACTGTTAAGATACATGAGAATCTATAGATTAATAATTGTCGTTTTGATTTAGATTTTTGATGCAAACCTTGACCAGAACACCCAAGTAAAAATCATGTTCGATAACATCCCTACGACACGTTGCATTGGAATCAACCCCATAGATTGGCATAGCGCTATTAGTTTACGATGGGATGTACTGGGATGTAGGCAGCCAAGTAAGTGATGAACCATTTTATCTTCACATTTAATACTAATATTGCTATAAGGTTACTCTGATTTTTATGTCACCACCAAAAAGAGATAATATATTGTTATGGTCTCCGTTTTTGTGACGGCAGTTGGTGGTTGGCGTCTGTAACAAATTCTTAGAGTTCCAATAATTTAACAAATACTGTTTAGACTGCCATCATTTTTTCTAAATCATCGTCGAGTTCTCAGAAGTTTAAATCTGACTTTATGTTTGAAATTTGACCTTCCAATGTCAAAAAAGGTCTTCTTTTGACTCGCTCCAAATTGACCAAATGTTTTTTTCAAAATCATCTACAAGTTCTCAGAAGCTCAAATCTGACTTTAGATTTGACCTTCAATGACCTTCTCAAGGTCAAAAAGATCTTTTTACAACTTGCTTCAATCTGACCAAACTTTTAAAAATTCATTTACAAATTCTCGCAAGCTAGAATCTGACTTTAGATTTGAGATTGATGACCTTCTCAAGGCCTTGTATAGGTATAACCTTTCAATCTATTTTAATTTTTATAATAATTCCTATTTGATAAGGTACACCTGGAACTCCTGGAACAACAGGCACTGAACCAACTGAAGGAACACCAGGAACAGGAACCCCGGGTACTGAAAAGCCACCAACTGGTACTACACCAGCTGAAGGAACTGGGTCAACTGGAACAACACCAACTGAAGTAACTTGGTCAACTGGACCTCCAGGAACTGGAACCCCGGTTACCGGGACACCACCCACTGGACAGCCACCAAGCGGCACTCCACCAACTGAAGGCACTGAACCAACTGGAACAACACCAACTGAAGTAACTGGGCCAACTGGACCTCCAGGAACTGGCACACCAGGGCCTGGGACACCAGGAACTGGAACCCCAGTTACCGGGAAACCGCCCACTGGACAGCCACCAAGTGGCACTCCACCAACTGAGGAAACTGAGCCAACTGGAACAACACCAACTGAAGTAACTGGGCCAACTGGACCTCCAGGAACTGGCACACCAGGGCCTGGGACACCAGGAACTGGAACTCCAGTTACCGGGAAACCGCCCACTGGACAGCCACCAAGTGGCACTCCACCAACTGAGGAAACTGAGCCAACTGGAACAACACCAACTGAAGTAACTGGGCCAACTGGACCTCCAGGAACTGGCACACCAGGGCCTGGGACACCAGGAACTGGAACCCCAGTTACCGGGAAACCGCCCACTGGACAGCCACCAAGTGGCACTCCACCAACTGAGGAAACTGAGCCAACTGGAACAACACCAACTGAAGTAACTGGGCCAACTGGACCTCCAGGAACTGGCACACCAGGGCCTGGGACACCAGGAACTGGAACCCCAGTTACCGGGAAACCGCCCACTGGACAGCCACCAAGCGGCACTCCACCAACTGAAGGCACAGAGCCAACTGGAACATCACCAACTGAAGAAACTGGGCCAACTGGAACTCAACCAACTGAGGCTACACCAGGGACTGGAACAGCAGGGACACCTGGAACAGGAACACCAATTACACCTCCAGTTACTCCAGAACAAACTACACCCAGATCAACAATACCAGCTAGTTGTTACGAACATGGTTGGACAGAATGGATGAACATCGACCACCCGGTGGTGAAATATCCTTTCGAAAATAATGGTGATGGTGATTATGAGCTCATTTCTGAGCTAAGGTATTACTACGGATTTTGTGCAAAGCCAGACACAATCCAATGCAGAGTTGCTGGGTCCAATTCGATGTGGCACACGTCTGGCCACAATGGTATTGTATGCGATCTGACACAGGGATTGATTTGTTTGAATGCTGCACAGGACTCCAAGATATGTGAGGATTTCGAAATTAGATTCTTCTGTGACTGTGAAGGTAATTTTGAATACTAAATTACACTGAATAAGGTCATATGAGTTTGTTTGGTTAAGAATAGTAGATCACAAAAGGAAACACAATATAAACAATTTTGTTAAAATCTGTACACTTTATATTAAGTTACACACAATTACATGATTTTGATTTTTAGAGCCAACTGGAACCACACCAACAGGACCGATTCAAACTACTCCTGGTGCAACAGTGAGCCCAGTTACAACGGGCGTACCACTTACTACATGGGCTCCAATGTGTATAAAGACAGGATGGACTGACTGGATGAACTCCATAATGCCAAACAACAAGGGAGAATATGAAAGCATCCATAATTTGAGAACGAAGTTCCAATTCTGTGCCGATCCAGTTGCAATTGAATGTAAGGTGGCTGACACTGATATTCATTTTTACGAGGCTGGACAACAAGGTGTAACGTGTGACATCAACAGAGGTTTAATCTGTGAGCATGGTATGCAAGCACAAGGACAATGTTTTGACTATGAAGTCCGAGTTTTCTGTATTTGTCACCCGTCTACAGAGACTCCATCTACAACTCCAGGAACTGGTTCAACAGAGGAAACTGGACCAACTGGAACTCCAGGAACGGGCACACCTGGGCCTGAGACACCAGGAACTGGAACCCCAGTTACTGGAAAACCACCCACTGGACAACCACCAAGTGGCACTCCACCAACTGAAGGCACTGAGGCAACTGGAACAACACCAACTGAAGTAACTGGGCCAACAGGACCTCCAGGAACTGGCACACCCGGACCTGAGACACCGGGGACTGGAACCCCAGTTACTGGAAAACCTCCCACTGGACAGCCACCAAGCGGCACTCCACCAACTGAAGGAACTAGGCCAACTGGAACAACACCAATTGAAGGAACTGGGCCAACTGGACCTCCAGGAACTGGTACACCTGGACCTGAGACACCAGGAACTGGAACCCCGGTTACCGGAAAACCACCCACTGGGCAACCACCAAGTGGCACTCCACCAACTGAAGGCACTGAGCCAACTGGAACAACACCAGCTGAAGTAACTGGGCCAACTGGAACTCCAGGAACTGGCACACCTGGGCCTGAGACACCAGGAACAACTGGAGCCCCGGGGACAGGAAAACCACCTACTGGACAGACACCAACTGGTACCCCACCAACAGAAGGTACAGGTTCACCAGGTACACCTGGAACTCCTGGAACTGTACCGACCGGAACACCAGGAACAGGATCACCAAGTCCATCAACACCAACCAAGCCGGTTACACTTCCATACGAATGTGAAGTTGGTTGGACTGAATGGATCAACATTGACAACCCAACAACTGGAAATGGAGACCAAGAAATTCCACAGTCTATCCCCGGCTACCCACAGACATGTACACCAGTCGGTGTGGAGTGTTATGATGTTGAAACTGACAGGCCATCCTTCACCACGGGCCAGGATGTAACATGCCAAGCAGAAACAGGATTGAGTTGTATAAACTCTGCAACACAGACATGCAGAGACTACAAAGTCCGATTCTACTGTTTGTGTGAGTAATTTTACAATTTCAAATTGGTTTTGTTTTGTAATTATTATGTTTTGTGACATAAAGATATATAAAGTGTTGAAACCTATTTAACGAGTTAACTACCTTTCTAAATGTATGTTATATAACTTGTGCATGAATGTCTATTTTTGCACTAGACTTAGCCTTTGTTTAATCAATATTTCAACAGGTCCAACACAACGCCCATCTACCACTGCTCCACCAACAACAACAGGTCCAAGTAGGATAACACCATCTATAGGAACTGGAACTGGACCAACTAGAACACCAGGTACCGGACCTACTGGGACACCTGGCACGGGACCAACTGGAACACCGGGAACTGGATCAACTGAGGGCACACCTGGGACTGGAACACCAGTCACAGGTCCCACTGGAACACCCTCAACAGAAGCTCCTACGACAGGGCCAGGAGAAATCATAGCATCACCTATCCCTCCTAAGTGTACTAGCCATGGCTGGACTCGATACTTCAACAGTGATAGCCCAGATAACTATAACCAAGGAGATTATGAGACCATAGAGAGACTACGAAAGGCCTTCCAATTTTGTTTCGATGACCAGATAGTTGGTGTTGAATGTGTTATTGCTGGAACAGATGATCCAGCTCATACCACTGGTCAAGTAACTTCATGTACACAAGAGTCTGGATTTGTTTGTCGTGACGAAGATCAACCCAATGGTGAGGTCTGTCTTGACTATGCTGTCCGCTTCTTCTGTTTCTGTACGCCTCCAACTGAGGTACCAACAACACCACCACGTACAGGACCAACTGAGGGAACTGGTACACCAGGAACCTCACCACCTGAGGGAACTGGCACACCCGGACCTGAGACACCTGGAACTGGAACCCCAGTTACTGGAAAACCACCCACTGGACAGCCACCAAGTGGTACTCCACCGACTGAAGGAACTAGGCCAACTGGAACATCACCACCTGAAGGAACTGGGCCAACTGGAACAACACCAATTGAGGGAACAGGACCAACTGGACCTCCAGGAACTGGCACACCAGGGCCTGAGACACCAGGAACTGGAACCCCAGTTACTGGTAAACCACCCACTGGACAGCCACCAAGTGGTACTCCACCGACTGAAGGAACTAGGCCAACTGGAACATCACCACCTGAAGGAACTGGGCCAACTAGAACAACTCCAATTGAGGGAACAGGACCAACTGGACCTCCAGGAACTGGCACACCAGGGCCTGAGACACCAGGAACTGGAACCCCAGTTACCGGAAAACCACCCACTGGACAGCCACCAAGTGGTACACCACCAACTGAAGGGACACCAGAAACTGGAAAAACTACTGAACCAACGGCACCTGCACCGACAACACCAGGTACGAAATTATAACAAAGATTAATTAATTGTATCTAAAGAATCACTTAAGTACTGATTGGTTAAGATCTTTCTAATTTCCAACCTTATTTAATTTAGGTGAGTGTCCAGATGGACTAGAGTGGTCTGAGTGTGCGTACAAGTGCAACCAGTTGTGTAACTACTTCATGGGAACATGGACCATCGAAGAGGTCTGTGAAAAGGAAGACAACTGTGTTGCATCTTGTAAACCACCAGTTGAATGCAATGAATCAGAGAGATACAGGGATCCAAATACCTGTGTGGAACCAATCCACTGTACTTGTAGAGACCTGGATGGGAACGAAGTACCGGTAAGTCTTTAATTACATTCTATTTAATTGGCGTATATTCTCTCAATTAAGAAATTTGTCCTAAATACATGAGTACCTTCAAATTATCTAGTTGCTTTCTTGATATTGACTTGAAAGTGCATTGTGATTTCATCCATATGTATGTCATAGCGAGTATACTGGATGTACTACAGTTGTGACACTGGTATCTCATAAAAACTTATTTGAGAAAATATTAAGTTTTGGTAACCATTCATTCAGAAACATAACAACGTTAATCACATAATATTTGCTCTATATGCAAAGAGAGTTGAAGTATGACGACTCTAATGAATATGTTGATTTTTCCAGAATGGCGCAGTCTGGGAGGTTGACGAATGCACAGAGTGCATGTGTTGGGATAACAGTGTTAATTGTGCAACAACTCCTGGTTGTGTGCCGTCTACAACTCCTGCACCAACCACACAAGCGACTACCCCTGTAGAAACAGAGCAGCCAACAACAGGTTTGGCATTTAACACAAACGGAGTCAAATACATTGACAAACATGTAAAATTAGTTATTTTGATCGTAATTGAAGCACGCCAAATATCTAAATGTCTAGTTGAGATGTATTCTAAAAACTAAGTAATATTCGAATCGGAGGATGTATTCATTTACTTTCGTTATTATAGACCTGTCAACTAACTCGTTTCATTTTAGTTGGAGTCTGTGAGGAGCCAATGGGACTTGAATACGACACAATTATTAAGGACTCCCAGATCACTGCCTCATCAGAGTTCGATTACAGATATTCTGCACCAAGAGGACGTATCAATACTGAGCCTGAGGATGATTTGGCCGGAGCATGGGTACCAAGGTAAAAATTTACATCCAATACAACACACAGAACAAGGTTGCAATTGTGAATATGAAAAGAGCAATATATTGTTTCATCTGCGATATGAACACTGAGCACTGAGTGCTTGTTAGAAATGCGAATTGACTGGTACATCAAATACTCAGATAATAACCTGCTTGGAACTTATCAATCGTTAATGTTAATTACTATTGTTTTATTACTTTTAAATTCTAAACATTTTGTTTATTTAGATTCAACGAACCAGGCCAATGGATTCAGGTTGATTTTGAGGAGCCTACTCTTATATCAGGAGTTGTGACCCAGGGTAGAGAAGACCAACCCCAATGGGTACAATCATTCATTGTACTGATTAGTGAAGATGGCGTCAATTTTACTCCATACACTGATTACCCAGGAGAACTAGCTAAGATATTCCCAGGAAACACAGACCAAAATACACTGGTTAAGAACCCATTTAATCGCAATATTATCGCCCAGGTTATCCGTATTCAGCCCGTAACATGGGAAGACGCCATTGCCATTAGGTTCAATGTACTTGGTTGTGCGGAGAAAACAACACCCTTACCTGGAACAACCGGAACTGGAACTCCAGGAACTGGGACCCCAGGTACTGTAAAACCAACCACTGGACAACCACCAAGTGGCACTCCATCAACTGAAGGAACTAGGCCAACTGAGGGAACACCAGGAACTGGAACTCCCCCAACTGAGGGAACAACAAAAAGTAGCACAAGTAAAAAATGCCTCATATGCTCATAAGAACACATGTATCTAACGATATAATTTATTTGATAGTAATGATGATGCACTGTGACTTTTCAAGAGATTTCAGAAAATATGAAGTATTTTTACAAATGAATGATAGTAGACACTGGTTTCTTGTTTTACAATAGTAGATGAGGCTTTTCAGACGGTCGTCCCTAGAGCTTAAATTCATTTGATTGTGAGAAATATAATTTTATCCACAAAAGCAATATCATTAAAATTTTGTTTGGTAATTTCAAAATTTTATTTTTTATTTTGAAAAAATAATGTAATGTATTTTACTAATTATCTAGATGTGATATCACACCCATATACACAGAGTAATCAATTTTTCTGTCTATTCACTAATATTGGCATTAACATGTTTTATTTAAAAGACGTTTACCTCGCCTGTTGAAAGAATAAGAAAAGCAATAAACTTAAAAACAGAATAGACAATTTTCATTTTCGTTGTGTTATACCATAGACCTGTTATCTAACAATGTCTTGTTTTAGTTGGAGTCTGTGAGGAGCCAATGGGACTTGAATACGACACAATTATCAAGGACTCCCAGATCACTGCTTCATCAGAGTTCGATTACAGATATTCTGCACCAAGAGGACGTATTAATACTGAACCGGAGGATGATTTGGCTGGAGCATGGGTACCAAGGTACGTAAAAGATTTAATTTGAATACAACAAACGTCATCAAGGTTCTAAATATGAAAAGAAACAAATACTGTCACAGGGTTGATGTGTTAATTGCTAAAAGCAAGTACAGATTGAAACCTTTATAATTTTTTATATTTTAAACGTTTTGTCTATTTAGATTCAACGAACCAGGCCAATGGATTCAAGTTGATTTTGAGGAGCCTACTCTTATATCAGGAGTTGTGACCCAGGGTAGAGAAGACCAACCCCAATGGGTACAATCATTCATTGTACTGATTAGTGAAGATGGCGTCAATTTTACTCCATACACTGATAACCCAGGAGAACCGCCTAAGATATTCCCAGGAAACACAGACCAAAATACACTGGTTAAGAACCCATTTAATCGCAATATTATCGCCCAGGTTATCCGTATTCAACCCGTAACATGGGAAGACACCATTGCCATTAGGTTCAATGTACTTGGTTGTGCGGAGAAAACAACACCCTTACCTGGAACAACCGGAACTGGAACTCCAGGAACTGAGACCCCAGGTACTGGAAAACCAACCACTGGACAACCACCAAGTGGCACTCCATCAACTGAAGGAACTAGGCCAACTGAGGGAACACCAGGAACTGGAACTCCTCCAACTGAGGGAACAACAGAAAGTAGCACAAGTAAAAAATGCCTGATATACTCATAAGAACACATGTATCTAACGATATAATTTATTTAAAAGTAATGATGATGCACTGTGACTTTTCAAGAGATTTCATAAAATATGAAGTATTTTTACATATGAATGATAGTAGACACTGGTTTCTTGTTTTACAATAGTAAATGAGGCTTTTCAGACGGTTGTCCCTAAAGCTTAAATTGATTTGATTGTGAGAAATATAATTTTATCCACAAAAGCAATATCATTAAATTTTTTTATGGTTATTCTAAAATTTTATTTCAAAAATAATGTATTTTACTAATTATCTAGATGTGATATCACACCACCCATATACACAGAGTAATCAATTATTCTGTCTATTCACTAATATTGGCATAAACATGTTATATTTCAAAGACGTTTACCTCGCCTGTTGAAAGAATAAGAAAAGCAATAAACTTAAAAACAGAAGAGACAATTTTCATTTTCGTTGTGTTATACCATAGACCTGTTATCTAACAATGTCTTGTTTTAGTTGGAGTCTGTGAGGAGCCAATGGGACTTGAATACGACACAATTATCAAGGACTCCCAGATCACTGCTTCATCAGAGTTCGATTACAGATATTCTGCACCAAGAGGACGTATCAATACTGAGCCTGAGGATGATTTGGCTGGAGCATGGGTACCAAGGTACGTAAAAGATTTAATTTGAATACAACAAACGCAATCAAGGTTCTAAATATGAAAAGAAACATATACTGTCACAGGGTTGATGTGTTAATTGCTAAAAGCAAGTACAGATTGAAACCTTCATAATTTCTTATATTTTAAACGTTTTGTCTATTTAGATTCAATGAACCAGGCCAATGGATTCAAGTTGATTTTGAGGAGCCTACTCTTATATCAGGAGTTGTGACCCAGGGTAGAGAAGACCAACCCCAATGGGTACAATCATTCATTGTACTGATTAGTGAAGATGGCGTCAATTTTACTCCATACACTGATAACCCAGGAGAACCGCCTAAGATATTCCCAGGAAACACAGACCAAAATACACTAGTTAAGAACCCATTTAATCGCAATATCATCGCCCAAGTTATCCGTATTCAGCCTCTTACATGGGAAGACACCATTGCCATTAGGTTCAATGTACTTGGTTGTGCGGAAAAAACAACACCCTTACCTGGAACAACCGGAACTGGAACTCCAGGAACTGGGACCCCAGGTACTGGAAAACCAACCACTGGACAACCACCAAGTGGTACTCCACCGACTGAAGGAACTAGGCCAACTGGAACATCACCACCTGAAGGAACTGGGCCAACTGGAACAACACCAATTGAAGGAACTGAGCCAACTGGACCTCCAGGAACTGGCACACCAGGGCCTGGGACACCAGGAACTGGAACCCCGGTTACTGGGAAACCGCCCACTGGACAGCCACCAAGTGGCACTCCACCAACTGAAGGAACTAGGCCAACTGGAACATCACCACCTGAAGGAACTGGGCCAACTGGAACAACACCAATTGAAGGAACTGAGCCAACTGGACCTCCAGGAACTGGCACACCAGGGCCTGGGACACCAGGAACTGGAACCCCGGTTACCGGGAAACCGCCCACTGGACAGCCACCAAGTGGCACTCCACCAACTGAAGGCACTGAACCAACTGGAACATCACCAACTGAAGAAACTGGGCCAACTGGAACGCCAGGAACTGGTCCAACTGAAGAAACTACAGTGACTCCAGGAACTGGCACTCCAACAACTACTGGACCCTCATTTACAATCAAAGCAGAGTGTGAATGGTCTCCATGGGTCAGCGTTGATAACCCAGGAGTCGGAATTGGTGATCTTGAAACGATTGAAAAACTCAAAGAAAAGTATGGAATCTGTGAAAACATTGTTGACATCAAATGTCGTGTTAAAGACACAGACGTGCCATATGATGCAGCAGGACAATCTATGGTGACATGTGATATCCACAATGGACTGCGTTGTTATAACAGAGAACAAATGAGTGGGGCATGCTATGACTACGAAGTCAAAGTCCTCTGTTGGGATCCAATGTGTCAAAGCAGTAAGTCTCTCTTATGTGAAAGTATAATATATTGATATATCAATTCAATTTTCAATTCAATTCACTTTATTTCAAATGTTTCAGATACAGTATTTCACATTGACATGAAAAGAAAACCCGTGGGGTGTAAAAATATATATATTTTAATAAATTTATATTTTATTTGCTAGAAATAGCATTATTTTCATTTATATCGCTTGGTATATCGCCTTGTTATGCATGTAAAGAAGAGTAAAGAAAGTTACTAGTATCTCAGATAAAAAGGTCTTTCACCCTATTGTCTCTTGATGGTATTCAATCTACTTGCATATGATACTATTATACTTGGTTTTTTCAGCTGAGGCACCTAGCGTTACTCCAACACCACCAACATCTCCATCTACACCACAAACGGAAACGCCACCTACATCTCCATCTACACCTGCTACAGTGAAGATAACCTCTACACGTATGTTTATCTCTCATTATTCAACAATTCGCCCTGTAATGTGCAAAGTGATGGCAGCCATGCCTCACGCAGCAGTTCTTGTGCAAACTTGAACCTTTCCTCACTATGATCCCTAAAGAAGTAATTTGAAATGTTTCTTTTCTAGCTGCCTGTCCACCAGGACAAGAATGGCAATCGTGTGCAATCAAGTGTAGCCAGATGTGTGAATTCTTCCAAAGTGAATGGATCATCCGTGAAGTGTGTGTCGACGATCCTAACGATGACACTTGTGTCCCAGGGTGTAAGCCTGCAGTGGACTGTAATGATTCAGAGTTCTACAGAGATCCTAATACTTGTGTCCTGCCCATACATTGTACATGTAGAGACCTTGATGGAAATGAAGTTCCGGTACGTTTTTTATAGTTAACTATTTCATACATGTTCTTGCTATTTAGTAAATTGATAACTAAATGATTCAAATGTGTTTATGTTAAATTCAAAGCTGGTATTGTAAATCTGGATAGAGATATATTTCAACTCAAATGTTAACAGTTTACAATTTGTTTTGAGTGAAACCTCTTTACTAAAACGATGATCATGGAGCTACTTTTGATATTAAATACTATTTTCAGAATGGTCATATATGGAAGACTGGGGAGTGCGAGACGTGCATGTGCTGGAACAACGAAGTAAATTGTGTAACTGAGGATGGTTGCACAACACAGCAACCACCCTCGAGTACACCAGGCACAGGACCAACTGAAGGAACACCAGGAACTGGAGTAACTGGAACACCAAGCACCGGTACACCAGGCACTGGACCAACAGGAACACCAGGCACCGGTACACCAGGCACGGAATCAACTGGTACACCAGGCACTGTACCAACAGGAACACCAGGCACCGGTACACCAGGCACGGAATCAACTGGTACACCAGGCACTGGACCAACAGGAACACCAGGCACCGGTACACCAGGCACGGAATCAACTGGTACACCAGGCACTGTACCAACAGGAACACCAGGCACCGGTACACCAGGCACGGAATCAACTGGTACACCAGGCACTGTACCAACAGGAACACCAGGCACCGGTACACCAGGCACGGAATCAACTGGTACACCAGGCACTGTACCAACAGGAACACCAGGCACCGGTACACCAGGCACGGAATCAACTGGTACACCAGGCACTGTACCAACAGGAACACCAGGCACCGGCACACCAGGCACGGAATCAACTGGTACACCAGGCACTGTACCAACAGGAACACCAGGCACCGGCACACCAGGCACTGAATCAACTGGTACACCAGGCACTGGAGCAACTGGAACACCAGGCACCGGTACACCAGGCACTGAACCAACTGGTACACCGGGTACCGGGCCAACTAGCACACCAGGCACTGGGCCAACTGGAACACAAGGCACTGGTACACCAATTACTGGGCCAACTGTCCCTCCTACCAAAAAGGTTCACCCAGAATGTTATTGGACCGATTGGATAAACACTGATGCTCCACAAACAGGAGGCGGAGACCTGGAGACAATCATGAGAATCAGAGCTAGAAATGAGTTCTGTCCAAATCCTATAATAATTGAATGTCGTGAAGTAGCCACTAGAAGGGAGTCTTCAGCTACAGGCCAAAAGGTTACCTGCTCGACAATGTTTGGCTTAACTTGTCTCAATTCTGACAACCCACCAAATGGATGCAGTGATTATGAAGTTCGATTCTTCTGCCCATGTGCCAGTAAGTCACCCCAATACAATGATATTTGAAGAAATCTCCAAAATTAATGTAAAGTAAAAAATATGTCTTTGAATCTACAAATATTACTATCAAATTAAAATAAATTATTAATTCTATATTTAGGTTCACCAAAACCAACAGTACCTGTGTCTGGAACACCTGGAACTGGAACACCGGGCACTGGCACAACAGGCACTGGACCAACTGGAACACCAGGTACTGGACCACCAGGAACTGGACCAACTGGAACACCAGGCACCGGTACACCAGGAACTAGACCAACTGGTACACCAGGCACTGGACCAACTGGAACACCAGGCACCGGACCAACTGGAACACCTGCACCAGGCACCGGTACACCAGGAACTGGACCAACTGGAACACCAGGCACCGGCACACCAGGAACGGGACCTACTGGAACACCAAGTACTAGTACACCAGGCACTGGACCAACAGGAACACCAGGCACCGGCACACCAGAAACGGGACCTACTGGAACACCAAGTACTAGTACACCAGGAACTGGACCAACTGGAACACCAGGCACCGGAACACCAGAAACGGGACCTACTGGAACACCAAGTACTAGTACACCAGGAACTGGACCAACTGGAACACCAGGCACCGGCACACCAGAAACGGGACCAACTGGAACACCAAGTACTAGTACACCAGGAACTGGACCAACTGGAACACCAGGCACCGGAACACCAGAAACGGGACCAACTGGAACACCAAGTACTAGTACACCAGGAACTGGACCAACAGGAACACCAGGCACTGGTACACCAGAAACGGGACCTACTGGAACACCAAGTACTAGTACACCAGGAACTGGACCAACTGGAACACCAGGCACCGGTACACCAGGAACTGGACCAACTGGAACACCAGGCACCGGTACACCAGGAACTAGACCAACTGAAGAAACACCAGGAACTGGAAGCCCACGACCAACTACACCTAAAAGCACGGGTTCAACAGGAATACCTACATTACCTCCCTCTTGTGAAGAAACTGGCTGGACTGAATGGTTAAATGTGGACACACCTTTAGGAGGAACTGAAGGTGGAGACTATGAAACTATTCCAGCTCTGAGAAGAGAGCACGTCTTCTGTAGCAAGATGGAACTTGAACAAATTGAATGTAGAATCACTGACACTGATGTTTCATCGTCTGCTGGTGGGCAAATTGTTTCGTGTGATAAACTGAAAGGTTTACGATGCAAGAATGCTGACCAAGGTGGTGGAGTTTGCTTTGATTATGAAGTTCGATTTTACTGTAAATGTAGAGAAACAACAGCAGCACCACCAACAACTGCACCTTCGGGTCCACCAGAAACAACGCCAAGTGGTACTGGAGAACCAAGTTCAACACCAGGAGTAACAGGTGGACCAGGCTCAACACCCGGAATAACAGGCGAACCAGGCTCAACACCCGGAGTCACAGGTGGAACAGGCTCAACAAGACCAGGTGAGCCAGCGACACCTGAAGTCACAACTGGAACAGGAAAACCTGGATCACCACCAACTGAACCACCGACTGGACCAACTGGTCAACCACCAACCACACCTGAAGAGATTACTGGTAGACCTCCAACTGGAACCCCAAGAACTGAAACACCGCCAACTGGCGAAACTGTATCGCCCACTGGCCCAACTGGTCCTGTTTTCCTCTGTGGATGGACTGACTGGGTGAGCTCAAATACTCCTAACAACGAAGGAGAGGCTGAAATACTTGACAACATTCGTAAGACGTACAGTTTCTGTGAAAATAGTGATATCACTGCAATTGAATGTAGAGATGTCCTTACTAAAACACCACATGATCAAGCCGGGGATAAGGATGTCGTCTGTGACATGGAGTATGGCGGACTGATGTGCATCAATGCTATCCAAGAAGATGGAAATGTTTGTAACGACTATGAAGTGAGGGTTCTTTGTGAGCCGATTGGATGTAAAGCAACTACAGTCGTAGCCCCTCCCTCTAGTACTCCACGTGTATCAACCAGTGGTGAGCCTGAACTTTTTTCATTTGAAACAAAGTAATAATGAATAAATAGTAGTAAAAACAAAACAGTATAGCCACACGTTAAGTCATTTACTAAACAAAATCTAAACAATGATGTGTTATTCGAGTGGAAAACAATTCACTGGCTATCAGCACCGGAAGAGTGGTTTCCTAAAGAAATCAATATATCGTATTTAACCTTTATTTTCTGTAGGTCCAACAACTGTGGTGACTACTCCAAGTCCATTCCCAACGACAACTGCTCCCGAGTGTTTCTACAATGGCGCCTTTTACCCACCTGGTACCATCGAGGAAGGACCATGTCACAAGGTTGTTTGTACAGATGATGGTGAGATCATATCCGGGGAATACTATGACAGACCTGGATGTGGTGAAAAATTTTCTACTACACCTGAGACAACTGTACCACCGACTACCGTTCCATTGGGTTGCTTTTATAATGACCAATTCTACGCACCAGGAACAACAATTGAGGAGAGTGTTTGTCATATAGTCATTTGTAATGAAAATGGATTTATAATCCGTGGAGATTATTTCAACAAACCAGAGTGTGAAGGAATTACAACTCCACCTCACCCTCCATCAACAACAGGACCCACCATTCCTGAAGGAGGCTCGACACCTGGTGTGACAGGAGAACCAGAAGTTTCAACACCTGGTGTGACAGGCGAACCAGGAGTTTCAACACCTGGAGTGACAGGAGAACCAGGAGGTTCAACACCAGAAGTGACAGGCGAACCAGGAGTTTCAACACCAGAAGTGACAGGCGAACCAGGAGTTTCAACACCTGGAGTGACAGGTAGACCAGGTGTTTCAACACCAGAAGTGACAGGCGAACCAGGAGTTTCAACCCCTGGGGTGACAGGTAGACCAGGAGGTTCAACACCTGGAGTGACAGGAAGACCAGGCTCAACACCCAGTGGCACAACTCCTGAAACTGGTACAACACCAGAAGAAGAAGGTTGTTACTACAATGGAATTTTTTATCCACCTGGGTCGACAATTGAAGAGAGTGAATGTCACGCAATTATATGTAATGAAAATGGTGATGTTATGCGTGGAGATTACTATGATAAACCAGGATGTCTACCAATAACAACACCAATTCATCCACCAACAACACCTGAAGTCACAACACCAGGCGTTACAGGTGAACCTGGTTCAACACCTAAAGGAACAAGTGGACCAGGAGTCTCAACTCCTGGAGTGACAGGTAGACCAGGAGGTTCAACACCAGAAGTAACAGGCGAACCAGGAGTTTCAACACCTGGAGTGACAGGTAGACCAGGAGGTTCAACACCTGGAGTGACAGGCGAACCAGGAGTTTCAACACCTGGAGTGACAGGTAGACCAGGAGGTTCAACACCTGGAGTGACAGGCGAACCAGGAGTTTCTACACCTGGAGTGACAGGTAGACCAGGAGGTTCAACACCAGAAGTGACAGGCGAACCAGGAGTTTCAACACCTGGAGTGACAGGTAGACCAGGAGGTTCAACACCAGAAGTGACAGGCGAACCAGGAGTTTCAACACCTGGAGTGACAGGTAGACCAGGAGGTTCAACACCAGAAGTGACAGGCGAACCAGGAGTTTCAACACCTGGAGTGACAGGTAGACCAGGAGGTTCAACACCTGAAGCGACAGTTGGACCAGGAGGCACATCCCCAACACCGCCAACACCACCGACTACAACACCTGGGGGATGTTATTACTATGGACAATATTATCCACCTGGTAATAGACATAAATTGTACTACAAAATAAACCAATAGGCTTCGTAACTGCTGTTACCTTAAACTGCTAGTCTTTTTAAATATTAGCAGATGTTGAAGCGTCTCATAAAATGTCACATTTCACATAAGTAAAAATATAATTCATTAAAGTGAATAGCTTGAACCTGAAATAACAAATGAAACAAATGAACTCTCTTATTGTGAAGTAGCAATCACCCACTCTGATCAGGCAGAACACAAAACCAAGAAATAAAGTCATCGGAAATATTCCAATTTATTTTTCCATTGATTTTCAACAATGAAATGAAGAAATACATAATATAGATGTGTTGTGTTTATTTTAGGCTCGACTATTGAAGAAAACCTTTGCTCAGGCGTCTACTGCGACGAGAATGGCAACATTCTTATTGGTGACTTCTTTGACAAACCAGAGTGTAGAGAACCAACAACAACACCTCCGACACCAGAAACCACAACTCCCAAAGGATGTGAATATAATGGATTCAGCCACGCTCCTGGTAAGTGAGGTTTCCGCATAATTTAGAGCATGTGGTCATATATATTACTTCCAAGAGTATAAAGCTTCGCATTAACAACAACAAGGCTTGATTATAGTTTACAACAAGTGTTTACGTTTATTTGGACATTTCAAATTCATTTGTAAATAATTAAGGTTATAATATATGTGTAATAAATCTATATTGTTTGTCGTGTTGTAATTACTGTAAAACACAAGTGCATATAACGTGTACCAAGAAATCCCAAAGTAACCTAGCCCTTACACTACCACAAATCGGCTAGTTTGTTACAATATTATAATTATTCTTAATTCAGGTAGCACTATAGAGGAAGGACCCTGTCATATAGTTATCTGTGACGAGAATGGACAGATTATTATTGGTGACTTCTTTGACAAACCTGGATGTGGACCATCGACAACAGCAGGTATGCCATTGTGGGATCCACAGCCTTTACTATCCTTTTGGAATAGTTCAGACTGTGGGATACTGACTGTAATAAATGTTTCCTTTAACCCTTAAAATGTACAGACCAATTAAATTATTTACAGAGTTCTATTGACCATGAGTATCATGGGAAGGCATTACTTGCAGTTGCATGATTACATAAGCAGACAAAGCCTAATGAGTGTGACCAAACACAATTCCCTCCCAAATAATCCAAGTGTTGACATTTGCATGATAATTATTGTTTAAAATTCTAAATTGGAAAACAATAAGAAAAAAGAAGTATGTCAACATTATCATAGTTATTAATTTTCAACATAAAAACAATATCCATCAAGATAAATAAAAGTTTTCCACATAATGAATTCATTGAATTAAAGTTTACAAAGGGGAAAACAGGACGGTGCATTCTTAGGCACTAATTTATTCCTCCATATACACTGATTTACTTGGAGAATGCACTGGCTAGGAACATGTTCTGCCTCATGATATATCAGAGTCTCTCAAAAGCGTTAGGTAAAGAGAGACTCTGATAAATCAGAATGCAGGTATGCAAAGAATATGAAAATTACAAAAAGTAATTCTAGTTTTACTTGACTTGATAATAATTTAAGGAAGTGTACAAGATTGAGATATATCAATTAAAGATGACGTTACCCATTTCCAAACGGAATTATTATTTCCTTAAATTGTAACATGTTTGTCTGATCCGGCCCGACAAGAGACTATTGATTTTGAGAATGGAATTACTATATTGAAAATTCACGAACTCGATAAATGCATTTCTGTTAAAGGTACTACACCAAAGGAAGAGACACCAGGACCAACAACACCCGCAGAGACTCCCAGAACACCAACGACTACTCCCAGCATACCTACTCCCGGAAAAGGATGTTTTTACGAAAACCAGTACTATACACCAGGTAGGTCTTCCTTTATATTCCTCTCCAGCTTTTTTGAATTCATAATTGAGGTTTATTGTATGCATTATTACTGCCATGACTGTTTCAGTCCAAAATATGACATATATAACGTTAAGACGAGTAGGCCTATAAATTATATTATCTTACTCTGGTAATGGAATTACAGTGAGGTATTTAGACCATTGCGAGGGGAATTCTATAATCTTTGTTCTGTGCACAAACTGAATCCTTAATGATTAGTTTTGTTCCTTAGGACACATCATCGAAGAGGGAGAATGCCATGTTGTTTATTGTGACGAGAATGGTGAAATTGTTATCGGTGACTTCTGGAGCAGACCTGGCTGTAGACCAACCACACCAGGTAAACATGAACATACGTAGACTTTCTTTGGTGTCTTTTTGTTTTGTATACCATAATTGTCAGATAATGCAAATGTCCTTGTGTTTTCTGAAAATATCTATACAGTTGACGATAATCATCGCGTCGGTGTAAATAATTCTGAAATGTAGCAAAATAACATATAAGCTCTCATTTCCTTTTCAGGTGCTACAACCACTACACCTGCTACTCCTTCAACAGAGCCAGCAACTACACCAACACCTGCCACAACCCCACCATCCACCTTTGAACCCATCTGTGTAGACGGATGGACAGAGGAGATGAACGTTGACAATCCAGACAGTGGGAACGGTGGAGACATTGAAACCATTGACGAACTTCGACGAAAATATCAATTCTGTGACGACCATATGATTGAAGAGGTGAAATGTTACGTAGCAGATACAAGTTTAGACTACACTTTTATGGATCAAGTTGTTAGGTGTGACCTCAACGGTTTATCATGCTGGAATGGTTACCAGTCCATTGGCGTTTGTTTTGACTACAGCGTCAAATTCCGATGTAACTGTGGTCGTACTGAACCTCCTTCAATACCAACTGAAGGCTTCACCACAGGAGGTACAGGAGTGACCAGTGGAGAGACAACTGCTCCCACGGGACCAACTGGAGCAACACATGTAACAGGAGGTACTGGTAGCACTGAGGGAGGCACCGGAGCAACATGGTTGACTGGTGGAACAGCCACTCCAGGCACTGGTACACCCGGAGTGACTGGCACTGCAGGTACAACTCCAGGATACACAACAGGAGGAACGCCAGGAACACCAAAAGTATCAACGACAAAAAGAACTGGAACTCCAGGTGAAACAACAGCCCCTATTGTTGAAACCACTCCCAGCACAGGAGAGAAGACCACCCCAAGCACAGGAGAAACTACACAGGAGACAACACCAGGTGTAGGAGAAAAGACAACTCCAGGTGAAGGGGCAAAGACAACTCCTGGTGTAGGAGAAAAGACAACACCAGGTGTAGGAGAAAAGACAACACCAGGTGAGGTAGAGAAGACAACACCAGGTGAGGTAGAGAAGACAACACCAGGTGTAGGAGAAGAAACAACTCCAGGAGTAGGAGAAAAAACAACTCCTGGTGTAGGAGAAGAGACAACTCCTGGTGTAGGAGAAAAGACAACTCCTGGTGTAGGGGAAAAGACAACTCCTGGTGTAGGAAAAAAGACAACACCGGGTGTAGGAGAAAAGACAACACCAGGTGAGGTAGAGAAGACAACACCAGGTGAGGTAGAGAAGACAACACCAGGTGTAGGAGAAGAAACAACTCCAGGAGTAGGAGAAAAAACAACTCCAGGAGTAGGAGAAAAGACAACACCAGGTGAGGTAGAGAAGACAACACCAGGTGAAGGAAAAGAGACAACTCCTGGTGTAGGAGAAAAGACAACTCCTGGTGTAGGAGAAAAGACAACTCCAGGAGTAGGAGAAAAGACAACACCAGGTGAAGGAAAAGAGACAACTCCTGGTGTAGGAGAAAAGACAACTCCTGGTGTAGGAGAAAAGACAACACCAGGTGTAGGAGAAGAAACAACTCCAGGAGTAGGAGAAAAGACAACACCAGGTGAGGTAAAAAAGACAACTCCAGGTGAGGTAGAGAAGACAACACCAGGTGTAGGAGAAGAAACAACTCCAGGTGAAGGAGAAAAGACAACTCCAGGTGAGGTAGAGAAGACAACACCAGGTGTAGGAGAAGAGACAACTCCTGGTGTAGGAGAAGAGACAACTCCAGGTGAAGGAGAAAAGACAACTCCAGGTGAGGTAGAGAAGACAACACCAGGTGTAGGAGAAGAGACAACTCCAGGTGTAGGAGAAGAAACAACTCCAGGAGTAGGAGAAAAGACAACTCCAGGTGAGGTAGAGAAGACAACACCAGGTGTAGGAGAAGAGACAACTCCAACCACAGGAGAAAAGACAACACCAAGCACTGGTGTAGAAACCACACCTGCCCATACATCGGCTCCAACACCATCCAGTATTCCTACAATAAGCCCTCAGTGTCTTGAAGACGGCTGGACTGATTGGATGAATTATGACAAACCTGACAAAAACAACAACAATGGTGACTTTGAACTCATTGCTTTATTAAGAAGACAGTATCAATTCTGTTCAAAGTCAGAAATAACTGAAGTGGAATGTAACGTTGCAGATACTTCTCTGCCAAGCAGTCTGAGTGGCCAAATTCTGCTTTGCGACACCAACAATGGATTGATCTGCAGAAACAAAGACCAAGAAGGTGAGGACTGCATGGATTACAGTGTGAGATTCTTCTGCAAATGTGCGGAAACAACACCTGCACCAACAACTCTTCCTACTGCAACAACACCAGGAGGTGAACAGTCAACACCATATACTGGACCGCCAGGTGCAACAACACCAGGAGGTGAACAGTCAACACCATATACTGGACCACCAGGTGCAACAACACCAGGCCCTGGAGGTGAGACAACTCCAGGTGTCGGAGAAAAGACAACTCCAGGTGTAGGAGAAAAGACAACACCAGGTGAAGGAGAAAAGACAACTCCAGGTGTAGGAGAAGAGACAACTCCAGGTGTAGGAGAAAAGACAACCCCAGGTGTAGGCGAAAAGACAACTCCCGGTGTAGGAGAAGAAACAACTCCAGGTGTAGGAGAAAGGACAACACCAGGTGTAGGAGAAAAGACAACCCCAGGTGTAGGCGAAAAGACAACTCCCGGTGTAGGAGAAGAAACAACTCCAGGTGTAGGAGAAAGGACAACACCAGGTGTAGGAGAAAAGACAACCCCAGGTGTAGGCGAAAAGACAACTCCCGGTGTAGGAGAAGAAACAACTCCAGGTGTAGGAGAAAGGACAACACCAGGTGTAGGAGAAAAGACAACTCCAGGTGTAGGAGAAGAAACAACTCCAGGTGTAGGAGAAAAGACGACCCCAGGTGTAGGAGAAAAGACAACCCCAGGTGTAGGAGAAGAAACAACTCCAGGTGTAGGAGAAGAGACAACTCCCAGTGTAGGAGAAACGACAACACCAGGTGTAGGAGAAAAGACAACACCAGGTGAGGTAGAGAAGACAACACCAGGTGTAGGAGAAGAAACAACTCCAGGTGTAGGAGAAGAAACAACTCCAGGTGAAGGAGAAAAGACAACACCAGGTGAGGTAGAGAAGACAACATCAGGTGAGGTAGAGAAGACAACACCAGGTGTAGGAGAAAAGACAACTCCAGGTGTAGGAGAAGAAACAACTCCAGGAGTAGGAGAAAAGACAACACCAGGTGAGGTAGAAAAGACAACTCCAGGTGAGGTAGAGAAGACAACACAAGGTGTAGGAGAAAAGACAACTCCTGGTGTAGGAGAAGAGACTACTCCCGGTGTAGGAGAAACGACAACACCAGGTGTAGGAGAAAAGACAACCCCAGGTGTAGGCGAAAAGACAACTCCGGGTGTAGGAGAAGAAACAACTCCAGGAGTAGGAGAAAAGACAACTCCAGGTGTAGGAGAAAAGACAACTCCAGGTGTAGGAGAAGAAACAACTCCAGGTGTAGGAGAAAAGACAACCCCAGGTGTAGGAGAAAAGACAACCCCAGGTGTAGGAGAAGAAACAACTCCAGGTGTAGGAGAAGAAACAACTCCAGGAGTAGGAGAAAAGACAACACCAGGTGTAGGAGAAAAGACAACACCAGGTGTAGGGGAAAGGACAACACCAGGAGGAGAGCAAACAACTCCAGGTGTAGGTGAAAAGACAACTCCAGGTGTAGGAGAAAAGACCACTCCAAGCTCTGGCGGTGAGACAACTCCTGGAGGTGAACAGTCGACTCCAGGCACCACGGGTAAGTTAATTTTTAACTTGGTTAGGATTTATAGAGAAAAAATTATAAACATTATGTCTGACATATGTTGCTGACATTACTTCATTAACTCACCATTTTGCTACCTAAACTTTTCTTACAGTTGAAGTTTGTCGAGAGATCATGGGAATAGAAAACGGACTGATCACTGATGACATGTTCAGCGCATCCTCTGAGAAATCTCCCGAGCATGCTCCAGAGAGAGGCAGGCTGAACTTGGAGACTGACGGTGTTGGCGCTGGAGGATGGACGCCCGCTGAATCTAACATAAACCAATGGATTCAGATTGACTTCCTGGAGCCAAGGATATTAACAGGAGTTACGATCCAGGGTAGAGATGGTGTACCAACTTTCGTGACATCATTTGAAGTTATATTTTCATATGATGGACTCACCTGGACCAAATATGAAGAAACACCTGGTGTCGCCAAGGTACTGAATGCCATCTGAGATTTTGATAAATAGTATTTAATGATTAAACATGTAGTTCTGATTAGCATTTTTGTATTTTGTAGTTAGTTTAGCTTTGGTTAATTTTTGTATATTGTGCACCTTAGTGACTAAAATGTCATTGTAATGACATTAGAGAGTCTATAAAATATATATATACTTGTATATAATGTGCTGCGTGCATGGTTTAGAGTTGAAAGATCCACTCTTTCGGTCTATTGCTATCCAATGTGATCGTATTACACAAACAATGAGAAAAGTACATGTAAATGACAACAATCCCCAGTGGACTAATAATTCTTTCGCGCGGTAATACAAATAAGAGCGATCCATTCAGCAAATTATTGTTTTTCGTATTTTAGGTGTTCCCTGGTAATACCGACAACGAAACTCCAGTCACTAACTGGTTCTACAAGCCCATCCGTGGCCAGTTCATCCGAATCGTGCCCCTCACTTGGAACCAAGCTATAAGCATCAGGCTGGAGATCCATGGCTGTTACGAACCATACCCAAGTATGTAAATGTTGCAATATTACTATGAATTACCATTTGCTTAAATTCCACACAGTTGAAAGCTGGTACCTTACACTAACTTAAGAAATATAGGATTTGATAATATGTTATATTAAGAATAATGATTATATATTCTTTCAATGTAAAATACATTTTCCCTGGAATTTTAAGAATCGTACAGAATTGCTTGTTACACTGTTTAATTCAAAACGGAATTACATATTTTCAGCCAAACCTACAGGTACAGTTCCAACAACCACACCAGCTGTTACCACTCCAAAAATCACCACACCAGGATCCACTACCACAACTACACCGTGGACAATGCCACGTAAGTACATTTTCAACTTTCATTTTATTCCAAAATTAGACAAATAATTCTCACTCAAGTATTGTCAAGAGTAGGCACAATAAATTGAACATTAGTGGCGATACAAGGTTTGCATGCGTGACATAATGGAGGTGGATTTTTGGTTGATGAAGTTCGTATGATGATCCATTTGAATAAATCCACCAGTCACTGTCTTACTGACACCATTTATACTTGGTCCCTGCATTTAGTTCGCACAATGTGCAGTACATCTCCATTTGGTTTACTTGGAACGAACACCTAGTACTCATTGTAGCTCACCTCACTCATCCGTGCAATGGCGATTCACTGTGGTTGGGCCATTGATCATTTATCTGATTTGTATTTAATTCTAGCCATGGAATGTGTTGAGTTTGAAGACTGGGTTAACACTGGGGCTGTGTCCCTGGAGGGTGACCTTGAACCTATAGATGCAATCATTAATGTAACTCCCAACTGCCAGAACCCCATTGCTATACAGTGTAGGAAGGCATCGTCGGACAAGACACCACACTACAAGACTGGACAGGTATATTCTAAATAACTTGTCATTGTAATGTTAGTAAATGAATACTATGTTGGAACTAAATAATGATATGATATGATCGAAATAAGCAATGCAATGTAAAAGACATGATGCGATAGGATAAATGTTTTTATGTCAGCACTAGAAATGGTGATATCTTTTTTGTTGACGGCGGTTGGTGTTCGGCGTCTGTAACGAATGTAACAAATGGCAGGTGATGACATTTTACATGTTTTGCATGTTTTACTTGCCTTGTTCTATGATATCTTGATACACATATATGAAAGTCTAACGATGTTATGTTATGTTATGATAAGTGATAAAGTATCATATAAGGTGTATTCATTTGTTACAGGTTGTTAGCTGCAACTTATGGGAAGGTCTATCGTGTAGACACGCTGACCAGCAAAACCAACCATTCTGTTACGATTATGAAGTAAGGCTAGGGTGTCTCATGCAAGTACCTGAATGTTGTAAGTAAATCAAGAATTTATAGAAGTGTTTATCATCTGGGCTCTCTCAGTTCGAAGCCAATGAGAATTAGGTTATTCCGTAGTTCTACGTGTATCCATGGCGATAGCCGCGGTCCCTTTACCTTGATCGCAAGGACGGATAAAGGTCTGAAATATCAAAATGACATGTATGAAAGATGAAAGCCTGAGAATGAGCCTTCGGATTCTTAGGTTGTAAAATATCATACTTGCGCTCATTGAATTATGTCTGCCAAAAAATAGCAATATGTGCCATCTGACGAAATATGGTGTAGTATATTAAAGTCTGACTACTAAGAGTACTATTAATACATTTTGTTTTTTCAGTACCTTCGACTGCCACTCCAGGAACTACACCTACCGGTACTCCACCAATTGGTACCACACCAGCCAATGTGGATGTTTGCGAGAACGTCACTGAGATTTCAGGCTGCCCTGCCTCGTGCCCTGAAGGCAAGTTTTGCGATGGTAAAGACTGCGTGAGCAGAATTGACTGCCCTTGCGTTATCAACAATCGATATGTTAAGGTAATATCTTTATTCTCTCGTTGCCATAGAAACTGATGACCATCATATTTTATGAAACGTTTCATATGATTCATTTTCATTACATTTATTTCGATGGAAATACTGGCGTTAAAATGCAATAAAATTCGTCAACACATCATTGCATAAACTAGATACTATTGTACCAATGAACTAATTATTGCTAATTAATCAAACCATCAAATCAAACCATTATTTCACAAATCTAATATCGCTATGAATACAACACAGATCATACAAAATTTGATGACTTAATTGATTCCAGCCTGGAGAGTTCTTTGAAACTGAGAACTGCGAGACGTGTACTTGTTTCAATGGCCAATTGAAATGTTATCCCAAAACAGAATGTCCACCTTGCCCCGATGGACAAATGCCCAAACGAGACCAAGAGACACAATGTCAATGTACTTGTCTTCCGTGAGTATATTCATTTATTTAAGTTGAATTCAAGATCATATACATGACGTAAAAATGGGTTTTTACTATAATCAACATTTAATCATAAAAAACACATCGAAATGGTTGATTTTACAGTTATACGACAGATAGAATACAACATGAAACCATACATCAAAAAATGCCCAAAAACGTTCAACTTTCTTTTGACTAAAAGTCTCTTAATTCTCCAGTTGTGTTGATGGTGGATGGATGTGTGACAACTTTGAGTGTATTCCACCTGAAGCAAGATGTGATGGTGTCATTGACTGCACTAATGATGAGTACGACTGTGGTAAGTCATTGTACCAACCATATTGTATTATATATGCTAGCCTAAGTACTGAAGCTTCTTCTATTATGACGTTCGGTTTATTTATAAAAACAAATATACTTTTTCTGCATTTGGTTGATTCATTTTGAACTAATTAATGCATGGCTCTTGTTTTAGCAAGCACAACTGCAGCACCAACCACTACTCCACCGGTGTCGACTAGAAGCACTCCTTCGGGTACTGGAACAACTCCATCTGGTGTAGAGACAACACCTTCTGAAGGAGAATCCACGCCCTCTAAAGAAGAGACTACACCTGAAGGTGAGAAGACCACGCCCTCTGGTGTAGAGACTACGCCCTCTGGAGTAAAGACAACACCTTCTGGTGAGAAGACCACGCCCTCTGGTGTAGAGACCACGCCTTCAGGAGTAAAGACAACACCTTCAGGTGAAAAGACCACGCCCTCTGGAGGAGAGACTACACCTTCAGGTGAGAAGACCACGCCCTCTGGAGTAGAGACTTCACCTTCAGGTGAGAAGACCACGCCCTCTGGAGTAGAGACTACACCATCTGGCAAGGAGACGACTCCAGAAGAAGGCAAGACAACTGGACCACCATCAGTGTCTGGCTCCACACCATCTGGCGAGGTGACAACACCATCAGGAGAGAAGACAACCCCATCAGGAGAGAAGACAACACCCTCAGGTGTAGAAACAACTCCAAAAGAGGAAACTCCGGGTACAATCAAAACTTGTCCCGTATGTCCCACATTGATAGTGCCAGTTCTTAAACCTGGTGAAGTGGCTGTCATTAAAGAAATCCTCGGTGGGTGTTGCGAAGAGTATGAAGTCATTTGTAAACCTGATACGTGTCCCGAGGTTGACATCATTTGTGAGGCTCCAAAGAGAGTATATTCCATAATAGGAGAATGCTGCCAGGGCTTTGAATGTAAATGTCCACCTATTGATGAATGTAACGTTACACCTGAACCGGAATGCCCACCTGGCTACCAGACCGTACAAAGGGTGGATGAATGTGGTTGTGTTAGCTACGAGAACTGCAGTAAGTAAATCAAATGAATCTAGTGTGTTGTTTTTCATCCCAAATAATTGTTTCAAACAGATATATATTTGACTAAATGGCGCTTTGAATTTATTAAGGAAAGGGCTCATTTCATAATGATAAGAGCTTCTACTTTAAAATGTGTTTGCGCCATGTTGTCTCAGCCGTATCTTTGTGAACCGACATTAAAGTTTAGCCTTCACAAAATTCATCTGGGGTTTGTCATTGCGATTCTAAATATCAGTATCAACATTTTACATTCTCTAGTCTTCTCTTACACATTAAAACAAAGGACAGACGAAAACGTGTAAAAATATTAAATTTCTACATTTAAGAATTATATTTGACTCACTTTAAACTGTGTTATTTCTTGACTTTTAGCTAAACAATCAGTATGTATCATCAGAAGCACATATACATACGACGAAGAGGGCAACCAAGTTCCAAGACCAGAGCCTATTACCATTGTCAAGCAGGTAAGAGTTCATTTATAAATAATTTGGGAATATGGTCGTGGTGCAAATGGAGTCATGGTATAATCAGATTAATTTTAGGTTAACATGGAATGACAGGGAGGTGCCCCGACATCAATATATAATGCATGAGGCTTTGAAAATAAAGAATTCTTGAATATTATATGTTTAAACAAATTATTTTTATTTATACTTTTGTAGCCTGGAGAGACGTGGGACGAGGGAGATTGCAGGAGCTGTGAATGTACAGCTAGTCCATCTGGCATCCCTGGTGAATACGAACCACTATGTTCTGAACAGACATGTCCCGCCCCACCACCAGTAAGTTCTAAAGACTGAATACATTTGTAGTCATTCAATGATTTAGTTTTGATTTTCCATTAGCGCTTGCTCGCTAGACCTTGACAATTGTATGAACCAGTTGCTACTTATATACATTCAAACAGTTATCCATAAAAGTGATGAACTGAATAGTACATTTTGTTTAATCATATTTTTCTAGCACCAATACGTCATTCTTTGTTATAACATTTTTCTGTCCTGACGTTTAGGCATATGACCTTGGAGATAAGATTCCCGGGGAATGTTGTAGACCACTTGTGAAGAATCGATGTATCATCAGGATTGATGGTGAAGACGAGACATTCAATGTAAGTTCTTGCAATCACTTTGATTCAACTATTGATTCATAGCATTGATATTTAGAATGACTTTTCAAAAGCATTTGATAAGGTTTGCTTATTATTTTATTTAGTAGTTAAAACTAATCTTAGTACAATTTACTATTCATTATTGTGAAGCTAGACCTGTGGTGTAATTTGGTATATCTAAAAGTGGAATAAAACGTGTCTTCTATTATTTTTAAATATACTTTTATCTCATGGAACTAATCTTTCATACTCGGCAATATGTTTGAATTTTGATTTGGCTAGACCCTGACAGGAAATTTTGTTATTTCATATCTTAATTCTGCCATGAATTTTTTATTTTTATAAAGGTTGATGATGAGTGGAGTAACCCAGACACACCTTGTGTATCATACAAGTGTGTCCGTAGTCCCGATGGAGATGCCATTGTTGAAACAGCCACCGGACTCTGCTGTGTCGTCAACGGCATATCATATCAGGTGAATATGAACGGGATGTCTAAAAGTATTTTCAAAGACGGGTTTTATTAAATCCACCAAACTCTGTTTGTTAGAAGTCATAGATGGTTTGGGTTCGTCAACGCCCGATCATTAATCAGAACATAAATCTTACATATCAAGCTGTATATAACTTTAAGCTATGATTCTATTTCTTTACACACCTTGTACATGACAATTACATATTTATGGAACAAACATTTGAAAGAAAGTAGAGATCAGACTATTGATGATTACAAAATGATTGCAGCCTGGTGAGATGATCCCATCAAACAGGACTTGCTATGAGGCTATCTGTGATGCTTCTGAGCATGGAGCCCTTGTAATAGAGTCTACCATCAACTGTGTGCCACCAAATAGGACATGTGCCCAGGTAAACTCTCAAGTTTGATTATTTACCATTTTTAAGTTGGAACAAGTATTTTAGTGGGCAGTGAATCGAAATACAGATTATACTCACGTGTAAAGCGTCATGTATGACAAATTAATGAGAAAAAGTATTATGACCTGTACCCATGATAACCTTTCAAGTCTGATTAGTTGCCATATAGTGTGCATCCTCCTAAGCAGGTGTCATATTCTGGATTTTGAAGCCCTGTGATCGGAGGATGTATAGTGTGCAGTAAATCAAAATAAAGACTATGCTCATGTGGAAACCGGATTGTATGACAACTTATTGATGAAGTGGAGGCTTAATTTAATAAATAGCTTTAATTCATGTTTCTTTGTATATGTTGCAGGGTGAAGATCCTGTTGATGAGAGTGGATGTTGTAGGAAATGTATACCCAGTAAGTTTAATTTTTGGTCAATACACTTGGGTTACCGTTTATACGGGTCACAACAGATTACAATTGTGTGGAAGTTTACTTGATTTAATTAATTCACGTTATTGCAGGAAATAACAAAGGGTTAATGTTATCTGGGTAGGTAATATTATCTACGATTAAGCAGATCATATATTTGGTACTGAAAAATTGAATTCGATCAATAGCATACACAGGATCAACGTTGATATTGTAATAATCAATCAGTACCTAACATTATATAAATTTATGTAGAACACCTGTAGAATATATTGCCTCAATCTGTAAATCTTGAAAACTGAAACAGACCGATATATCTTAAACACCTTTCTCTTCTTCAGGTGAACCAAAAGTATGTGATACCTGTAGACCAGTTCTTGTGTTTGGACAGCCTCAGGATTCTATTGGCTACCTGACTTCCGAAAAACAAGGAATGCTTTGCTCAAATAAGGATGTTGTTGACGGATTCTACGAGTGCTCTGGATTCTGCGACTCGCGCGCACAATACTCCACGTGGACAATGGCGTTCGTTAATGACTGTGATTGTTGCCAACCAAGAAAAACTGAGAGTAAATTTATTACATTGACTTGCGATGATGGTTCAACCATAACAAAGAGCTACCAAGTCCCAAGCGAATGTGGTTGTGGCGCATGTACCGGTGCAAGGAGATGATGAGCCTCGCAATAGATCTAAGAACGTTTATAAACAATCATTCAATACTCAGTACTAATTTATAAATTTACTGTACAAAAAAATCTGAGATTTAAAAATGGAATCAAAGCGGAAGACATACATAGTGTAAAATCAAAACATTGTTTTAAGAGGTTTTAATTGTATAATTTATTTTATGTCTGTACAGCATAATACATGCACAATATAGGGTTATCTCATAGACCTTCATCTATATTTCTATCACTTGACTATCAGTTTTGAAAAATATGATTCAGTTTAAAATTCTAAAGTTTAAAGATGCCATTTTATTTTTATATATATTATTATAGTAGCTGTATAGGCTTGTCAGATTCTCCCCAAGATAAAAATAAAGAATAAAGAAATATAAACAAATGTTACGCTGTAGTTAATGTTGCTATCATAGGTGTAATAACCTTCGATAACAAGTCGCTACTACAGTCTCAGCTGTAGTGGCTAGCCCTTATGGCTGAGGGGTAGAGCATTTGACTCTGAGAGAGGTCCTGGGTTCGATTCCCGTACGGGACATCGAATTTAGCACATTCTCTTTCGAGTCTAGTATCTGGCTCGGTAGACTACAACTCTCCGACGGACGTGCCAAAGAGTCGTTACCAGAAAATAGCATTTTGCATAGACGTTTTAGAAATAGATGAACATTGGGCCAGAAACAGTTTTACCCAAAACTGGGGGAACAGCAGAAGAATACTTTTATCAGGCTCGTTGAAGTATATAACTCTTGCTCTTGTGAGAAAATGAAAAGGACGTTTAATTTGAAATCAAACTCAGTTTTTCTCTGCAAAATCCTGATTAAGCATCAAATTGATCTAAATAAGAAAAGAATTTTAAACCAAGGCTTATAATTGACACGTTGTTTATAACTACAACCCAAAACTGTCAGATTAGTTTACCGAGCAAAATAATACTGTCGTTGAAAACTAAACAATGTCCAGAAATCAAGCCAAATACCAGAATGCTTGTTCATTGTTACACAAATGAGATTACTACAAACTGCAAATGTTTGCATCCAAATTGGCTCACTTGATTATTAAGAATTTATAAGCAGCTCTTTATTTCTTTTATAACAACAGGGTTAAATAATGTAATTTATATATAATTATGTCAATACTTAAGCCAGATTTAGCCAAACTACCAGATCGTGTGGACACACCTAGAACTGTTAAAAACTTACCTGAAATTTAACAATACTAAAGAACGAACAACGTTACCGTCAATAAGGAATCACAAACATTTGGATAAAAAAACATTAAAGACATGGGAATTTGTAACTTTTAATATACGTCCATTCATGAAGGGAATATTTCAAACAATAGGAAAAAATATCATGAGTAATTGACGCTGCGACACCGATCACTGATATCAAACACTATTGGTATCCCTAACAATGATATGTGATTCATCGATAGTCATCCTCGATCTTCACAAAGCTAAAAAGGAAATGTTAAAATGGTAGACAAAAGGATATGATTACTAACAGATTTAAACAAATTAAAACCTACAGACATAATCAACAATAAAACTAACATCACTGATGCAATACTCGATGTTCAAAATGAGGGCTTGTTCCCGACGGATGTGGCTGAAATGTGGACTGACCATAATGCTGTTGGGTTTTGTCGGGTCGATGACAAAGTTCTTCTGGAACGAGGAGACATTTGATACACAGTATATAATTGGAACTAACATTGAGGTAGCCCGAAGTACAATGAAACTTGAAAAGTTATCCATCCCTGGATATGATGACGATACGGACGAATATTTCAAATCTGTTAAAGATACTAATTATATACCGATAAACTGCCCGATAAATATCACATTGTTTACAGTTTTCCATGAGGGTCTGCGTGCAAAGGAAGTCCTTCAGAACAACACGCTTTTGAATTGGATGCAACTCCAGAGACATTGTATCAGACCAGTGTTCTACTCCAATAACTCCGTGGGTATTTTAGCAGGCAAGAAGTACCACGGGTGGCAACATCATCCCCTCTCCGCCAACATGATTGCGCGTAATAATGTTATCTTGAGGGAGCTGTTCTCCGAGACGTTCAAAAGGCACAACAGTGACTTTTACATGTTTGCATACGCAGATTTGTTATTCCATGGTGATAGTTTGCTCAAAACACTCTCAGCAGTCAAGAATTATGTGCAAAAGGCAAAATTGGAATATTTCATCATATCAGGCTCAAGATACGAAGTGCCATTTTACAATAGCCGGTACAAGATTACGAAGAAATTAAGAATTGGAGATGATATTGAAATTGAAAATATACAACTTGAACGCAAGCCTCTTCACATAAGTAAAATTGAATATTTCATCACAACTAAAGACAGTTTTCCATGGGATGTCGTCCCTGACTTAGTTGTTACAACTCTAGCCCCTGATCCACTCCCGGCATTCTGGTTCCCCATGTACGCAAACAAGCTAGGCATCGCAACATTTGATATATCACGTTCGATATCACCTTTAAGACAAGCAGGACTCATGCCTAATATAATGGACAGGGAACACAGAATGGCTACGAAACTGAACACGTTTGTCTTTATCAAATCTTTTACGAAGTACTGCCTTTACAAGCCTGTTATTCACTCCCATGTAATACCGCAAATATCCACCTTGAACTGTTTCAAATTAAGAACTTTGCAGGGAAAAGATGGGAGTATAAACGTGGAAAATTCCATGACATATTCGGATAATGAGTGTAAATATAGGTACCCGATAATGATACCAATGTTAGAACGGGATGAAAATTTTTGGGATATATTATAAGCTATTTAGAAGATATTAAAAGTGTATAATATTTCAAGATTTCCAAATCTTAATCGATACATTCATTGAATGTGATTGCTTGCAATTGATAATAAATGCATCAACACTTGTCGATTCATAATTAGAATCAATTTATTGTATTGAAATTAGATACTAGAGATATACCAGTATACAGGCCCGTAGCCAGGATTTACCAGGGAGGGGAGGGGTTTTACCAAGGGGGGTTTGCCAAGTTTTTGCCAAGGGGGAGCTTTTTGACAGTTTTGGCAAAAAAATCATGCGAAATGCGCTCAGAATGGTGAAAAACTGCATCATTTTGAAAGAATTTCTGGCCAGGGGGTGCAGCCTCTCCCTCCCCCTGGCTACGGGCCTGAGTATATGAATCTCGGGTACTTGCCTACAGTACACGTATGTGTAGTTATAGATTTCAATAGTACAGTTTCCATTAAGATTTCATAATCTCGCCAAATCTCGTTTTTCGTGAGATTTTAAGAGATTTGCATACGATTTGCATACACCTTTCCTACTTTTCAATGGCATATTTGAATTCAGTGAAATGTTTTCTACAAAAATAACTTTGAATAACAAGAATAACTTGCACAGTTATGTTATTTAAATCATTTCCCACGATTTTCTCAACTTTTCTAAAAAGAAAACGTGGGTCAAATAAATCTCTATTGATGCAATTTTTTCTAAAAACATTGGTTTAACAACCAAATTTTGATGATTATCACACTATGTACATTAGCAAGGCCATCCTATGGTAAACCATCCAAGTTTTAGACAGTTTCAACCAACACTTTGAAATCAAATCGCTATTCCGAGATCTTAACACATAAGTCTATGGTAGTCTGGCCCAAATAAAAAGCTGAATAAAAGATGGCAGCACTAGTTTTAATTTGTTTATGTGTGTCCAATACCAGCCAATCAGAACACGCTATTTTACATAACTGCATTCCATAGTGTGAAAATAATTTTAGCTCAAGACTCAATGCATTGTGGAATGGCCATTCCTTTCAGGCGTTGTTTCCTTAAAGTGTGCGCCTGATCCGGCTACGTATAGCACAGAGTTTATACTGGCGGATTAGACTAGTTCATTTTTTATATGTGTGTGAAAGCTTTCTCTTATTTGCGTTTTTTCGTTTAGTACGGTTCTGTTATAATTGCCGAGGTCATATAACCGGGATAAAACAATGATTATCGTTGACTGCCCACACACAAAACATTCGTTGAGTGAACAGTGTTATTACAAACAACAGGCTTTAGAATACAAAGCGTAGTGTGATAATAAGCTGTACACTACCACTGCTGCATGTACATATTACTAATTTACTAGGGCTCCCAAAGAGTGGATAGGGAGGTTGTGTTTGTCACTTTTAAATTTTACATTTCAAAATTGACATTTTACATGTCATAATTTGTTGGTTTCATTCGTTTAGCCAATCAAAACATTGTAAAACAATAAATTGTCTGTTACGTACAATCAATTTTGTTCAGTTTTGATTAGTTGTCAGAATAAAGTTACGTTCATCTGAATCCATGTATCAAAACAAAAATCCTATTTTCACTTCAAAATACTTCAGTGAGATGAAGGCTCGGAATTGTCACATGCAATAACTTATTGTCGTATTCGTTATTTTATCTTCTCGATAGTAGCATTTAGTCGCACATTTGATGCCAGGTCACCTTGTCGCGTACCTCTTGGGGAACCCCACATTTATGTGTGTACTCATGGAAGTAAATTCCCCGGTGTAGCCGAGAGCCACAAACTTTTCAACAGGTTCGAAATGACCAATTTCTGTCATATATACTCTAAATATTTTATTATTTAGCACCTACAAAGTATTGCTAATAACCATATGTAATTTCAATAAGGAAACTTATCTGGCTACATGTAAATTCAATATCAACATATAGCTGTTCTCTCAACACGTCCTGGCTTACCTTGTGGTGACAAACCCTGGATTTTCGCTATTTATAGTTTATCAACACCCGGACGCATGCGCATTTTATAGTTTATCGGGCACTTTAATAAACACTCGATGCAAGCATCTCGTGCAAATATTGGAAAGCAACACCTTTAAGGAATGGTAATTCCACATTGCACTGAGTTCAGGGCTTAAATCCTTAAAAATAGAAACTATCCCATTATACAGGGCGTTCAATAACTATTGCTAATATTATGCTTTGACCTTTGTTCTCTTGCTTTTTTCTTATATCAAACAAACAAACAAAGCTTAGAATACAACAACATCAGATGTATTTTACCAGATTCGTCAATCTAAAAAGACGGTTGGTGATCCCAGACTTCAAAGTTCTTGTAATAAGTGTACGTATCTGTAGCAGAAGCCCATTCAGAAGTGGACCCACCAAAGAACGTAGAGAAATAGATGGCGTTTGTCGAGACGCTGGATGCACCACGGTAGCTAATGTCCGTCATTGAGAGGATTCGTCGTCCATCAATCCACACCCGTAAGGTACCGTCCCTTCGTCCAGGTGTATTCATTCTTAAATAACGTTGTATTATAATACTATACACTCCCCTACATAAGTTTTGCGAACGGAAGTCCCCTTTTGGAAGATTTATGAAAGCCAGTATATGTTTGGCGATTTAGAAAAATCTTCAAAGTCAGAACTATTGCAATAAAGGTACAAAATTAAGATGCATACTGTACATTGACAGACTTTAATATGCTATCAAATGAAAACTTTCAATTACCAAACTTATAAAGTGTAACTTCAAGAATCCAAATTTTCCCCGTCTGTTATCAACCACACTTCAATATTTAGAAAATTCATTTTATTAATAAAGAGTATGGTTACCGTACATATTGTTGAATTCTGATCCATCGACCCTTTCTAAAGCGGAATGATCCCCGTCCAACAGAATGACCGTACACAAAGTTGCAGTGTACTCTAGGACGGCGACAAAAGTCACTAGCCTGCGTCATGGGGGTATAAAGATAGACCTCCCCATCTCCATTTCTCCTCCACATGTATCTTAAAGCATATTAGAAAGCTAAGTCATAAATTCAGAATGGGACTGGTGGATCCCAATGAGGTTAGCTAGGAGTACGAATTATAGTCATACCTCTGGTGCATGAAATGGAATGAACTAAACTTAAACGTGATAGAGAAGCACTGGCGAAAGGTATTCTCCCTCTAGACGAACGGGTGGGGCTTAGCAGACACATTTGAAATGATGCAACATCGTAAGTATTAAATGATCTGACACTTGACAGATTTTAATGATTTTGCGACTGATGTGCCATATTTTAATGATGCGCTATCAGTAATGAATAAAGACATACCGTGTTGAATAACATCTTGACGAACTCCCGCCGCTGCATGAGCCACTTCCTCCATATAACCCAGGTAGCTTCCCACCCAGCACAAATTGGAAGTTTGGGGCGAAATAAATCTAAGCGGAAAGCGATATTGTAATGTCAAGTGACGTGTAAGTGAATACTGATATACAATTTAATATGTACCATAAATATATTAATTGTAGATGTACATGTGATTGTATTTTATTGTATTGTGTTGTATTGTATTGTATCGCATTGTATTGAAATGGAGTTTTTATAGTTTAGGATACCTCGTACGTCAGCGTACAACTTCGACGAGATGGAAACGGACTTGCATGGAACTGCACACCTCCAACATTTCCCCGTGCTCGTGCATAGGAACCTCTCTTATAGAATACTCTCAGTACGGTGCCTGATCCTCCTGCCGGGTCACTGACTACCCTCATGTTCTCCCGGCGCGATACCCTATGTGCAGACCATCCCGCCAGCGGATCGCCACTCCTCGGAAAAGGAGGCTGGCGCCATAAAACTCTGCTCTCAATGGAGCCTGGGTAAATTCAAGAGGGGTATACATGATCAGCATCCTAAAATACCACTTTTGTTTGAGACAATCTAAACAGTTGATCCAGGTCGCATCTCGTAAAAAATTCAAAATCAATGATATTTTTGTATATATATGCATGTTCGTCTTGCATCCACTTTCACTATAGCGAGTCTAACGTAAATTGTATTAACTTACCAAGGAAGAAAATAGACAGGAAGACCAGCGACAACGAGAACATATTGAGAATATCACTATGATATTTTCATGTACGATGCACAATGCAACGAAGTGGGAACTTTTTGCTGATAAGCATTCTGCTCTCTAGTCCTGTTTTCAACAGCTTTTGATTCACATTGTTTTTAAGATATGTTTTATCTTTCCTCGTTTATATAATGGAGCTGTCACACTTAAAAGGCCATCGTTCGCCACCGTGTGAATACTTTGGGCAGACGACATGGATAATTTATTAATTGTTTTTTGTATTTGGTATGATGGGGGATAGAACGGCCTCTTCTCTAAAAAATAAGTCAATACCCCAGCCAAATTTTATATACAGTGAACCCCCAGGGACCAGTCTTAACCCATTCTGCCAAGCCCAGTACTGCATGAAAGAACTAAATCCCCTAAGGATCCTCAACTCCAGAATGGTCAAAACAAGCCTTCATTTCAACAGAAACGGTTGATATTCACTTGGATAAGGATGTAAGCTTTCTTAGTGAAATAGTTAATACTGCTCCCGTAGAGTGTGAGTAGTGGATTGGAAAATATTTAAATTATCGAGAAAGTATTCACTTGACAATTTATCGTTGACGACATACAGTGTATGCAACATAACAATTTTCATTCGCTGTAATTTGCTACAATCGCTCGAAAATAAATTAAAAAACGAAAGAAAAATATATATCGATAGTTTTATCTACATTATTTGCCGATTTCTTTAGAAATGTTAGAGGCTGACTGGGAACATTGTTTATAAATCTTGGCATGGGTTTATTCTTGATCGATCGGTGTAGGCAAAGTCAATGAGAATATTTGGAAAAAATCATGTGATGAAATAAAAAAGTAACACAAAATTCAAGACCATAGAATAAATGACAATGCAATTTGATAGAATATATGCCAAGTACACTTGAAGATTATTTTACAATGTTTGGGGGTTTTATTTGACGATAGAACGATAAATGCACGTTAATGATAAACCAGCAATATCGAGCATGTAACAATACTTTGAACACTGCCTTCACTACCACAGCAGAAGTGATCTTTGTTTAGGTTAATCTTCAGCTTAACAGTATAACAATAGCCAAGGAAGAGATAGTACCTATACTATTTGATCTTGATTCTTGAACCATACGATATCTAACACTAAGTGCCCAATGTACACACTTGTAGGATCCTCTTCAAGAATTTGGAAACATCACCTCAATTACTAGAGTATAGTACATTAGTGCACCACATGTAAAAGACATGTAAAATTGGCATTTTAAAAATTGATCGAAATTGTTATCAATTTTGACTCATGTAAATGAGAAAAAACTAAAATAAAATGTTAAACCTATCGGATACTGAGCCTGATTTGCCAGACTTTTGGATGAGAGTGTATGTGACCTCTTCTCTGCAGATAAAAACTCCCTGATAAATCGATATAATGAGAGCAATCAATTCAAGTACAAAAGTAAGAGAATCTGCTTGAAAAGTATTTTGTCTAAATGTCATTGAAAGACTTTTGTCTGTTTAGATAAGTACAGGAAAGGCCATTTTAAAACTACAACATAGACATATTTTGACATATACACTGAAGTTTTGCGAAACATGTTTAGATATTTGGATTAACGAAACAAAATCTAGTGGATTTAATTGTCGACATAGAATACTGAATCAAAGTACTAATTGGTGTAACAGTAACAACAGGTACGATAGGCTAATTACCGTTACTATAACAACAAAAATATAGTACACGGCTTTGTTTTTATAATTTTGAGTCACTCGCTTTTAAGTTTTATTTCATTTCAATGTCACAGGTTTAAAAAGTTACATTTTGAAACATGTGTATAAATATGAATAAAAGTTGACATTTGCTTAGGATACACCATGCAATCATGATATTGACCTGTCATAAACATTCATTTAATGGCACTGGCAGAATACATGATTTTTAGAAATAGAAATACCATAGAATATGTTATCAGTTTTAATGATGGACAATGCCAGACAATTTGACATACACATGTTATTCATTGAAAACCATCTGCGAACGGATAAGCTCGGAGATCGGAGGGATTAGAGTTTATAAAAACTAGAATTTATCTATTCCTACAGACTATTCCAGTATAAAGTTTAAAAACTAAGTTGTATTATCCCATTTTTGGAAAAAATGTTATAAATGTACATCGACACAGAGTCTCTGAGCGCCATTGTAACCAATACCATTCAACGAGGTACGTAATGTTTTCTAGCTTTAACATTAACAAAATTGTTAAGAAACCGAACGCAAATTTCCGAACTCAAATTGTTAAAGAGGCCGAATGCAAATCGTTAAAGACGCCGAAATCCGAACGCCGAACATCGTCCACAAAAAGTTTGAGACTGCAACACTATGTCACCATTTTTGGAGGTGACATAAAAACGATGGCACCTTTTTGATAATGATTTTTAGCGATGTAAAAACTATTTCAATACAGCGTTATTTAAGTGCACTTTTTCTGTATTTTAAATGTAAAGGCTGACTGGTGTATAACCCCCTTAATAAATAATCCGTGTGGTATGTATCAATTGAGTTATCGGATGAATACATTCATTAAATACCATTACAATATAGTTCAGCCTACCTATAAACATGTGTATGCTCAAGTCAGGTACTTAGTCTAGGATATTGCTGTACCACATATTGTAAACATTTATTAGTTTCATTGATTAAAACAATAGTAAGTGAAATATGGATCTATGACTTCTGGCATAAAAGGACGCTACATACATATTGTACTATGATAAGATCCGGTAAGTTCAAAGAAGCATCCACGATATAGGACACCAAAAGTAAGGTCTGGTATAAGGTCGTAGATGCGTGCTCATATAATACACCAAAGGTAAGATCCAGTAAGTTCAAACAAGCATCCACGTGCACAATATAGGACACCAAAAGTAATGTCTGGTAAGGTCGTAGATGCATGCTCATATAATACACCAAAGATCCCAAAGGTAAGATCCAGGAAGTTGATAGAAGCATCCACAAAATAGGACACCAAAAGTAATGTCTGGTAAGATCGTAGATGCATGCTCATATAATACACCAAAGATCCCAAAGGTAAGATCCAGGAAGTTGATAGAAGCATCCACAAAATAGGACACCAAAAGTAATGTCTGGTAAGATCGTAGATGCATGCTCATATAATACACCAAAGATCCCAAAGGTAAGATCCAGGAAGTTGATAGAAGCATCCACAAAATAGGACACCAAAAGTAATGTCTGGTAAGATCGTAGATGCATGCTCATATAATACACCAAAGATCCCAAAGGTAAGATCCAGGAAGTTGATAGAAGCATCCACAAAATAGGACACCAAAAGTAATGTCTGGTAAGATCGTAGATGCATGCTCATATAATACACCAAAGATCCCAAAGGTAAGATCCAGGAAGTTGATAGAAGCATCCACAAAATAGGACACCAAAAGTAATGTCTGGTAAGATCGTAGATGCATGCTCATATAATACACCAAAGATCCCAAAGGTAAGATCCAGGAAGTTGATAGAAGCATCCACAAAATAGGACACCAAAAGTAATGTCTGGTAAGATCGTAGATGCATGCTCATATAATACACCAAAGATCCCAAAGGTAAGATCCAGGAAGTTGATAGAAGCATCCACAAAATAGGACACCAAAAGTAATGTCTGGTAAGATCGTAGATGCATGCTCATATAATACACCAAAGATCCCAAAGGTAAGATCCAGGAAGTTGATAGAAGCATCCACAAAATAGGACACCAAAAGTAATGTCTGGTAAGATCGTAGATGCATGCTCATATAATACACCAAAGATCCCAAAGGTAAGATCCAGGAAGTTGATAGAAGCATCCACAAAATAGGACACCAAAAGTAATGTCTGGTAAGATCGTAGATGCATGCTCATATAATACACCAAAGATCCCAAAGGTAAGATCCAGGAAGTTGATAGAAGCATCCACAAAATAGGACACCAAAAGTAATGTCTGGTAAGATCGTAGATGCATGCTCATATAATACACCAAAAGTAAGATCCAGTAAGTTATAAAAGCATCCACAAAGGTCACCAAAAGTAAGGTCGTAGATGCATGCTCATATAACACTGATTTGAACTTGCTTCAAATTGATCAAACATTTTCAAAATCATGTACACGTTTTCAGGAATTCACATCTGACCTCAAATTTGAGATTTGACCCTCAATTTTGAACAAAATACTCAATCGGCCGGGCGCCGGTCGAAGAATCGGAGCAAATATGACCCGGGCATACGAGCTGAGCTGAGGTTATGTGATCGAGGCATGACACCGTGCAACGTACATTATATATATATATGATACTATAGTTACAATTAGGTCATTCCTTGTTATAAACAGAGGGGGGCAATATAGTTTGAATGGTCATATAGGCTTTACAACTGTGCGATCTCAGTGCTGTTGATTTCTGCCTTTAGGATCGATTAACCCTTGACGCTCTGTCAATTCATTTAGCAGGGCTTTTGATGTAAAGGTTTATTCAAATCATTCAAAGAGTGTGGTTTAAAGCTCTGTTTGAAAAATCTTTAAAAACAAAATAAATACAAGGTCCAACCGTTGTTAGTCGACATTTCCAGTACTCTCCCGGCAGGGAGTACGGTTTGCCAATTTTTGCCAAATTTGATGGGAAATGTCTGCTTGGATAATCGGATTAAACAGTTTTGATGGTGTTTCGCTTTATTACAGATATACCGTTGTGAGGGTACAATCTAAAGCCCAATCCATGAAAATGCTGAATCTCTTATGGACATTGATGGTCTTAACGGTTGCCCTGACAATCACGTATGGCTACCCTTCAGGAGCACCCCCTCAGGCATGCGGAACCATGACCCCCGGACATCACGTCGAGGCACAGACTTCTCCTGCTCCTTACTCTACAAATATTTCACAAACAAGCTACAAAGGAGGAGATACGATAACAGGTACGAAATATGAGTAATCAATGAGTGACAATAATATACCTTATATACAATTCTAAAGCCCATTTCAATGTTTTATTTTCGTTATTTACTAAAAAACATTTACTAAAATATTTCGGATTGTTTGTCGTTTGGATAATCGAATTGGTGGCCTCTTATGTTTTGATGCATATCTACCATGCAATTTTCGAAAAATTAACATGGCTGAAACGAACCGTTTCGGTAACCAGCGTAATCGAGTGGATCACCAGTGAATTTGTGCATGCTCTTCTTAGTATAGTTTATTCATTTGCAATATTATAATACGGTGTAACATACTACAGTAATATAAAACGGTAATTTGCAAACGCCGAAATATTGTGAACAGTAATTCCCTGAAATGTACGTTTTAGTGACGCTGACCCAGACTGGCAAAAACAACTTTGTTGGATTCATGATAGAAGCAAGAAGGGCGGACTTCAGAGAGAAACAAGATGAAATTATCGGATTCTTCACACCTGTTAATGGTACAAGATTAGCATGCAATGGTACTCTTGGAGTAAGTTACTACATTTCTGTTCAGTGAATAATATTCATAATATGTAACTTTCCCTACTTTGATACAAGGCATAGACATGCAAAATGTCACCACCTGCCATTTGTTATAGACCGGCCGAATGCTAACCGTCGAACACCGTTCACAAAAAAAGTCGGAGACTATAACAATATGTCACAACTTGCGGTAATGACATATTTATATCAAATCTGGGAAAATTGATTGTTTTACTTTTAAATTGAACAACGAAACAGGAGCGCTTTTATGCGTGCTGCTTAAGCAACTCATCTCAATATATGCTACGTCTAAGACCTCTATCAAATCCCTATTTAGCTAAATATAACTCAATTCCCCTTGGAATAAAATAAATGTTGTTTTTAGAACGCCTTAACGCACAGTGAGCAAGCTCCTCACGGGCCCTTAACGGTGATTTGGACAGCTCCGGCAAAGGCTCAGGGGCATTTGGTCTTCAAGTGAGCATTGTTTATGAAATTATAAAGTATTGTTGTGCACATCTAGATACAAGAATTGTTGAGTTTAAAGTGGCGACAAAGAATAGAGAGAGAGAGAAAAACATCCAAATAATCTAACTAATCTTAAAAACAAATATTTTGGAATTGTGTAAATATGTTCTTTGGAAAGTTCCTTGCAGCTCGTCTTTAGCTTTATTGTTTTCTGAAGCCCCTTTATTTATATATTCACCTTATTCACTCACTTGTTTATTATAGGGTGACATACTTGCAGGATTTTAGCACATTCTGGATAGACACGGAATCTCCTGTCCTATATGACCCAACAGCGCCACCTTTAGAAGAGCCCACGACACCACACGGAGTAAATTTACATTAGATAATATTAAAAGCAGATAATAAAAGCACTTCATAACATAACAAAACAAAGTACATCTTGACCTTTTTAGTAGTTTAAGTAAATAAACACTTGAGTATTATTGAAAAGATGAGGTTACGTTAGACTAATGCAGACACACTCTTAGCCCTTTCTTACGCGATGTCAAGGCGATGGGCAACGTCTAGACAGGTGTCATACATTGTTTTCCAATTAGCCAGCAAACATACTGTCTAGAGTTGATATTGTTTCGGTATCATTTTGAAGAGTAAGATGTTGTCAAGTAAAAAACAATAGGGTGATTTAAGTACATGTATAAGTAGTTTTACTTATTACATGTCAACATACATTGACAATTACCGCATATTGACAGTAATCTTATAATGGCAATTACCATATATTGGAAGTAATCATATATTGACTGTTAACTGGCCAAAAATTCTTTCAAAATGATGCAGTTTTCACCATTCTGACCACTTTTCAAGTGACTTTGGCCATTTTTGGGCCGAAGTTGTCAAAAGTGAACTTTTAAAAGTGACCCCCCCCCCTTGCCAACCCGTGGCGATGGGCCAGACATACGAGGGTATATCATGAAGTTCTCATAATATCTCTCTTAATTTTTTTATTTTTCAATATAACAGAAATACTATTTAAGAAATGGTTGCCATAGTAACCGGAAATAGAGGCACCCGGGGCAAATAAAATTCGTGCAAGAATAGCCCCAACTAACCATGTTTAAATGCATAATAAGCTATCAAATAAGCTATGAAACACATCAAATTGTTAAATACCATGTTTTCTTGACTGATTTGAACTATTATAATGGTCATGTAAATTGTGTGCTCTCATAATGGATGATTGTAATGCTTCATTAGAAGTGATGTTAGACACTACAACTGGTTTTGTCAAATATTCCAAGGAAAGTCGATTTTCCACTTTAGTTCATCTTAAATAAAAATAGACCACACATAGGGTGTAATTTTGTTGATGTCTTTGCAACATTTTTATTTAGATCATCTTTAGTGTGGGCAAAGGATTTTTCGAACTGAACTAAACTTTTTATCAGTATGAATATTATTTTTCTGATGATCCCTTCCCTGCATCTATGCATTATCTTACTCAGTCATTCCTGATCATTAAGCTTTGATTCTCAGAGGCTGGTATCACATCTAATGAAGCATGTAAGCATCCCCTATGACATCACATAATTCACATGATCAATTTATTTTATAGTAAAAGCATTTAACAACATATTCAACACAACACAACATTTTAATGTGTCTGATAATTTATGAGAGTTTATTATGTATATAAACAAGGTTAATTAAACTCATTCTCTCAATTATTTTATTTGCCCAGGGTGCCTTGATTTCCGGTTACTATGACAACCATTACTTATCTAATATTTCTGTTTTACCAAATATTTGTTGATAGATTAATACAGTATTCTATACTGCAGATTCTATGAAAATTTCATTAGAATATATTGAAAAATAAAAAAATTAGAGAGATATTATGAGAACTTCATGATACACCCTCATATATTCTAAATCACCATTACATTGGAAGATATTAGCAACCACCAGTGGCCTAATGAGAGTAACAAAGTTTCCTGACAGTTCCCACATAATGACAGTTCACAAATATTGACAGTTCCTATATTGACAGTTTTCGTATATTGAATGACAGTATATTGAAAGTAACTATATAGATTGGCATTTCCCATATTTGAAAATTCTCATGATTTGTTATGGATTCCGAGTTATGGATAATTGGATATACATCTCATAGTATATCAAAAATTGGTAGTAAAGAGAATTCAACAAGTATATTATCAAAAGCACACAATTATGTCACTTATCCTTTTGTTACAGACTCAACCACCATGGTCCAATTTCAACACAACATCGTGTGGAACAACAAAGGGATGCTACAGCGTACCTCAAGGGTGTAGCCCAACCAATAGTGATTGCCAATACTTCGTCTCTTGGCGAGAAAACAACAAAGACGTTGATTTTGAATTGTATGCTAAAGATGGCGAATATGTTGCAGTCGGCTTCTCACATGATATAATGATGGTTTGTACTAAAATGTATATTTGGGCTGGGCAGTCTTTTGTGCCTCTCACTTTTTTGACGAGACAGTATGTCTGTAGAAGGTTGTGATTACAAACGCATTTCCTTGTGGCCAAATGGTAAAACTAAATCCAGACTTATAGATATAAAGGAGTTGGATATATGCTATTTTCCTCTTTTATTTAATGCTCATTGAAAATATGAACCTTATCTCGATTCACCCTCCATTTTTAGCCGGACACTAGTGTAGTGGCGTGTTCCATGAATAAGGGCTTCGTTGAAGTCAGCAATTACTACAATAAGGAATATTCTAGTGGACAACTCTATCCCGGTGTGAGTATCTCTATATATTAATTCTAAAACTATGTGTTTCATTTGAAAATTTTCTATTTTTAATTCAATAAAGCAGGGAAATATACGAAAAGTGATATTGTTTATCAAAAATGATGCATAACGAATTTCAAGCACGGTTTTCAAAACATGCGCCTCACCTTGCTTTCACGATATGTTTCACTTTTTTTTATCGTATACCACATTTTGCTTTTTATTCATTATCAAATTTCTCATTTCCGTCAATTTAGGCAAAAGTTGGTTTGAACAACACGGAGGGATATTGGACAGGGAATGACATAAGCTGTAGATTCTCCAGAGCAAAGATCATAACTACAGACCAGTTCAAAAATACACCAAGCCAGTCGATCTTCAACTTGACGCAATCATATTATCTTCTTGTTGCAAAGGGACAATCAACTCACGGTTTGTATAACTATACAACAATGATATATAGATAAACATTTTGAACCATGTGTGGAGGGGAGAATGGATATTGAATACATGTGAATGTCCCCTGGTTACATCACAAAATCTACCATGCACGGCGTTAAAAATCTACACACATACGTATAAGCAGTGTCCAAATGTTCTTTGAACGTATACACCATTGTAAGAACATTTACAATTCTTCAGTATGACTTGTGTATTTTCTGAAATATGAATTGCTTTCTGATTGTGATAAGGAAATTTATATCATTTGCAATTGATCACGCCTCGTATTTACCTCTCTGTTGTAGGTGAAATTATGATGCATAGTGTTAAAAGAGGGGAGTTCCCTGTGGTCACGCCTGATAAGGTGGATTTCTCAAAGTATGACTTGATGTCTGGACGTGCAGTCTATCCCCTGGTCAAACTTCATGGTAAGAGTTTGATTTCCAATTAAGTATTTTGTCAAATAATTGAATGACAATATAAGTATGATAAATTAAGGTAGGTCCTGTTGGACGAATTTTGACATCAGAAAGCTTACATGTAAAATGTCCAACAATCTTTTAATTCCACTCGGCCTACCTTTACTTAGTTATGACTAAATTAATGAAAACATACATATTATATTGGTGATTTGATGATAATCAGGTTTATTGGATTTCTGTTCGTTTTTTGTTAAAAGCTTTTTTGCCACAATCTCCACAATTGCCACATATTTTATATCATACATCAGTAAAATATGTAAATGGAATTGAAATACATGATTGATCAACCTTTTAGTGGTTGCAACCAATAAATATTTATATATAAAGTATTTTCATTTTGTTGTTATCAAGTTGTGGTCATGACTCTGTCATTATTATATTCACTACAGGTATATATGTTTACATTGTCTTCAGTGTTCATTGTGTCTCCCCTGTGTTCTCATTTGCATTCATCATATTTTTCTGGGTCCATTGCGTTTTCATTATTGTATTCTCATCCTTTTCAACATGTTTTATTGTATTCATTGTTTTCTTGGTGTCTTTCACACATGCAAATGATGAGTGCATTGTTTCCAGGGTGTTTTATGCTGGTTGCCTGGATGTTGACAGCCACATGTGGAATGCTTATAGCCAGATATTTCAAACTTCACTGGGGATCCAGTACCCTTGGGGGAAAGAACATTTGGTTCCAGGTAATCTTGAATTTTCAATACATTGGTATAATTAATTTCATTTTTTATTTTTAATTAGACCCATCTTTTTTGAAAGGGTCAAAAATTAAAACATTAATCACAATATCTATACCTTGTCTAATATCTTATTCTTTATCATCATCAAAATCAAATATTTTTCCTGATGCAATGACTTTGGTTGCAATTGGTTCAGTATACTGTCCACTAAACAACTCTATGAAGGGCTTTATTTCTAGATGACATCTCCAACATACAGTATCTCTATCAATGGATCATGATTTATTGCGAAGGCGCTCGCTATTTGAGACTAACTATACTGCTTTTTTATGATGTTGAAAATTTATGATGAATGTTTGTTATTTCAGTAGTTCCATGTATACATGGCATACTTTTGCTATAATTCTTGATTGTAAATTAATAATTTTCCAGGTGCACATGACATGCATGTTGCTCAGATTTTTATTAATAATTTTCCAGGTACACAGGACATGCATGTTGCTCACATTGCTACTTGTCATTGCTGGGGTTGTGGTCATATTTGTATATGTGAAGGGATTCGCTGAGGTAAGATCACAAATATATAGGACTACATACATCGTAAATCATGATTGTTATTCAAAACAAGAGCATCTAAATTTGTACAAATCACCAAATATAAACTTTAATCTGATTGCTAAATTTTTTAATGTGGAGTGTACAGGGTGTCCAATAAATAAGGTGAAAGATATTGTAACTTTCTTAATATTGCACCAATCTTGATGAAATTTTCAGAGTTTGTAGCCCAATGTACAGTATAATATTCAGATTATAATATTTAGTATATATCTTGTTTCAGTGGCACAATGATACTCTCCTAGACCTACACCCCATACTTGGACTAATTGTTACAGGATTAGTGCTTCTTAATGTAAGTATTTGAAGCTTATTGTTAATCTATGGGCTTTCAATTAGATCTGGTTGAAAGCCCATGGTTAATCCAACACTTACACTTCAGGCTGAAAACATCAATTGAAAAATGTTTGTTAAATTACTATTTACCTCTGTGTGGGATAGCGAGGGTAAATTGTTGTAATTAATCTCTTCAAAAATCACTCCAATGTTTCCAATGTTCACCTCCGTCCTACAATCTTAATCCTGCCGTCCCCCTTTCAATGTTTTTGACAGAAAACCTTAAATGAAATGGTCTATACTGAAATAAAGTTAGAAAATAGACATTCAAGATATTGATCATCAAATTAAACCTCAACCTATTATTCTAAAAATCGATGAAAGTGCCCCAACAAAGACAACTGGTACCCAAGACAACTCGTACCCAAGACAACTCGTACCCAAGACAACTAGTACCCAAGACAACTCGTACCAAGATTATTTTCAGTATTATGGGTGCATGTTAGGGAAAAAATTGAGTCTGTAATGCTTTCATGTTATAATGTGAATCAAATAAGCCTCAATATTCATATATTCTTTTGAATTTAGAAGACATTTTTTCTCAATGGATCAGTAAAGCATTTTTTAATAAAAGAAGTGCTTGAAGCGCTTGTTCTCAACATTATTTTGTCAAACATATATATAAATAAATATAATTACAACATTAGATCTGACACTTGTTCCAAACACTCATAAACATACAATATTTTGAAAAATGATTATAAATATGTGGAATAAACATATGTCTCTTCACTCGAACATCCTGAATCTGTGACCAATATGAAATAATAGTCAATATAAATTGAAACTCAGTTCAAAATGTCACAAAATTAAATCAATATCTTCCAAAAATTCTTCAAACTTTAAACTATTCTGAACAGTATGTTACAATTATAATATGTATATCTATTCACATTCCCAGTCCAACGCTTGATTCAAAACAAAATATATACTTGGGTACGAGTTGTCTTGGGTACGAGTTATCTTGGGTACAAGTTGTCTTGGGTACGACTTGTCTTGGGTACGAGTTGACCAGTTACCCCCCAAAATAGTAGAAATAAGATATTTGAATGACTCCCACTGATTTCTTGAGTATTTTTGATTGACAAATATGAAAAATACTATAAAAATGTATTCACTTTTTATTTCTAGCCAACAATTGCATTGTTCAGGCCGAGTCCCACTGCTGAGAAGCGTCCCATATTCAACTGGGTTCACTGGGGAATAGGCAACCTGGCACTGGTTGCAGCAAGTAAGATGCTTTAAATATCCTCATGCCCCAGAGGCTTGGTGGAATAAGATGAAGCTCTCTTTTAAAAGAAAAATTGAACTATGGAATAGGGTAATCTTTAAATGATCGAATAAAAGAATAATGATGCATTCAAAAGCATGACATATGAAAACAAACCATGTACTGTATTGACCAAGAAATATTAACGTGGCCCTTGTTAGGGGACTTTTTTATCCTGTTTGCTAATGACCAATTAAGTGTACAAGAGTCAAATAAATTATGGATGAAGAATACAATTTAAGGTAGGCTGAGAAGAATTAGTAAACTGGCTAATTATTCATTGGTCATTTATACATCTAACAAGGCCCATCAATGATTTTATATTATTTGTTGTATTTTTCATTTTTATTGGCTCACAATTATTTTGTCATCATAGTGATATTGTTAAATATGATTTATTGATAATAATGATAAATAAACTACAATAACTGACTTTTATTATGATCATTAATTGCAGTGGTGCAGATCTACACTGGAGTTGCAATGCCTGGTGCATTTGTAGGGTGGAATGCTACGTGGCTGTTTATTGGCTGGTTGATATTTTATGTCACTGTTTTATTGGTGCTGGAGTTTTATGAACGTTGTGTTCTTGCCAGGAAAGGTATGTTGAAATTTGCCACAATATGTGTAAACTAACACAGTTATGGTGTTATCCAGATTTATCAATTGATTTATACAATGTCTTGTCTTGCCTACCCCCCCCCCCTCCACTCTCTACTTGACCTCCTTATGGAGGCGATTTGTATAGAGCCCGTGGCCTAATTAATAATATCTTCTAACTGAGTTTTGAGATATGCCGATTACTCAATTAGTACAAAATTAATACTATACTTAATTAGCACTCTGGCAAAAGTGCACTGATGAGCACTCATGTCCCGGGTGCTAATTTAGTACTTATTTTGTACTAACTGAGTACACGGTATATGTATGAGTGCTTATTGAGTAATGAAAAATCAATGAAATTAGAGATGTTTTATCACTCATCATATGAGCACTCATTCAGTACTAAAATGCAATAAATCAGTACTCATGTCATAAGTGCTCATTTAGCACTAGTATTTACCGAAATGAGTACTCAATTAGTGCAAAAATGCCATGAGTACCAGTTAGTTTTTGACATATCTCCCTGTGAACCAGGGACAGAAGTATACAAAGGGGGACCATAATTTCTTCCACACTTCCCTTAATGAATGTATTGCTGCCATCTGCACTTGTTTCATTCTGCTTAATTATTTTGGAAAAGCAACACCAGTGCCTCAGCCAGAAGTAACTTACAATTTAACCATCCAGTGCCTACCTTAAATGTTTCAGGCTTTATTTTGTTTAACATTAGATTTAACGTCATTTAACTAATTTTTACACCAAAAGTTACTACTTATGTAATTCAACATGTATGCTTGGGCTAATATGTCACCTCTGTTATTCCAGTTACTGATGAAGACACTGAGTTATTAGATGGAATAGACAAAAAACCAGGGGTTGTAAGTGATGACTCCCACCTAGATAATACCAGTAGAGCTAAGAGTGTAAGTTCCCCATCCACACACCTTCTTTACCATTAGATCTTGAGTAGACAAAAAGTTAGATCATCAAAGAAAATATTTGTCAATCGGACCAGTAGGAGTCGTATACAAAGGAGACCATAATTTCCTCAATATTGACTGGTTATAAATTTTTTTCTGTATTTATTTGATAAAATATTTATCTGATTATTGTCATTGTATCTGAATACATAGCATAACACTTTTTAAAAGTGGATAAAATTAATAAAAGTAAATTCAGGTGCATTAACAATGTTTAATGTATCAAATTAAGATATTTTTTGAAAATGAAGCTGGTGACCAAGTCAAATTGAAACATAATATTAAGCTTGTGTTAAAACAAAATTTCTTTGACTCTCTTAATCATGTGAAACATAATTGGTGATATTATAATACAATTAAGGCTGTAGGAGGAGAAAAATGTTGATCCTGTAGTTTTGAGGAAAATATTCTGGCCAAGAGTTAAAAATGGGTGCTTTTATATTACTAATGAGCCTTATTAAACATACAATACCAAACCATATTTAACACCATTACACCACACCAAACCATACCATATCTATCAAAGCATACCATACCATACCACACCATACCAAACTAATGTATACTATATCAGTGCTTTGTCTCTATCTTAGTCACATTCTGTCTTGCGCTCGCATACTGTATAGACAATTGCTTAATCCAATCTACATGTACTTCCTGTGCCAGGACGATAGTCCTTTAGTCCTGGCATGTTAAAACAATCTACCATACTTCTTAGTGAATCAAACATACCTGTGATAATTCTGTACAAGAAAATCTAAATAGTTTTCTACAATCAGCTAGTAATATAATCATATCTGTAATAATCTGTAGCAACAATAAAAGATAATCTTTGACTTGCACTAGTAACATCGTACTAATCATCTTTGTAACTCATTTAGTAATGTAATTAAGGTAACTCCAACATTCAACCAAAGTCTTGCACTATCACCATGGGCTTCTAGTTGAAAGCCCATGCTATCACCAATTCTATTAGTAATACTAAATAGTTTGTAATAATCCATTGTGTAATAATAAATGTGCTTCCTGATTTCAGGAGGAAGGGGACACATTTCAGACGGTGTTTCTAGCTATTTACCTTACTCTAACATTTGCTGCTACAGGCGGGATGCTTTATCTTGTCTTAAATGGAACATAACTATATAATGTTGTAAGGATAATATACTAACATTAATCCCAGAATGTGTCACATAACCACACTATAGCTATTCATTTACATCATCCTATGCTTTTAACAAACCCTTCCTAGATTTTGTGTGAATCCCCTGAAATCACAATTTACATACTTCACTACATAGCCATAAAACATCATTGCATAGTCACATATTATATTATTTCTATCCCGACATCATATAATGTCAACCCCTTTTTTCAATATCAACCCCCTAACCTTGTCAACTCAGTTCCTCCAAATCCATGACATACAAAGTCAATTTCTGTCTAGTCACATCATACAATGTCAGTCCATGTCTAGCCACATCATACAATGTAAATCCCTGTCTAGCCACATTATACAATGTCAATCCCTGTCTAGCCACATCATAAAATGTCAATCCCTGTCTAGCCACATCATAAAATGTCAATCCCTGTCTAGTCACATCATACAATGTCAAACCCTGTCTAGCCACATTATACAATGCCAATCCCTGTCTAGCCACATCATAAAATGTCAATCCCTGTCTAGCCACATCATAAAATGTCAATCCCTGTCTAGCCACATTATACAATGTCAATCCCTGTCTAGCCACATCATAAAATGTCAATCCCTGTCTAGCCACATCATAAAATGTCAATCCCTGTCTAGTCACATCATACAATGTAAAACCCTGTCTAGCCACATTATACAATGTCAATCCCTGTCTAGCCACATCATAAAATGTCAATCCCTGTCTAGCCACATCATAAAATGTCAATCCCTGTCTAGTCACATCATACAATGTCAAACCCTGTCTAGCCACATTATACAATGTCAATCCCTGTGTAGCCACATCATAAAATGTCAGTCCATGTCTAGCCACATCAGACAATGTCAATCCCTGTCTAGTCATATCATACAATGTCAATCCCTGTCTAGCCACATTATACAATGTCAATCCCTGTCTAGCCACATCATAAAATGTCAGTCCATGTCTAGCCACATCAGACAATGTCAATCCCTGTCTAGTCATATCATACAATGTCAATCCCTGTCTAGCCGCATCATACAATGTCAATCCCTGTCTAGCCACATCATACAATGCCAATCCCTGTCTAGCCACATCATTCAATGCAATGTCAATCCCCATTCAGCCACATCATGCAGTGTCAGTCCCAGTCTAGCCACACTATACAATGTCAACTGCTACTCCCCAATTCTACAAAATAGTTCATTGCTATAAGATTATGGCAGCTAATTTCATCAACTCATTTGTGACATATCATTTGTTTTGAGCATAAAGCATATACCATGTTGTAGTTATGATGGTTTCCTGTAGTGACAGGAGTTTTTATCTTCTTTATTGTTGATTATCACCATTGTTAATCTATAGTACAGTAAAATCTGTAAAGTGGAACACCTGTGTAAGTGGAACACATGTGTAAGTGGAACACCTGTGTATTTGTAACACCTGTGTATGTGGAACACCTGTGTATGTGGAACACATGTGTAAGTGGAACACCTGTGTATTTGGAACACCTGTGTATGTGGAACACATGTGTAAGTTGAACACATGTGTATGTGGAACACATATGTATGTGGAACACATGTGTAAGTGGAACACCGATGTATGTGGAACACATGTGTAAGTTGAACACCTGTGTATGCGCAGCACCTGTGTAAGTGGAATACATGTGTAAGTGGAACACCTGTGTATGTGTAACACCTTTGCAAGTAAAACACATCTAACACAGGTTCTACTGTTATCAGACTATTGCAATTTTTCAATATTAATATTATTCATAGATGACTTCCCATATCAATAAATTTTACATCTACATGTATTAGAAAACCAGCTTGGCTACAAACAAAGTGCATTATTATTGCAGTGGCTTTAATTGTTTCTGGTAGAGAGAGTAATTTATATCAGCCTTTTCAGTTAATCATTTGCAATGCAAAACTGCTCAATTATATGATAAACTAAAAGGGCTTGGAAAGAGAGTTTGCAGGGGGACCAGCATGGTGAACAATGTTTTCTCATCAGGTGACCTGAGTAATGTTGCCCTGGGGCCCTGAGCCTAGAAGTAATTGACATTGGTATAGGATAGGGTCTGAAGGGGGTAGATTATATCATTTTTCTCTTGGCCAAAATGTTTCTTCAAAACTACTGATCCACCAACAAAATGTGTTCTAATAATTTATCAGATAAAATATTTGTCTTTACCAATCATGTTCACAACACAGCTACATAGATATCCCAAGGTTATAGGTACAGGGGCGTAGCCAGCTTTCAGTCAGGGGGGGTTCGATCGCCGAAACATTTCAGGTTTCAGTCGGGTGGGGGGGTGTAATTGTTGCATAAACTATCACATGCCTATGAGGTATAACTGTTTCTGATATCCAGGTTTTTGAATAGATTTGCCATATTAGGAACCATATATGACACATGGCCCGCCCAAGACCCAACGGTTCAACCCTAATTCAATTACTGTTTTCTATATTTTCAGGCTCCTCTATTCAAGACCATCCTCTTAGGAGTGTACCTTGCAGGGACAATAGTAATGACAGTACTCATTGTAATTATTGTGGCGTTGTCTCCTCTATGAAAATACTCAATTTATCTCTTAATCCATTGTCTCTTCACCCTCCCCTGTACATACTTCACCTTATTTAGGGGAGATATGTAAGAGCATTATGGAAAGAGAGAGGTCACAAGAGATTGAAGCAAGATTAAAAATCTTCATTCAGCATTATTTTTGATTTTAATAAATGCCATTTGATGGCAACTGTATGGCGTCCATAGGTTTCCAAAATTGAGAGAAATATGCGCATAAATTATAGGGATAAGCAGTGCGATGTGACAGTTGCTACGTGACTGAGGCTTAAAACTCACACAAATTTGACTGTTTGAATAAGTGTATGATATTACATGTAACATTGTGCAATAGATCTTATGAACAATTATGAATTATTAGTACAGTTTTATGATAAAATGTATGCATTTTCTTATAAGTTCTGGGCTCGTAGCACTTGGCAAAGTCAGATAAATACAAAAAAGAGGAAATATTAGGCCAATTTCTTTATATCAACATGACTAAGGATTCTTATACAAGTACTGTATATAGCAGATCATGACTGGAGTTTTCTTAGGACCAGTCCGATTGGTTTATATGTAGATATTGCTACATGTATGATAATGATAAGGCTGAAACTACAATACATTCTAATCAATTTGTCTTCATAATTCAGTTGTGATACATGTTTAAAGATTAAAAGAATATCAAAAGGTTTTGGGTATTATGAACATATGTGGTATTTTCATGTCTAAAGGTCTTGATAAGCACAAATATTTATCCTGTGCCAGTCCTGGCACGGGATAAACAAATATAGTATAGCATTCCATAAATATTTTTCAAAAGAATAAAATTTAAAATCATGATATATGCACTGTAGTTTGTTCAATAGCAGTAGGAAAGACAGTTATAGGTTTACTTGATTCTAGGGAAGATTCTTTGTTGGTTCAAAGACTGCCTGTATCCAGTTAGTCAGGCACCCATGGAGTCATTCCTTTTTTACACAACTATTGATTGTTTTTGAAACTATTGTAAATGTTCAGTATTTTTGCAGTATTTCTTCAAAGAATATGCAATATCTAAATGTCTGCATGGATGAAACTAAAGGGAATATAAAAACAGCCGATGTGATATCTCTTTCCGAAACTCCAGGGCATGGTTTCACCATAATACAAAAAACACACCACAAGTTAATTCAAGTTAGAGTCCTGTATTTTTTGACACTACAGCATTTATAAACAGTGCACAATTGACTATAATAATCTACATACATCAATGATGCACAGCAAAATAAATTTCGACCAATTCAACAGTAAATTAGAAACATGGTTCATAAAACAATAATACACTGTTTCCTTATGAAGGATGAACACAAATATAACCTAACACTCATCTGGATTATATCTCATATAGTCCAGATATCACCTTTTAAATTACATCTGATTAAACTTAGTTTATCAATAACAAGAAAATTCATGATTGGTATGATTTTTATCCATTTGAAGATAACAAATATAGTTACAATCTCCTGATGATAATGGTATCCTCTTATGGATAAATATCATATTTCTCAGATCCACAGTACATAAATATCCCATATTTAGGTTCAATATGTATTTATTTCTGTTCGTGGGGCCTTGACTTTTAATGTTTTGACCAATAATGAGTGGTTCACTCTTGGCATACACAACCACTCCTATTAAAGCACTGTGAACTTGATAAATGAATCTCTCTTAAGATCCAATCAATTTTATCAATCAAAATGTAGTTTTACCATTATATCAGGCAAAATAGAATGAAATATTCCTCGACCTGTATTTCAATAATTGTATTTTAATTGTCTTTCATAATGTAACTATAGCAACAGCGTTGAAAACAACTGAATTTCATAAGTACAACTTCAATTTTTTCTTGAAACTGCCCCAGTAAACTTTAATAAATACATACAGGATCTAAGACTCCCTAATTTTATCTGAAAACACATCTTTTAGCTATTACTGTCTGCCATACTAGCAATACATATCAATTCATTTGATGCAAATATACAGGTACATGAAAGATGTAGACTACATATTACTAAAATTATGGGCCGTGACCCATTTCTACTATAAAATATACAAAATAGAACATCTGGATCTTTACTTGAACTGAGGAACCCTTGATTTTCTACAAAACAGCTTAAATTTTCATAAACAGATAAAGCATTCTATATTCATTCTATATGTACAGTGGTATTCATAAAATCAGCAACAACATATGAAATTATTATTTCAAGCATTTCTCTTAATCACATTATATCTTATTATTAATATATTTATTCCATTTCATGTATATTCTTATGCAATGTAGCAATTTATGTAAATAAATTCAATTTTACTGATATTTAATTCAGCCTCAGGATTTTTTTGTTGGGAAAGTGAACATTTTAAATACTATTGTTTCTCTATGAACTTGATTAATAGTCTGTGTAAATCACAAAAATCAGGACAAAATAATGTGTTTTTGGCAATTTCACTCAGGATGTAGCAAAATGTACCAGTTATATATAAATGCTGTATGTGTTTGTGTGATCAAATAAGCAAAGGAAAATGTCCAAATATCAACAGCTGTGGAAAAGGTAGTTGTGGATTAAAAGGAGCCAGTTGTGGATGATAGGGCACTGCATGTATTTTTGTTTTGGTTAAAGGTTGTATATAACTATTATATATTTTTATTTCAATTTGTAAATGATTAAAAATCAACATGTTTTGCTGAGAAAGAGAAAGATGGACTTAGAAATGTTCCTAACTAATAATATTTTGACATTTAGCTTGCCTATTCACTGTAATAATTTTAAGGAAAAGTAACTTCAATAAAGAAAAAAGTCACTTCAATAAAGGTTGTTCATACAATAATCAATGATATAAATGCAAAGAAAAAAGGTATGATTTCCCTGAACTATTAAAATTCCTGAAAGAGCAACGTCCAAGTTGCAGAAACTTAAAAAGAACTTAGATCAAATATTGTGCTCAAATATCTCTTATCTCACACTATACAAGGCTGGTATTTTTGAACATACAGAAAAGTAAAACCTGTAAACTGAACATTGTGTGTCTGATAAAAGGTGTTCACTGTAGGTAGGTGTTCATTACAAAAAGGAAAATTTATGTTCCAAAATTGGTTTTCAGCAGAGATGTGCTCACCTAGGTAAATTTTACTGTAACTCTATGTTCTATCAGGATATTGCATACATACACCTGTACTGGCAATCAAAATATTGGACAGTTGGACAATTAAATATCTGCTTTGATAAAAATAGCAAGTAGATAAAGAATGGCTTGCTGAGTTGTATAACATTTTACTAATCTGCCTATAAGCCTAGTACAGCTCTATAGCAAGCTAAACAACCAATACATGCTTGGAAAATATATTTGCAAATTGTTTTTCTTTACATCTTCAATATTATGATACCCGTGATTACTGACAGCTATCTGGCTATACACAGCAATATAACTCATTTATTATACATCCAGAAAGTAATAAAATGACAAAATTACAACTCGTTACTTTTCACCAAAAAGTTGAAGTAATAGTGTCAGTTTACAGCCTTCTAGGTCATTCATATAAATACTTCACAAAGCTAGCCTAGCATTACCAATTATTCTACTTCAAGAGTTAAACTGTTGGACCAAATGTATATATTATTCTCCTGAGATTGGTCCTCGAGAATAGCTCTGAAGGATAGACTGAGCTAGCAGTCAAATGGTTTTGTTTCGTATCTTTGTACTACTTAGTGATCTGGTTGCTTTACATATAGTGTTCTGTACACACTCCAAGATGTTATAAATGGCGTAGCCTTGCGTAACAGAATCATATATTTTTAATCCACATATACATCATAAATAGAAATATATTTTACATATCCCAAATCATTAATCAATAAAAATAGAGCCTTTATTCAAAGTATAAGGAACAAATCAGATTTTAATTTAATTTACCATAACTTAATAAATGAACAATCTTTCCAGTCTGTGCCTTCCATAATTTTTTAATTCATATTTTATAAGAATTCACTACGGAAATATTATAACCTCTAAAATTTCTATTGCACCTGCCTGTTAATAAGACACCTTGACAACTTATGTAGCATTGACTGTTACATTATATATAATAAAAAGGCAATATTAAAACATTTTTTCATATTCACTGGGTTCAACACACTGCCAACCATGCACAATGAGTTCCAAAAAGAGAACCACATCTGTTCACTTTGACATTTTCAAATGAACAGGTTTGGTTCCAGGAGCAGATGTACATGTAGATTCTTGTTGAAATATATCACAAACCACACAATGTAAGTTTAGATGGTAGCTTCTATGCTGATTGCAAAGTTTGATTAAAAAAAATTGAAAATCTAAAATGGTTTTGTGATTAAAAACACATAAGTGTTTGAAGGTCATCAATACTAAGAAAGCTTAACTTCTCAAAGGACGATTCTCGGTTTGGAGAACGAAGTTCATCAATCTAAATGAGCATTATCCCTGCTTCGGACAAATTTGATTTTTTTACATAATATAGATTTGAATGTCCTCTTTTGAATAGTCATAATTTAATTTGGGTAATATTTCTAGATTTTTCGCAAAAATATATTAGCGCAGTACACTGATGAACTTCTTTCCCCAAAATCGAGACTTGTATTTTATTGAATCGGTCTAATTGAGCGTTATCCCTGCTTCAGACCAATTTGTTATTTTTACATCTTGTAGATTTAAATGTCCTCTTTTGAAAATTCATAGTTTAATTTGGGTAATATTTCTATATTTTTCATGAAAAAAATTATAAGCCCAGGAGACTGTTCTCCAAACCGAGAATCGTCCTTTAATATTACAAGAAGCCAAACATAACAACACATGGTTCCCATAGCAATGTATTGTTGCTATGGTGATAAACTGTTGCCATGTACATGCGTTGATGAAAAAATGTCTGTATTCTTCACCATTCATCAATAATCAATTCTAACTCAACGAATGCAATCTTTGACCATGTACAAATGCTACATTCAAAATGGTTTAAACTCACCTCGCGAAACACTTATATACTTATAAAGTGTCTGGAGGATACCAGAATGGTTCATTGCACATGTTTAAAACTCTTCACAAGTCCCTTTACTCACAGGTAGTATCCATGACCCAACCATACCACGAGCTGCTCAACTAGGGTAATCTTACCACATGGAAAGCTAGTTTTGAAAGCTATTAGTACATTGTACCGTGAATATCCCGCGAAATCATGATACAATGGGTAACTCAGTATTGGTGGCTATCCCTCGATGCCATATACTATGGGCAACTTGGTATGTACAGTGGCTATCCCTCAAACCCATAATATTATGGGCAACTCAGTATGATTGGGTATGGAAACATCCCTGATACTGCAAGCTTATAGTAGTACTGCTGCGCTTAATATCATTCATACATATATACTACTATATATATTCTACATATACTGTTTATACACTAATATCTAAACATGTGTAGTTTTCTGTATATGGTTTTCGTTTTCATACACCTTTCCTCAACATCATTAAAATAATTACAATAGATATAAAATAGCAAGTGAATATCACCTAAAGGTTTAAAATATTGAATCATGTGAACTTTCTCTAAATCCATTCTTCAAAATGTAATAAACTCATCTTACATATTCTATCATTTCAACCTGGTTTACGATTTCCAATTTTAAGCATCCACTTCAATTGTTCACAATTGTGACATAAAAATTGACATAACATTATGAAAATGGTTTGACCATTTAACATCACACAGTACATTTTTTCAGGTGGTTTGACCAACCTGTTTTTACATCATCTTTATCTGGGATCTCAACTAAAAACTTATCTCAAAAAGATGATATTTGTTATAGCTCCATTTTATAAGCTGTCTGTGCCTTCATACATCTTTAGTTTACAATAAATAATAAAAAATGTTTTGTAAACTGGTTTAAAAATATACACATGCATAAACACTTTCAATGTGGGTCCAAGAATTATGCTTTAAGCAAGTAATGGCCTAATGAAACAGCCAGTTCCTGACCCCCCCCCCCCCCTCTGGCCTCCACACGTTTCTTACATTGTACATAAATAAACTGAACATCTGAACAAACAATATCATAGTTTAACTAAATGCTTGAGTAAAATAACAGAAATAGAACACAAGGTGATTGTTTTATCACATACAAATTACATTGTACAACATACAATATTCATTGTATCACATACAAATTACATTGTACAACATACAATATTCATTGTATCACATACAAATTACATTGTATCACCTATAATATTCATTGTGTCACATACAAATTATAGATTCTTTACAATAAAGGTTCACCTTTATGGTTTAAATAGTACCATTTATGCATCTTTAATAGTTACATAAGAAGATGGCCAGTATACAAGGATCTCTTTTTTAACATGGTTACAAAAAAGTACAATGATTCTGGTTGTCATTCAAGGGATCAAAAATGTCATATACATGTACTGGGTACATGAATATTAAAACATCTAGTTTTTGAAACAATATTTCTATGACAACAGAAATGTTGCGCACACTAATTGAAAACTACTTTTAGTTGACATTTACAATTTTGAAAGACAAAGTAACTAGACCCAATATCCTTTTCCCTTGGCCTTACTATCAACCATGTCTATCAGAGTATAGTCATCGTTTTGAGTGTACACAGTCATCATTTGATGTGTTCCCACGCATCATTTGCTGTGTACATAGTCATCATTTCATGTGTTCATAGTCATCATTTGGAGTGCACACATTCATCATTTGGTATGTACACACTACACAGTCATCATTTAATGTAATTATTCTATTCATTACGGACAATATTCCTTTCATACACTAAAGTTAATGTGTGTGTACACACTGTGCCAGTTGCATGCAATAACTGTATCAACATACATCCCCCACTCCTAGGAAGCCATTCCTAAGTGAATAATATACATATGATGAACTGTGTAGTTATTTACACTAACTAGTGAACCCAAATATTGGTTCTTTTGTTGCATTATTAAAGCAACTACATGGTATTTGTTCAAAGACCATATAGAACTAATATGGTTTCATGGGGGAGTATTCATTCTCACGGGGTTTCCTAAATGCCCATGATTCTGAATATTCTGATTATACTCAACCAACATTGTCATGCCAATACAACGATACATTATATCATCAGCTTTTCTTGTAAATATGTTAGTCTAAAAATGGTATATCTTAATGGGTAATAAATGATAAATTAATATTTCTCCAAACTTTGTGTGTGAATTCAGGAAATGATCACTTTTGAATTTCATGACACTTCAATACACATAACCATTCCTTCCACTTTTGTGAACCTGTAAAGGCAACCTTTGAAACTACGCAATTCTAGTGAGACAAATTTACTGCGTAAGAGCAGTTCTAGAGGCTGGATATTGCAATGAACTTAATTAAATCTAACCAATACATATATGTCTATTCTCATTCATGAATCCCCTCATTTTTCAAATATTTGAGTATGTCTATCTTTATTTACATTGTATGACCTCGTGCATGTTTATCATCATTTATATGACCCCTCATGTTTGACTATCTTCGTTTATATATCCCCTCAAGTTTGACTATCTTCATTTATATCTCCACAAGTTTGACTATCTTCATTTATATATCCCATCATACATGTCTTACCTCATTCATTAATCAAATAATATACACAATGTACAATCATGACAATCAAAAAAGACATCAAAGACAACATCTGAGTTTACATCATACTTCCTGTAGAATAATAGGAAGGTTGTAATAGGTCTAGTTGTAAGACTTTAAATGTAGGCCTGGCTAGCATGCAGACTTTGAGGGTAGCATGGTCTAGGATGTAGACTTGAAAGTAACATGGTCAAGCATGGAAACTTGAAAATAGCATGGTCTAGCATGTAGACTTGAAAGAAGCATGGTCAAGCATGGAAACTTGAAAATATCATGGTCTAACAAGTTGACTTGAAAATAGCATGGTCTAGCATGGAGACTTGAGAGTCGCATGGTCAAGCATGGAGACTTAAAAATAGCATGGTCTAGCTTGTAGACTAAAAAAGTAGCATGGTCAAGCATGGAGACTTGAAAATAGCATGGTCAAGCATGGAGACTTGAAAATAGCATGGCATGGTCTAGCATGTAGACTTGAAAGAAGCATGATCAAGCATGGAAACTTGAAAATAGCATGGTCTAACAAGTTGACTTGAAAGTAGCATGGTCTAGCATGGAGACTTGAGAGTCGCATGGTCTAGCATGGAGAGTTGAAGAAAGCATGGTCTAGCTTAGACTAAAAAAAAAGTAGCATGGTCAAGCATGGAGACTTGAAAATAGCATTATCAAGCATGGAGACTTGAAAATAGCATGGTCTAGCATGGAGAATAGAAGAAAGCATGGTTTAACATAGTGACTTGAAGGAAGCATGGTATACCATGGAGAGAAAGCATGGCCTACCATGGAGACTTGAAAGTAGCGTGGTCTTGCATGGAGACTTGAAGAAAGCATGGTCTAGCAAGAAGACTTCAAAGGTAGCATGGAAACCTGAAAATAACATGGTCTAGCATGTAGACTTTGAAGGTAGATTGGTCTGGCATGGTCTAGCATGGAGACTTAAAAGTAGTATGGTTGTAATACTTTTAAGGTAGCCTGGTCTACCATGTAGACATTGAGGGTAGTATGGTCTGGCATGGACTTGAAAACATGGTCTAGCATGTAGACTTTGAAGGTAGTTTGGTCTAGCATGTAGATAATTCCCTTGCATGTGTATTTTGAAGGTAGTATGGTTCAGTTTAAAAATGTTCAAGATAGGATGGTCTAGCACTCATATCGTAATGGTAGTGTGGTTTACTATGTGCAGAACGAAAGTAATGTTTAGTCTACTTAACATAGACCTTAAGGTAATATTTGGTCTCCTACCAATAGACCCAGTGAAGGTAATGTCCAGCCTATTACATAGACTTTGAAGGTAGTAAGTTTGTATACCTGATTTCTAAACCTGATTCTCTGCATGTGCTGATCTCTGAAAACTGAGTGGTATAAAAATCCTCCTGACTATTGTACATCTATCTTAATTCCTGCAATCCCGTCTATATAGGACCTTTGAGTGTCTGGCTTATTGGCCTGAGATGTCACTTAAGTGCTTCCTTATACAACACTAGTGGACAATCCATTCTCAGGTCTGAAACTCATATTAAGGGATTCTAAGGAAACTGAGTTGCTATCTTCTCCCTGATTGAACATGGTCTGAGTATGCTCCCTCTGTGCTGGGAGTGAGGTCAAAGTTGGGTCAGTTCGACCTGGGAGCTTGGTCAAAGTTGGGTCAGTTTGACCCGTGCCTGGCACAGCTGAGAAAGTACCAAGACAATGTTGGCCAGATTTAAAACGGTCATCCAAATAGTTTTGGTCCATGTCTATATTAGAGGTATATGGAGGTACTATAGAGGTTGTTGTCATTTCTATTGGTGGATCTACATCATTTAGGTCATCAGGGTCATCATTATCAATATCATTTAGGTCATCAACTGGTACTCTAGATGATCGCTGAACATCATCTAAAAGTCTTGTGTGGCAGTTCACCTGAAATCATTGCAAAATACTAGAGGCAACATTATCACTCCATAAGGTTCAATTTTGTTATCATTTGATAAAACGATGCAATATTTGCAAACTACTCCAAACTGCATTTAATCTGAGAATAATTCAGAAATTCTCAAAATAAATGAAAAGTGAAAAATGATAAATGACCCTAGAGTTCAGACTGAAAACCACGGAATATGAAATAGATATGTTGTGAAGATATACAGTAATACTTGGTCTAAAACTTGGTTTAAAATGAAAAACGTTGGGATAACAAGTTAAACCTTCAACTGTATGTCAGCTTTGACTCGTGTTAATGTTGTACCACATAACTCATACATGATCTCATATATTAATGAAGAGCATAACATACCACAGGTGGATTATCCTGCTGTGTGTCCCCAGAGGTTTCTCTATCTGTATCACCTTCCAACCCAGCCTCCTACAAGAATCAATATTGTTAAATACTCAATTTGATTGGTCAAAAAGTGGTTGAAATACATTGCAAGTTAATAGTGTGTGGAGATGATGTAATTTAACAGTAACTAGCAAATTTGCCACTAATTGTGTACTCAATTTAGATTGACGTAAGAGGGGTCAATATTTTCAAATATTGTCAGAAATGAAATTCGCCTCCTCTACAGAACCTCACCTGTCTGAGTTGTTGCGAAAGTGGGGGCATTACAGGTGTGTAACAGTCCACATCTGCAAGGTCAGTACCAGAGTGGGTCATTCCAGAGTTCGGAATGTGCCCATTCATTACATGCCCATTTCCGTTGCCATGGTGAATATAGTTGGCAGGGTAACCATGGATACAGCGTTGAGGCGCCAAAGGGAAACATCTTTAGACAGAAAAATGTATTATAATAATAATCAAGGAAATACAATTAATAAGAGTCAAAATAAAATCACTTAAAACATTAATGAACAACCAATGATATGAATGAAGTTGAAACCATATAATTTAAATAAATTTAATAGAGATAATGAAATATCAACAAGTTCTTACTTATTTTTGCAAGCTATGATAATAGCACATATGATGATGCAAACCCCACCAATATTCACGCCTATAATAATGCCGATGGTGCGATCTGAGAGTAACGGTCTTTGTTCCACTGTCAGGGGGACACACACATTGAGAATACAGCGGGGCATCGTCACCAAGACACTCTCCGATGGCTCGCTAATCTCCCCCAGAGACATGATCGCACGTACCTTGAATGTGTATCCCGTCCCTGGTTGTAAATCTATAAACTCTGCTTGATTTAATTCACCTAATAAGAGAATTTAAAAAAATTTATTGGGAATTGAATCAATTTCATATAAAATCACAGAAAATATTTTGTAGTACTAAAATTGATGAAAATGATTTCAAAGCAAAGGCAACATGTATCTAGATTACTAAAATTATTAAGCTGATGCTGCTGTTTAATTTGGCACAATAAACGAATCCTCAAAGAGCGATTACTTTACATAGAAAAATTATTTTTTATAGTACTAAAATTGATAAAATTGATTTCAAAGGCTCTTGGCTCCTTGAGATATTACCTTCTTTAACTGCACAGGTGCATAATTTCCCTGAATGTGCATTTTCAAAAAGCTGGGATTTCATTTCAATGATGACTGATTTCCTTCTATTGGCCATTATTTTAATACAATATTACCTGAGGTTTTAAATTTCACTGAAAAATAATTTTCCACTCATACAGAACAAAGTTCGCAAGTTGTATCAAAGAAATTAAAGGCCCCATGCTGCACTTGTTTGATGATGTTGAATCCTGGTGTCACCTGTGAACTAGTATTTCTGTGTCACTTACCACTGTGAAGTTATTGTATTGTATTTTGTTTATCAATGAAGGTATCTTGGGTATATCCCTTTTTACAAGTCTGGACCACTCAGTCAAACACCCTGAAGTACTTTACGCAACAAGCAAAGTGCCTGAACCTGGGATCGAATCCGGTACATGTGCTCTACTGCTGAGCTATATGGGTGGACTGCATGAATCTTTGTGTACTCACCAGGAATAGATGTTATCATCCAATTGTCAATAGGCTTATCTGCATCATATGTGTAGAAAACATGGTACTTTAGGATTTCACTGTGGGGCCCCTTTGGGGGTTTCCACATCAGACGCAACAGACCACTGCTCTGTATCTCCCATGTAATGTCAAAAGGAGGCCCATGATTGGGTACTATATATACTGGTGTAATATCTTGTACGGGAGGGATGATTCTCGATGGCTGGGGATCTGGATCTGGAACAAATACAATGGATAAATACAAGTCATCTGGATGAATAAGGGTTGAAGAATACACAGAAACAATGAATCGTTGCTCTCCTGTTCTCACTGGTTTATTGAGAGCTGTATCATCTCTAAAATGACATAAATATAATTCAAAGAGACTTTCATACATACACTTTGTATTCAAAGGAACCTCTCACCATTAAAACTTAAGCTTAAAGGTGCTTATTTATTTACTTAAAGGCATTTACCAAAATTGAACATGTATTTAAAAGCACTTACTATTAGTATCGGTACTTTGTGTATTAAGACTGACCCAAGGCCAAATCGACTCATCTAGGTATCTGTTAAATCCTGCAGTTGTTACCGTGGCAACACGCACATCATAGATAACATTGGCTTTAAGACCTAAAATAAGACATAACAGATGAGTATTAACTGCTCTAAACTGATTTCTGTTTTGTAAGATATGGAGGATTTAAGCAAGGGGCTATTTTCAAGAAATATTAAAGAATATCATGAAAAAGAAATCTCCTCACAGCATACACATTTATTCCATCACTACTGTAGATTGGGTTAATTTGGCGCCCGCTTTAATTTGGCGAATTTGGCGAAATTGAAAAATTCGCCAATATAAATCTCCGCCAAAATTTAGAATGAATCCCCGGGAATCATCTAGGGTATTTCGTCCAGTGTATTAAGGTCACTTCCGGTTTATTTTTTCCAAAAATATGAAAAAATGTCTCTCATAAATTGGCTCAGAACTGGTCTGTCACTCATTTATACTCAGGGAAAAGTAGCAGCATCGATTGAGGTGTAAAATGTAAAGGATGATCTCACAAAAATGTACAAACGGGGTGAATATCGCCAGTGGTCCTCAAAAGAAAAAATGAACATAGCCAAACATGTCCATTTAGATCTAGATCTACATGGTAATTCGCAAACAGCGCGTAAGTTTAACATTCCATTAACATTCTTTTTGCATATCCGCCAAATTAAATAGCCGCCAATATGCCAAAAATGGCAAAATCGCCAAATTAAGTAGCGCCAAATTAACCCAATCTACAGTACTATAAAAACCAAACAAGAAAGAAAAAAAATATAGGTTGTCAAATGTTTTATCAACAGATTATAAATGATATCTATTTGTTAAGATTTTTATTACACCAATGGAAAGCAAACAGGTATTCAAAAACATAATAAGAGAAATAAGTCAGTTACAATTTGTTTTAAGGAAATTGTAGCGAGTTTTGGTATTTATTTGTCTCTATTACATTAGCAACTTTTCCTAGGTACATGTATGCTTTACATGGTGTTATGCATTTCTGAAAATTAGAAGTAGATCCCTTTCTTTGAATCAAAATAATTACACATAAAAATAAATAATAAAAATGGACCCTGCTTTACACCCTAAATAACTTTCATATACTGAAATCAATTGGCCTGATTATAGCCAAAATAAATCTATAGATGACCATACTATTGCTTAAGTATAAAACGAGTATCTCAATGAAATTATAAATTGGATTTTGGCTTAGAGTTTTACTCATAAAAGGACCCCTGTTTAACTCTTACAACTTTATAAAACTCCAAGGGATTTGGCCTGATTTGTAAAAATAAATCAAGGACTGTTTATTTTACTGATTCATAGTATTGAAAACATTGGTTCTGAAACAGGAGAGAAACCCTTAAGAAGAAGGTCTTTAGAATATTTTGGTTGACAGTCTTTTTCATCTTGAATATGCAAGTAATGAAAGGCAAATACATGTATTCTATATCAGTCCAAGGAGTCCAAGGACTTAGTAAACTTAATAATTTTGCAAGTTAGGATTTATTCATTGCACTTTGAGTTTAACTTTAACTTTATGACATCCCATAAATCCAACACTTATATCCGAACAAATAGCAGATATTTGGCCTATTTAAAGATTCTCAGACAACAAATAATAAAACCCACGGCTAGGTAATCAAACATCTGCAGAGGCAACAGTTATAAGCTGAGATGGAGATATTATATACAGCACTTGCAACTATATGTGTGCTCCTCCTTGGTGTTTTACTTGACGGGAGGATGAAATACTGGAGATACAGGCTCCCACCAGGCCCTACTGGCTGGCCTATACTAGGGTGTCTGCCTAGTCTCACAGAAAACCTTCATCTGGATATGGTTAAACTTGGACAGGAATATGGCAGTGTATTCTCTGTATACTTTGGCACAAGGTAAATATTTTGAGTAACAGCAATTTAACAGCATCATTGGTGATTTGATAAAGAATAGTAGATAGCATACGAGCAGATTTGTTGAACATATGATGTGTATTGAATATGAATTTGTAGATGCTACGCATGCCAATGTAGAATGAGCTAAAAAGCACATGTTATATCAAAAACAAGACAACATCTCAAAAAGTGTAACAATTGTTACACTCACCAATGTTGAATAGCAGTCACAAAAATGGTGACCACAACAAGAAGTGATGACATAAATATATGTATGATGAAGAACTCCTTCAGAACAACCTTTTATTCAGGTTATCTATCGTACTGAATGGCATAGATGCAGTTAGAGAGGCATATGTGAATAAGGGGCTGGTATTTGCTGGAAGACCAGATGAACCGCATATTATAGAATTGAATCCCGAGAGATCTGGTGAGCTTTTACAACTAATTTCCTTTTTGCTATGGTGACAAATTGAACATTCAGTGCATCAACAATTAAATAATATGCTGTTTAAATAAAATAATATTCACATTGATGATTCATTTTACACATTCATGAAATAATGTTATTCACTTTTTAACATAAAAAGTTTCAACCCATGGTTGCAAGGATAAAGATCGAATATCATGTGAAGATATATTTGATACGTGGATCAAGATATAACATTTTACCAAAATATTCTCAAACCATCAAATATCATCTTTAAACTATTGAATATCACTTCTTAAAAGTGATATTCAATGACTTCAAAAGTGATATTCCATGGTTTCAATTTTTTTCCAAAACAATAGGATATTCCTATAATATTTCAGCAATAAAAGTGACATCCATTGTGACGATTCAGCCTAAACTTGAAGACATTATTGTTAACTTATCATGTCATATGATGCACTTTTAATATTTCTAACAAGAGATGAGATACTTGTAGAGTTATGCCAAAAGGAATTGGAACCCTGATTTTTCCACAACAAAAATTGCCTCAATTTTTTAAACTTTACGAAATATGTTGTCAAAGCTTTTAGACATTATTGTTAACCTGTAACTGAGCTGTACTATACACTTTCAAGCAAATAATAAATACATTGTATAAAATACTTTTGGATTTGTAACATAAAATGATATTTCATCGATAAAAGTGGTGGCTATTCCTAATCTTTGAGACATATTTTGCCAAAACTTGTAGACATTATTGTTAATCAATAAAATAGATACCAGTAAAACTCTAAGCAATCCGATGTAGTACTTTTGGATTTAAAACCTGAAAAGTGATACCTCAACAAAAAAAAAAAATTGGTGGCTATTTTGAATTTTTGTGACATTTTGAAACATGACACACATGACCTCTCCATTTCAGGTATGTTATATATGACATACTCGGAAGCATGGCGCGGTGAAAAGAAAGCAATTGTACGTGCCCTCAAAGCATTTGATTATGGATCTGCAAGTCTAGAGTCAAAGATCCTTCTTCAAATTGACATGATGAAAGAGGAAATAAACTTGGGACTTGGGAAACGTCAGGATATTTGTAAACTTGCATCATTTACAATGTCAAATACAATGTCTTCTATTTTGTTTGGGACGGAGTATAAATACAATGATGAAGAATTTAACAATTTTCTTAAAAATTCTGCAATCTTTGTCTATCACCATGCTCGCCTCATGGGTGACTTGAACTACCTTCCCTTCCAACGCTTTCTACCAAAAACCATAAAAAGAATAGCACAATGCAGAAAACCCTATGATAAAATGATGGAGTTCTTCCTCAAACACATCAACCATCACAAGGCGACAAAACAGGATAATATCTGTCGAGACTTCACTGACGTAATAATCGAGGAAGCGATTAAACAGAACAGTGCTTTGCCAGACTGGAATGATGAGAAATTTTGCTACACGTTGGATTCCCTATTCGTTGACGCTGTGGATACATCTCCAGTACAATTCCACTGGCTCCTACTCTATGTGCATTACTTTGATAATGTGGCTGATAGAATTCACAATGAAATTGAAGAGGTGATTGGTGAGAGGCAGCCAGCTTTGAAAGATAAAGACAGAATGCCATATACAGAAGCTGTGATCTTTGAAACATTTCGCGTGTCAAGTATGTATGAAATTTTTGGACGAGTAGATCATGATAAGGTTTAAAATAAAAGAAGGCTTTCAAAAAGTATGTAAGCAAAACAGCCAAAGGAAAATCCCAAATCAAAAAGCACAACCAGTCACAAGAAACAAAGATTGTTAGATAAAGGAAGACTGAGATAATTGAATGAAAAATATTGCACAACCACATAGTGATCACCAAACGGCATTGGATGAAGATTCCTATCAATTTCTTAATGACAGTTGAGCATTGTGTGTGTGTAGAAAATGTCTGTTATGCTTCCTCTGGTGTGTTTGAGAGTTAACATCTGCTGCCTCTTGTCAGATCGACTAACAAAACAACCTTTCTGGGGGTTGTCGAGTTGGCCGAGAGGGCTTGAGCACTAGCATGTATGAGCTAGGTGTATGGGTGTAGTAACCATGGGGTTGAGAGGTCGAGACGCATGTGCTCCTTGTGTTTATTCATTCTTGTCAATAGTCTGCAATGGTAATTAATTTCTGATTCAGGTGTTGTCCCACTAGCAACGACACACTGTGCTATGGAGGATACAAAACTGTTTGGATATGACATCCCTGAGGGTGTTGATGTATTTGCTAACCTATGGAATGTTCACCATGACCCAGATGTATGGGGTGATCCAGATGTCTTTAGGCCAGAGCGTTTCATCAAAGATGGGAAATGTGTTCGGCATGAAGCACTGATTCCATTCTCAATGGGTAAAGTGACTTCATGACTGTTATCAAAGAAAGCATATCTGAGTATTAATAAGCAAAATTATTATTAGCAAAAAAGAGAAATTATAGATTTCTTTTCTTGCTTCTATGTTTCAAGTTTCACTCATATGAAAAAATCCCATATGAAAAACGTTAAATGACATCATATTTTGGAAGTTTGTTTTTGCTCATTGCTTATTGATTCTAGGAGTATGATACGATCATTAGACATGTATCGCCCCAGTAACAGCTATGAAACAAATAATCTAAACCTCACTGATTGGTTTTAATTTGAAAAGTTAATGATGTCCTAGGCATGTTTCCTTACCGATACAGCAAAATAAACAATTAACGTGTCATTCTGTTCATTGCCTTTGTACTATTCTGCTGTGATGTTCCTCTTCCTTTCTTCCGATTTTTTGTTACAGAATGAATTTACTTGTTTTTGGCTGGGGTAATTAGCTAATTGATCAAAAATCTAGTTAAGGATAAAACCTATAATGCCTATTCATTTTGAACATTTTTGTATATTGATCGTACATCACAACAGGACTAGTGAGAGTTCAGCTGACATCAGTTTAAAATTAAAGTTTTTAACTTGACACGTATACATAATCAGTGAAAATACAAACTGAATGATTATTGCTTTTGTCTCCAGGTCGGAGAGCATGCATAGGAGAACAACTGGCCAAAAAGCAGATCTTTCTCCTTTTGACAAGTCTTCTACAGCAGTACAAGTTCCATTTGGATGACAAGCCAACCAGCTTAAAGGGGGAGTTTTCCATTGCATTAGTACCACCACCTTTCACATTGAGGGTAGAACAGAGACTTGTTGAGTAGGAAAATGATAAATGATATGACACTTTCTGGAAATTAGTTACACATTTTTTTAAACTTGTACGTGAACGTGTAGTATTATTGAAGTCTATGGATTAGTTCTCCCATTTTAAGTGTTTACTTGGCTGATTGACTGTAAAAGTATATGGAAAATAATTGTAATTAGGTCCCTGGGAAAGTGAATTGAGAGAGGGAAAATAATACCCGGGGTTTAAAATATTACACGCTCACAGACAGGTTCTCTAAAAACGTGTCGAGTAACTTATCTTTCCTATTATCATATATCGTAGATTCACACAGTTCAATGCTGTAAATTTACAGGCCAACTACTACTGCTGTATCACAGGAAGTTATGTGTATATTTATGTGTTTTTGTAAAATCCCATGCCAGAGACTGTTATATCAGAGGCCAGTTAATATTCATGTGGTTTAACACTGTAAAATCCCAGGCCAGAGATATCACAAACCTATAAATATTCACATACTTTAAAGTCTCCATGTAATGTGCCACTTCAATGTTTTAGCAGAGCAAAAATATTTTGCAACATAAGTGATGTCATCATGACTCACTCAGGTGGCAAAAACGTTTTGAAAAATTTTTCAATCTTTTCTAAATATGCTAAACTTCAAATATAAACCAATGTTGATTGTCTAACCAGGTCAAAATGAAGAATATATTCTGTTTTAGATATTATTGTACCATTGGTTTCTATGAGAACTAAAATTTTGAAATCCATTTTTCTCTGAACCATTTTCATGCATTGATGAGTTCATTTCTCGCTTATTATGAACTGATTTTGTTAATTTTTGGCAAAAACATGTGAGGATGAATGCTATGCATTGTTTTGAATTATCGCTTATTAAAAGATATGTGTCACCTCCGTAGGTTAGTTTTAAATATATTCAGGATTTTTGAACAAAAAGTCCTTCAAAAACATTAAAAAAAAGTTTCACATATCACACTTTGATAACATTGGGTAAGCCAAAGTGGTTTAAACTTTTGGGGACTTAAACACTGTAAAATTCCAGGCCAGAGACTGCTGTATCACAGGCCAGTTAATATATATGTGCTTTAACACTGTAAAATCACAGGTCATTCCTGTAGAATCAAAGACCAGACATTGCTGTATCACAGGCTGTTAAATAATTATAAATATTTATGTGCTTTAACACTGTAAAATCCCAAGCCAGAGACTGTTATATCACAAGCCTATAAACATTCTCATACACTAAAATCACAGACTCGAGATTGCTGTATCAGAGGTGGGTAAATATTCATGCGTTTTAAAAATGTAAAATCACAGGTCATAGACTGTTATATCGAAGGCCAGTTATTATTCACATGCTAATAAAAACTGAATATTGAAAAATAAGTATCTAAATAGCACATATCATCTGCAGAGACATGGTTTGTGTGTTACCTGTAAGGGTATATTCCAGATTATCTGCACCATCTACATCTCTCATCTTCTGGGAATTGGTTCCATGTTCCCTGTAGAGGACCTTATAGCCCACTATTCTACCTTGGGCAGTGACAGGGTCTGCTCTTGTCCAGGCCACATGTATTGTAGAGCTATTACTGGAAGTTAGGGTTACAGTAGGGGCTGCACGTGGAACTGTAAAATATACAGTTTTAAATATACATTCTTAAATATGCAATGTGACATTGTGAGGTTTGGTCAAGGTCACAGGTATCATAGAGCAGTATTACATGTTACATGGGATTCGTTCCATTGTAATCAATTTCGGATTTACGCTTAGTGGCATTTAAGCTAAGATTTTTTTTAAATGGCCACTTACCACCCTCCTTTGTCAGCACTACAACAGTCACCGAACGATCACTAGGGCGGAATGACTGATCTCGGACAGATGTATATACATTCATATAGATGCTATAGTTCGTATATGGCTGCAGATCTCTGATCAGTTCACTACTCTTTTCAGAATTCCGAATGAGTTTTTGTTTTTCTTTCTTCGTCTCACCTTCCGTTGGGTAATAGTGAATTGTAAATAATGGCTTTGTTCCATTGTATGTCTCTTGTAACTCCCATGACAGTCTAACGGTGTCCGAGCTCAGTGCAATAGCTCGTAAATTACTGGGTGGTAATGGGCGATTTTCTGAAATAATGTGTAGTTGAAAATAAACATTATAAGACAATGCTCCCATGACAGTTTAACAGTGTCCGAGCTCAGTGCAATAGCTCGTAAATTACTAGGTGGTAATGGGCGATTTTCTGAAATAATGTGTAGTTGAAAAAAACATTATAATTAAAGGACATAAGTATGAAGCTTGACCACTATGGACTAAAATAATAAAGGACAGTGTTTTCCTGATTTATATGTGTTGTTAATGCCAATTTATTCATGAAGCTGACACACAATGGTTGGGCATTAGGCACTGGGAATTAGGCATAACACATATTCATGTCCATATATTTCTCAGCCTCATATGAAAATTGATAAAATTGAATTAATATTCCATTATCAAAAATAAAACAACAGTTTCCTGAAGCATAATGTGACTCCTCTTGTCTAGCAAATCTACTTAATGACACATAATGTGTCATATATCAAACTTAAACGAATTTAATGCTTCAGATACGTGGGAAATTATGACCTTGTATGATTTAATATTCTCTTTAATGGGATATATGACACATTCTACATCATCTAGTTCATTTTTGATGCTATTGTCTTTTGACACGATAAATAATAAAAAATTGGATTAGTTTAATTTGTGTTCAAAGTAAAATGAACTGAATCATACCATCTAACTGTACAGACAGCTTGATCGTCTTCAGTGTTATACCGATGGAATTTCTCGCAACACATTGATAGTATCCGGCATCAGCTCTAGTAATATGACCAATCAGAAGCTCCCGCCATCCGTTACTCACAGCTTTCTTTGAGGATGTTTGAAACTCCCTGATTCTGCCATTAATAGTCAGAGGTTTACCATCTTTAAGCCAAGTTATTTTAGGTTTTGGGTTTCCTGTTGTTACGCATCTGATTCTTCTGTTTTGTGTAACTTTGGTCTCCACTATAGGATCAGTATCATCAAGGGTCAATCTTGGTGGTTCTACGATATATAAAAAAATCAAATATACACGGTGTCCCTAAAGTCTCCACAATTACAATAAAAAGTTTGTGTAAAGTGTTTATAGACACCTTGTATTACAAGAACACAAATGTGTACAACATGTCCCCACCAATGGGTGATCCTATATATTGCAAATTTTTCATCCTAAATGCCTAACACTAATCTGTTAGATTTTAAGAAAAAAAATCCAATGTGGCCACCTTATTAAGGACTGCCCAAAAACTAAGTAGTTTGCCATTTTCATATTAAGAATCATTCCTGGAAATTTGAAATCGAACTGTCAACTAAAAAATCTAAAATGGCCGGCAATAAAAAGCAGTTATGAGTTTTTGCTTTGTAGCGGTTTGGGAAAAAACTGTCGGACATACAGATGGACAGACACACCTAGGCCGACAATATGGCATCACACTATGTGGCGGGGACACAATAAAAGATAAAAGTCCTAAAAGAATATAAACATAATTTACACATGTGATATAGTAAACTTGTATTCTTAATAAATTTCAAATAAGGATTAAGTAAGAAAAAATTTGATTTTTATGAGTATGATATTCCCTATGGTTTGGAGAGGTCTGTAGTTACAATGTACATGTTTTCTAATGTATACTATAGAGGATATTACTGGTTAGGTTAAAAATGTAAAGTTGTAAGTTTAGTTGTACATGTAATGGGGGCCCTGTAATTCATATTATAAATGATATTCAATGCTACAGGTGACATCTTTAATGTGATCTGATCTTCGTCAGTAATTTTTGCAATAAAGATATATCCTATAGGGCTTTTTCTGAATATCGAGAAAGGCAGGCCTAGTCAGGGAGGGTTTGAGGAGTTTGGGCAACCTCCCCACCCCCCAGCCAAATATGCAGTTTTTCACGATTCTTAACTTAGCTTTCTCAGTACGTTGAAAAAGGCTTTTTCTGATTTCAATGTTCTCTCTATGTTTGGAAAGGCTTTTTATTTTCTAATTTACTCAATACATTGAGAAAGGCTTTGTATTATTTCAATGTACCTTCTCTTTAAATTGAGAAAAGCTTTGTATTTTCTAACTTACTCAGTACATTGATAAAGGCTTTGTATTGTTTAACTGATGGAAGTTGGGGTGAAGCAATTGTGCAATTGTAATAACCAGAATCTTCAGGTTGAACATTATCAATTACGAGACTATCGAGTAAACGACGAGTTCGTTCCAAGCTTCCACCTGAAAGTATCAAGATGAACATATTAAAAATAAATCCAGTATAACTTAACACAAAAAATTATACAAGGCATTAACATGCAAAATGTCACCACCTGTCATTTGATTAAGATGCCGAACGCTAGATGCCAGATGCCAACTGCTGTCACAATGGAGTTCATAACAATATGTCACAACCTTAGGTGGTGACACAAAAATTGACTTTTGAGAAATTCCCACAATTCCCACACCTATTTTTTACATTTTCACTTTAAATTACATGTTTTTCTGCAGTTGTAGGACTTTGTTAGCTGTCAGATATCAGTGAATATGCTGAATACTATACCTATCTTAGTCCATGTTACTGTAGGTTTTCCCTGTGATTTGTCATAGGTTGCCACTCCACACTCTAATACAGCAACCTCCCCCACGCGCTTATTCTGGTTTTCTGGAGTTGTTAACATTGCAAATGTACTGGATTCTGAAAATAAAATGATAACATATTCATATACTCTCATAATCATACAAAATACAGAGATTTTATCTATACACATTTTTCAAATGTTACATATATGTATACATACAATTTGAAACGTTTGCAATTTTTGTACTAACTTTATGCTTTTGAAATATTTTTTAGTAAATGATTCTACATATGTATGTCTTGTCAAAATTCAGAGTTTCAGTTTCACAAGCATTAAATTCATTTTTTATGTTTCGAAACAAATTCCTTACTACTCAAATTACAATACTCATATGAAATATTTTCAACTGAATTGAATTGGTGTTTTTCTTGGTTGTGTATACATATCTACCAGAGCTAGTAGATGGATACCAAGGCTGCGTTTTTGAACTACTCACAGGTGAGTGCATTACATAATATATCATAAGTAATCCCCCTATGTATCATGAAAAAGAACAATGAGCCCATGTGTTGCAAATTACATGCTCACACGTTTTCAACAAAAGCAGTTCATCCAAGCGCACTTGCACCGCTAATTACGAAGTGTCAAACTTGTCAGGTAAGAGCGTATGTCAACCTTGCTGGCTCGTTGCTAGTGCACCACAGGAGTTCAATTACAATAAACCGTGATGTCTTTCAAAAGAATTGATGATTTGCAATCACCGAATGGATTCTATCTTGTAGTGACTTCACAATTAGGCCACCCAGCTCTAGATGTTTGATTTTGAGAGATTATCTTCTATATTTCGTGCGCCCCCCGATTTTGACAAAAACAGTGGGCGCTTATAGGCATCGATGTTTAGTATGAATTTCACCCAAACTTCGCACATATATAGAAATAATCATGATCTAGTCAAATCGACATACCTTGTAAATATCCGACCCATGGTTTTCATAAAAGAAACAACAATATTTTTAGCTCAAAACTGCCAAGTGTCATTTCGTGATTCTTGATCATTTGGCCTCTGTATGTTAAAATTTTGTTGAGATACACTTTCATAAATTTTAATAATCTCAAGAAGTTGATGGGAAAGTGCAATCGATAGTTCAAGTTGAAATAAAACTGTAATTGTTCAGTTTCAGTTTTAAATGCATCTGTTAGTGTTATGGAAAATACGTTGTCTGTATTAGGGTTAACTGTGAATTGAGCTGTTAGTTCAATGGGACAACATACATCGAGTTGACAACATACACTTATGATCTTTCAAAATTGTAGCCAAAACGTAAATATTCTCACAAAAATAATCAACACTCTTGGGCGACAGGGGAAAAAATGATCAAAAGAAATGTGAAAAATACAACATTTTCCAACCGATCAATTTTGTGGGTAGATTTACATATGAAAAAAATCGAGCACTGCTCAATCTTGTAACGTAATCAGAAAGCTCAAAGTCTTTCCAAGTGAATACACTCAAAATTAAACATGAAATCCTTTATGTATTCCTCAGCTTAATTTTTTAAAACCTACATCATACTTTCAAATCAGGTCATAGAGAAACCATACATTTAAATGTATGAAGGTATATTTTGTCACTGTACATCGCCGATGGTTATAGGCATGTGATATGGCTTCTATTAACTTTTGTAACCGTTTTAAGACATTATATATAAACCTTTAAAAATATACTGCTACGTCATATGAACTGAATTTGATACTGAGGTACGTAGAACTGCAAGCAAGGATGTAAATGGAATAAAAAACTAATACATTCGAGAAAAATGCTGTGCTCTTTTTCTCATGACTGAGCTCAAATAATGTTTAGTTTTAGACATTAGATTTATGACTGTTCAAAAACAAATATTATGACTATATCCTATGAGAAAGACATTGAATTCATGTGACATTAAAAGCTGAAGATGAAAGACACTTTTATTCAATAAATGATGACATGACAATCATGATGAGTTTCAATTCTAGAGGGGAGGAATTACCATTGATTAAGGCCAGAGTAATATGAAACATGTTTAGCATATCTTTTCAGATCCATTTCAAACTACAAAACATGCAAAAAACATTCATCGCAAGTGTAGGATACCACATTGTTTTTCCAATTTTGGTAAACCACTTTTTAGGGCACATTTAACAAGAAATGAACATGCAAAATGTCACCACCTGCCATTTGTTAAAGATGCCGAACACCAACTGCAGTCAACAAAAAACCTGGAGACTATAATATTATGTGGTGCCCTTGTTGGTTTCCAAGTATCAAGGTACTAATCATGCTTGGGATTTGAATACCCTTGAGGGTAATACATTTTCACCTACCTGAGATTCTATTTATACCCATTTGATAACGAAATTTGATCCAAATTGTGAAAATAATAAGTTTGCGCCCACTTCAGAATAAATTCTGGGACGAACGCTGTGCATCTCATGATTTCAAATGAACAGGCTGATAATCAGAAACATGAAGATGTTCATCTAATCAAACTAAACCAAAACAATTGGAAACACAGAATTTATAGGCCAAGCCTAAACATATAATTGAATTACTGTTGTAGCTAAAAGTACTTTGTTTCTCTGATGTATCATCTGATACAATAAAATCTGATAAAATGTTGTAATTGGAATAATAAAAACCTTGTCTTTTAATCGTCAGTTGAGCCTCGTCACTCTGTTTTCTATTGGCCGCATTTGTAGCGACACATCGATAAGCGCCGGCATCCTCTGTTGTGATGTCATAGATTTGTAAAGTACCAGTCGGAAGAACAGCATATCTGAAAGAATGCAATTCAATTTCATAACAAGACAGGTTGGCGATAACAATAGCTCACCCATGTAAGCTAATTAATGAGTGATTTGGTTCAAAGGGATCAAATACCAATACTACATATTCACAAGAAATAAAATAAAAATCATATTATGACAAAGGATTGAAACTCTTGATTTGAATTGCACATTGAGTATGCATTCATGTACCTTCAATGCATTCATGTAACTTCAATGCATGCATGTACCTTCAATGCATTCATGTAACTTCAATGCATTCATGTAACTTCAATGCATTCATGTAACTTCGATGCATTCATGTAACTTCAATGCATTCATATAACTTCAATGCATTCATGTAACTTCAATGCATTCATGTAACTTCAATGCATTCATGTAACTTCGATGCATTCATGTAACTTCAATGCATTCATATAACTTCAATGCATTCATATAACTTCAATGTATTCATGTAACGTCAAGGCATTCAAGTAACTTTATAACTTCAATGCATTCATATAACTTCAATGCATTCAAGTAACTTCAATGCATTCATGTAACTTCAATGCATTCATGTAACTTCAATGCATTCATGTAACTTCAATGCATTCATGTAACTTCGATGCATTCATGTAACTTCAATGCATTCATATAACTTCAATGCATTCATATAACTTCAATGTATTCATGTAACGTCAAGGCATTCAAGTAACTTTATAACTTCAATGCATTCATATAACTTCAATGTATTCATGTAACTTCAAGGCATTCGAGTAACTTTAATGCATCTATGTAACTTCGATGCATTCAAGTAACTTCAATGCATTCATGTAACTTCAATGCATTCATGTAACTTCAATGTTTGATAAGCTATAATGAATACTGGAAGGGGGTCTGGGCCTTTGTTAAATTAGTTTCATGAAATATATTGATATTTTGACCTGGACCATAAAGATCAGTCCGTAACTTGTGATGAGATTAAATCTACAAATCAACTGTACTGTTACAGATATATAATTTTAACTGCAATATTCAAATAAAATAAACCTGTTAAGTGGAACATCTCTTTATTAAGTGAAACACCTTTATAAGTAGAACACCCCTTAAAGTGAAACACCTTTATAAGTAGAACACCTCCTTAGATTAAAGATATCAGCGCCCCATGACCATCTGATTTAGTGGAACATTTTATATAGGCACAAACCAAGTGTTTCAGGTTGGCAGCTTTTACGTTATCATAATCTTAAAATCATAGGATTAATTTAACTTGTCATTTCTGAATGGAATATGCATATCTAAATGCTTAAGCATTTCAACGTTCAATTACTTTTGCAGCTGTACCTGGAATTCTTAGAAATTGAACAATTAATCTAAATGACTAATACCATTGAATTGTAAATTATATTATTTCACAAATAGATATAAGATAACGTTGAACTGAGTTTTCCGAAGAAAAGAAAGCACAGAACTATATTATATTTTTAAAATAAAAAACAAGGCATTAAAATGACAAAATGCCACCACTTGTTATTGCTAAAGATTACAAAAATGTAACAAATTTGTTACAGAATGATGCAAACCACTGATCATTAATGATGAATGCCACTTGAAAAAAAACAGAAAATGTTCACTTATTTATTGCCATGGTAACCTTTCAAGTCCATGTGACTGTGCATGTAACAGTATGTAAGAAATATGAGAAGTGTTTTAAGACAAATAATCTGTTTCCAAGGTAACATATATGCATTGCCACAGTTGCTGTAACTGCCCAAAATATGTTAAAAGTTGTAACATGTCAAATGTGTTGAAAATAAAAAAAATTAAGTCCATGTGAACACTAACTTCTTAAATTATTACAAATGGTTACAAAATGTTTGAAGTCCACTTATTTGTTGCTACGGTAACAGATATTGACAGAAATATGCTGAAATTCATAACATGTTTATATATGTTAACAGTAATTTAACTATGCAGTCAGTCGAAACAGTTCTTGTTAAGTTATTGAAAGTTGATAGAATTTGTTACTGCCGCCAAACGCCAAAATGTAACAAGTCCATTTATTTATTCCCATAGTAACAGATATGGGCAGAAATTTGTTGAAACTCATAACATTACATGTTTATATTAGTTCACAGTAAAACTTTCAATCAGTCTAAACAGTAACTGTTACCCTCCTTCTTAAGTTAGTGCAAATGGCTACAAAATGTTACAAGTCCACTTATTCCCATAGTAACAGATATTGGCAGAAAGGTGTTGTAACTCATAACATGTTTATATATGTTAACAGTAAAAATATGAAGTCAATCTAAACAGTACTTGTTAAAGGCGCACTATACTTAATTTAGAAAAAAAAATCATTGAAACATGTTACTCAAACACTTGCTCAAATATGGCACAAAGTTTGATTTGCTTCAATATTGGGCCAAGAAAAATATAACGCACATAGAAAAAAGCATTTGAAGTTCAGAGATCATTAGACATGCATGCACATGTTAAAAAAGTGCATGTTTTAAATTACTATTGATTTAACCTTTAGCGTGCTGCCGGCGGACTCGTCCGCCGAGACTAAAATGTCTCTCACAACTGCCGGCGGACCCGTACGCCCGATTTCAAACTTTTAAAAACTTTACTTTTTCGCGCCATTCGTATTGTCCAATTAGATTGCCCGATTTATTCAGTGCCTAACATGACTTCCTGTTGACCTAGAAATGGCGATATTTCGAAAAATAATTCTCAATTCAACAATTTAAACAGTGTTTTAGTCGTTTTTAGTGAACGAATCGTACAAAATGGTGGACAAATACGATCACAACGAAAATGTGGAGGAAATGGATTACGATTTCGAGCTCTTTAGGCTCTTGGAAGCCGATAACGGTCATCGAAAATAGAAACTAGAATATTTTCTGAATTGAAAAATTGAACATTCGATCGCTGCAAATTCAGATTTGGATTCTGACCAGACGAAGAGGCGGAGCGGCGGATTCCGGAGGAGTATTCATGGTATATTTATGCCCAGTCGTGTTAATGTACGAAAAAATTCATGAGAAAATTTTTTTCATGAGCCAGGCCACTGTATCTTCCCTTTGTGAAAATTTTATCCAGATTCATTCAGTAGTTATTGAGATATTAATTATTTAGTCCAAGTATATCATTTTTTGCACTCTTTGAAAAATAAGCCAGTTGCGTGGGATATATTTGCTGAAATAAGGCAGCATGGTAAAGGTTAAAAGATGGCGACACTTCTATAAAAATGAATGTATCATGTAATACAAACAACTTCGCCATCTTTTAATTTTCTCTCCAAATTGGAGGAAATAAAGAATCATATCATATCATATCAATACATTGGACATACTATGAAATTTAAATGTATGTCTTTATTGTGCTCAAAAATGTTGAAAACTCCCAAAGTGGGCCTTTAAGTTATTGGAAATTGAAAGAATTTGTTAAAGACACAGAATGCCAAAATGTTACAAGTCCACTTATTTGTTGCCATGGTTACAGATATTGGCAGAAAGGACGATTCTCGGTTTGGAGAACAGTCTCCTGGGCTAATATTTTTTTCATGAAAAATATAGAAATATTACCCAACTTAAACTATGAATATTCAAAAGAGGACATTTAAATCTACAAGATGTAAAAATATCAAATTGGTCTGGAGCAGGGATAACGCTCAATTATACCGATTTTAATAAAATACAAGTCTCTATTTGGGGAAAGAAGTTCATCAGTGTACTGCGCTAATATTTTTTTGAGAAAAATCTAGAAATATTACCCAAATTAAATTATGACTATTCAAAAGAAGACATTCAAATCTATATTATGTAAAAAAATCAAATTTGTCCGAAGCAGGGATAATGCTAATTTAGATTGATGAACTTCGTTCTCCAAACCGAGAATCGTCCTTTAATGTGTTGGAACTCAACATGTTTTTATATGAACAGTAAAATTATGAAGTCAGTCTAGACAGTACTTGTTAAGTTGTTGGAAGTTGTAAGAATTTGTTACCGATGCCACATACCATACACAAAAAGTTGGAGACTATAACAATATGTTGCCAATTCTGGTGGTGACATAAAATGAAAGAGGAGAGGATTAAAGTACTAAAATTAAAATTTATATTGATGTTATTGAATAAGCTATTAGTTTAAGAAAAGCATAAAATATACAAATTTGACTCGAAAAGAAATGCTTTTGAATAAACTGACACTCGATGTCATGAAAATGATGCGTCAGTCTAAAAGTATACAATCTATGGCTATATCTGCCTAACTGAATTGAAAAAATACAAAGGTCTTTTTAAGAGAGGTAATTCTAGTATAACAAACTGCCTTTCTATAAAGTTTCTCAAATATTGTGTGATTTTCAAAAATCAAAAGTGAATGTTTCAAAGATTTTGCTCCAACTTCTTTACCTAATAAAGTCATTAACTGAAATCAGCCAGACTGTTAAATGTTATTGAATGACTTTTTAAGAGCTTATTTTCTTTTTCCAAATTTTAGACTTTTTCAACCAGAACAACGGCAACGCCAAGGCGTAGCGAATCCCATCGAACAGCTATGGATGGCATTTTTATTTTTACAAACAAAGTATATAGCAAAAATGGCCACCGTCTACCAAAAGTGTCATTAGACCATTTGCCATACTTATAGTATTCACATACCAAATATGAACAAAATCGCTCCACTACTTTTCGAGTTATAGTAAAATGCGTTAAAATGGCGGCCATTTTTCAAAATGGCCGCCTTCTACCAAAAGTGTCATTAGACAGTGTGCCATGCTTACAGTATTCACATACCAAATATGAACAAAATCGCTTCACTACTTTTCGAATTATTATAAAATACATTAAAATGGCGGCCATTTTTCAAAAAAATTTTCAAAATGGCCACCTTCTACTAAAAGTGTCATAGGATAGTGTGTCATGATTTTAGTATTCACATACCAAATATGAACAAAATCGCTCCACTACTTTTCGAGTTATAGCGAAATACGTTAAAATGGCGGCAATTTGGAAAAATGGCGGCCATTTTGAAAAATGGCCGCCTTCTACCAAAAGTGTCATTAGACAATGTGCCATCCTTATAGTATTCACATACCAAATATGAACAAAATCGCTTCACTACTTTTCGAGTTATAGTAAAATAGGTTTAAATGGCGGCCATTTTTCAAAATGGCGGCCATTTTTTAAAATGGCCACCTTCTACCAAAAGTGTCTTTAGACAGTGTGCAATGTTTATAGTATTCACATACCAAATATGAACAAAATCGCTCCACTACTTTTCGAGTTACAGCAAAAACCGTAAAATAACGCGTAAAGGCCGCCATTTTTCAAGATGGCTGCCATGTACTTCTTTAATATCTACATTTCTAGCTTTATTAATGTCCTATATAATTTTTTTACATCTAAAACATATTGCTATTACAGTTTTACATATTGCACCTAAATTACTGTAAATTCGGCACTAAAATGGCCGCCATTTTGAAATGAGCGGCCATTTTGAAAATCGGCTTTCGAGCAGAACTTCTACCCCCAAAGGGTATATGTGTACAAAATATTAACAAAATCGGGCCAACGGTATTTGAGTTATTGCCCGGACGGACGGACGGACGTACGTACGGACGGACGGACGGAGGCGTTCCCTATATCCCTCCGAACTTCGTTCGATGGGATAATAACATTACAATTTTTACAGCGACACTGATAATGATATAAACAGTTCATATATATAATTCACAAGTGAGGGCCCCTTACCTATTGGTGTTTTGAGGTAGTGGCTGGCCATCCTTTAGCCAGGTGATGTTCGTGGGTGGAGTAGAGTTCACTTTACAGGTAAACCTCACCCGGGACCCTATAGGAGACTCTTGAGGTAGGGGAGGAACAGTGAATCTACCCATTCCTGAAAGACATAGAATAGACACATCTTATAAGTTGAGAATTGTGATTCCTGAAACGTATAGAATAGATACATCGTATAAGTTGAGGATTGTGATTCCTGAAAGACATAGAATAGACATCTTATAAGTTGAGGATTGTGATTCCTGAAAGACATAGAATAGATACATCTTATAGGTTGAGGATTGTGATTCCTGAAACACATAGAATAGACACATCTTATAAGTTGAGAATTGTGATTCCTGAAACGTATAGAATAGATACATCGTATAAGTTGAGGATTGTGATTCCTGAAAGACATAGAATAGACATCTTATAAGTTGAGGATTGTGATTCCTGAAAGACATAGAATAGATACATCTTATAGGTTGAGGATTGTGATTCCTGAAACACATAGAATAGACACATCTTATAAGTTGAGGATTGTGATTCCTGAAACACATAAAATAGACACATCTTATAAGTTGAGGATTGTGATTCCTGAAACACATAAAATAGACACATCTGATGAGTTGAGAATTGTGATTCCTGAAACACATAAAATAGACACATCTTTTAAGTTGAGGATTGTGATTCCTGAAACACATAAAATAGACACATCTTATAAGTTGAGGATTGTGATTCCTGAAACACATAAAATAGACACATCTGATGAGTTGAGAATTGTGATTCCTGAAACACATAAAATAGACACATCTTATAAGTTGAGGATTGTGATTCCTGAAACACATAAAATAGACACATCTTATAAGTTGAGGATTGTGATTCCTGAAACACATAAAATAGACACATCTTATAAGTTGAGGATTGTGATTCCTGAAACACATAAAATAGACACATCTGATGAGTTGAGAATTGTGATTCCTGAAACACATAAAATAGACACATCTTATAAGTTGAGGATTGTGATTCCTGAAACACATAAAATAGACACATCTTATAAGTTGAGAATTGTGATTCCTGAAACACATAAAATAGACACATCTTATAAGTTGAGGATTGTGATTCCTGAAACACATAAAATAGACACATCTGATGAGTTGAGAATTGTGATTCCTGAAACACATAAAATAGACACATCTTATAAGTTGAGGATTGTGATTCCTGAAACACATAAAATAGACACATCTTATAAGTTGAGGATTGTGATTCCTGAAACACATAGAATAGACACATCTGATGAGTTGAGAATTGTGATTCCTGAAACACATAAAATAGACACATCTTATAAGTTGAGGATTGTGATTCCTGAAACACATAAAATAGACACATCTTATAAGTTGAGGATTATGATTCCTGAAACACATAGAATAGACACATCTGATGAGTTGAGAATTGTGATTCCTGAAACACATAAAATAGACACATCTTATAAGTTGAGGATTGTGATTCCTGAAACACATAAAATAGACACATCTTATAAGTTGAGAATTGTGATTCCTGAAACACATAAAATAGATACATCTTATAGGTTGAGGATTGTGATTCCTGAAACACACAAAATAGACACATCTTATAAGTTGAGGATTGTGATTCCTGTCTTTTAACAATGATGCTAAAAATCATTGGTCATATATTGCACCATAAATTAAAGAATCTCGGTCTTTATCAACCTCTATCATAAAAATAATTGTAAACTATAACATTGTAAACTACAGTGGAACCTGTCTGAACACGTCTAGAAGTAGAACACCTCTGTTAGTTGAACATTTTTTAAAAGCCCAAGACCATCTGACCTGATGTTAAATGGACCTCTATGAGTAGAACACCTTTCAAGTGGAACACTTTTTAAAGGTACCAAAAGTGTTCCAATTAAACAGGTTTTATTGTTCATTTACAATATTTAACAGGCCTATATAATTAATATTCTAAAACCACATGCTTCACCAACCATAAATTAACCACTTATTACAAGGAAACAAGATGTCGATATGTCATGAAAGAGTAGATAACTACCTTCATAGATAATAACAATATCTCTATAATATCCTTTTTGCATCTGACTAGAAAAAACAGCAACTCTACTGAGTAGCAAATCCCAAAAAGACAAGGCATGAACAGATGAACATGACAAAATGTCAACACCTAGTTGCTCACACTATTATGAGTTCAATCTTAAGTAAGATTTGAATATCTGAGAACTTATAGATGATTTTGAAAAAAAAAATTGGTCAATTTGAAGCAAGTTGAAAATACCTTTTTTGACCCTGAGAAGGTCATTGAAGTTGAAATCTCAAGTCTTAAGGCAGATTTGAGCTTCTAAGAACTTGTAGATGATTTTGAAAAAAAATTGGTCAATTTGAACCAAGATGAAAAAGACCTTTTTGACCTTGAGAAGGTCATTAAAGGTCAAATCTATAGCCAGATTTGAACTTCTGAGAACTTGTAGATGATTTTGAAAAAAAATTGGCAATTTTGGAAATTCTCTTTTAAACATTACATAAGTTGTATTGGAAGAGGGAGATTTGAGTTAGCCAAAAATAATTTTAGATTTCTTTCTTGAGCAAAGCTACTTGACCAATGAGGCATTACAACCAGCATTAAAGTTATCACCTGGACAGATAAATAAAATGAAACAACAAACAAAGAAACTGACAAAAATGTAATGACAGACAGATGCCTTCTCTATATCCTTTTCAAATTTCATTCAATAGGATAATATCAACAGTACAGACAATCAGCATAATTGAAAAAATGCATTAACACAGAAACTACAATGTTAGATGTTAAGTAACGATGACACAAATTGATTAATCAAGATATCATCATCTTGACACATGCTTATCTATAAGAAAACACAATCTCTGATAATATTCATGATTTGATTTCATAAATATATTAACTGATTTAAACAATAACTGGATGATTAAGTGATTATATTAGTTACATGTGAGTATCCTAATAATCTAGGATATGTCAAATTTTTAGAATATTGACATTTATAGGATATCCTACGATTTTAAGGAATATCATTTTTATCTACGAGGTAATAATGATATCTGCATAATAGAGCGAAGCAAATGAGTGCATATACTAATAATATCACTGAGTATATTAAAATGACTTTCTCAAAAAATCATAGGATGTTCTTTTTATCCTACACTTACTAGTAGCGCACTAAATGTATATCATTGAAGTATATCATTGTTAGCTGACAAACGTGTAGAATATTTTTACCACTCACAGAGTTATGCTATGTTTGTCTAAGTACAATTTTTTTTGGGCGGGGGACTTCAAACATTGAAAATGGGTAATGGTACTAAAACAGATTTTTCTCTTAAAGTGCCCGATAAAGTATAAAATGCGCATGCGTCCAGGTGTTGATAAACTATAAATAGCGAAAACCCAGGATTTGTCACCACAAGGTAAACCAGGACGTGTTGAGAGAACAGCTAGTGTTGATATTGAATTTATATGTAGCCAGATAAGTTTCCTTATTGAAATTACATATGGTTATTAGCAATACTTTGTAGGTGCTAAATAATAAAATATTTAGAGTATATATGAGAGAAATTGGTCATTTCGAACCTGTTGAAAAGTTTGTGGCTCTCGGCTACACCTGGGAATTTACTTCCATGAGTACACACATAAATGTGGGGTTCCCCAAGAGGTACGCGACAAGGTGACCTGGCATCAAATGTGCGACTAAATGCTACTATCGAGAAGATAAAATAACGAATACGACAATAAGTTATTGCATGTGACAATTCCGAGCCTTCATCTCACTGAAGTATTTTGAAGTGAAAATAGGATTTTTGTTTTCATACATGGATTCAGATGAACGTAACTTTATTCTGACAACTAATCAAAACTGAACAAAATTGATTGTACGTAACAGACAATTTATTGTTTTACAATGTTTTGATTGGCTAAACGAATGAAACCAACAAATTATGACATGTAATATGACAATTTTGAAATGTAAAATTAAAAGTGACAAACACAACCTCCCTATCCACTCTTTGGGAGCCCTAGTAAATTAGTAATATGTACATGCAGCAGTGGTAGTGTGCAGCTTATTATCACACTACGCTTTGTATTCTAAAGCCTGTTGTTTGTAATAACACTGTTCACTCAACGTATGTTTTGTGTGTGGGCAGTCAACGATAATCATTGTTTTATCCCGGTTATATGACCTCGGCAGTTATAACAAAACCGTACTAAACGAAAAAACGCAAATAAGAGAAAGCTTTCACACACATATAAAAAATGAACTAGTCTAATCCGCCAGTATAAACTCTGTGCTATACGTAGCCGGGTCAGGCGCACACTTTAAAGTAAATAGAGTTACTTGCTGACCTTTTCAAATGTTTACGATAATTAAATTGTTTGTCAGATGACCAAATTTCAAGAATATTCCTTCATCACTCATAGAGTTATTTCATGTTTTGTCTCGGGTACAATTTATTTTGAGACACCCTGTAAATAGAGATCATGGGAACTTAATGATCATCTTTATATGCCATATACTGAACTTAAGAAATTATTCCCAAGGCGCTGTTCTATTTTGAATAGGAAATCCTTTTGATGAATTTGATAAATTAATCCATTTGAAGTACTTGCTGAACCTACAATTAACAAACCATGCAAGCCAAACAATCGTTTGCTTCATCTTATTTCTAGCAGGTGGGACATCAAAGAGGAAAATTGAAAATAAAAAATAAATATTTCTATCAAAATCAATTCAATTTCCTTAATATAAGAGCTTTACAAATGTGTAAAAAATCAATCATTTACTATTCGCAAAAACAAATATTTCTACACAAATATCATGCTCTAACTAAATGAATAAGGAGGAAATATCTTGTACGAACTAGGATTTACTGAGCACATACACTACTTGCAAGTCAAGTCATGTCATCAAATCACTATTTTAGAGCATAAAAGCATTTTTGTTAATGTTGCTATGGTAACATAACTACGCAAATGACTCCTCAAATTATCCAGCAGTAACTCAGGAAACCATTTTTCTGACCAAAGTGCCCTCAAGAATGACGCAATTCCAAGTTG